TCTAGTTCCTATTTCTTTAAAGTTAATAAGTCATAAAAAAGTTATTTTGTCAGTCCAAGAACTTGAGTTACATGAAACATAGTTTATAAAAACTGTAAAGCTGAGATAAACACATGTTAAGTGTTCATCTAACAGTACACTTTTAAATACCTCATAACAAAGATGACAACGTTTCCATTAACCGTGAAACTGTTCTGAATTCAGCGGTGTATGGTGTAGCTGCTCCTCTTAAAGAACAAAATCAAAATGTTGTGATATTTGACATGACCTTTTGTGCTCGATCTGAATCTCCGACTTTCTATCGTGATCAAGGCTTTGGCAGTAGAACAATGGCGACATCTGCTGCCTGATTACTGGTATGAGAATATCAGAAGACCTGATGCTTCTGTTTCATTGGATTGTAAAGTTTCTGCTCAGTGCTCTTTAAAACCGGATTTCTTGGGGAACATCCCTGTCTATTTAAAATGTCTTTTAAAATGCATCTACGATTTAAATCTGTGTTTCTTTACTTGCAGGCGTAGGACTCCATCTCAGGAAAGTAGAGGCACACCCCCTGGTACAAACAGTAGGCCTCGTGGCTGGAGGGACACTTTTCTATGGAGTTGCTGTTGTGATGGCGGGTGGTGACGTCCACGGGGCTTCTCGGAGTCACCCACGGTGATTTGGTCTCCAGCTCTTGAAATGAAAGTTTAACCGAATTTCAGTTCCTCTCCCTTTAACCAGAATCTGCTAATATTTGGTATAATACAGAAGAAAACTCAATTCAAGCATTTTAATTTTTCTGCATTTTTCTGCAAATTTTCAGCATTTTTCTGCAATTTTTCTGCATTTTTGAAATGTAGAAAAACTGTAAATAGACATGGCGGTGAAAAATAATCGAGGCGCACCTTGACATTTCTGCCCGTTGCCATGGTATCCAGCCTGACACTTGCAGAGAAACTTCCCTGCAGTGTTCTGGCATTCTGCATGTTTATCACAGTTGTGACTTCCCAGTCTACACTCATCAATATCTGCAACAAAATTAAAATAACAGATAGATTATTCACCAAACTTTAGCTTTAGAAAAAAATAAAAGTTTTGCCATACATATATATTTTCCAATCCCCTTGAGAATTTTAGGCCACATGCTTCAGTGAAATCTCATTAAAAGCACTTTTCCTGCACGCTAACAGCAGTTCTCACCGTCACACGTCTGCCCATTTCCTGCGTATCCCTCCAGACATAAACAAACATGGCTGCCAGCATCCAGCACACACTGTGCATTTACATCACATCGAAGTGAGTAGCACTCATTCTGGTCTGACAGAAAGGGAGCGCGCACAAACAACATTTAGTTAGACACGGATAATGAAAACCAGGAACCGCAGATCAGACGCTTTGGAAAGTTCCCTTTTACCTGAAATCATCTTATCCGTGTAGAGAACTGGCTCATCACTTCCATCTGAGTGGAAATCTTCCCTCTCCTTATCAGCTCTAAACCCGTGCGTTGTCAGTGTTGTGGTCTCATTGATAAATGTAAAATGAGGAGCTTGGGTTCCTCCAGAGTCTGTGAAAACAACAGGGGCATTTCAAATTTTTTTTTCTCTCTCTTTTTATTTTATTTTTTCCTTTATTTTCTTTTGTTTCTTTTTTTTTCTTATTTTTTTCTTATTTTCTTTCTTATTTTTTTTCTTATTTTTTTTCTTATTTTCTTTCTTATTTTTTTTCCATTTTTTTTTTTTCAAATTCTTCAATCATCTTGGAGGTTCATACAGATGTCTGCAGCTGAAACAGGACTCGGTACCTGTTGTGACATCTGAACCGTGGGCGGACGAGCAGCTTTTCCCGTCCGTGGACAGGCTGTAGCGGGGCAGACAGGAGCACTGGGCCAATCCCACTTTGCTTTCACACACCTGAGCACAGCCTCCGTTCCGGTGAAGGCAAAAGTTCGCCCCTTTAAAAGGCACATCAGAAAGAAAAGAGAGTTTTTTTTCCGTTAAAGCTGGGTACACATTGTATCTGGCTCGTTCTTGCGATGAAATAAAACAACTTAGGTGTTTTATTGATAAGTGTGGAGTGTTAAGAACAGTATTCTGGCAGTTAGTTTCTTTAATAGGCAGTGTGTCGCCTTTTTCTTTCCGTACCTGGTTTGGCGAGTGGGTGCACCACCACCACTGACCCCGGCTGGACCACGCGGCCGTGGATCCACTGGAGTCTCTTCCCAGTGCGCTTGTGTACGCTCCTCAGCTGCTGGTGCTCCCAGTCTGTGATCCAGAGCCTGTCCTCAAACACGGCCAGGTCAAAAGGACGACCTGGGGAGATGAAAACGGGGAAAAAAAGAAAGATCTGAATCAACTAAAAGACTCCAGGTGAGTGTTGGTGTTTCCCTGAATTTTAAGGAAACAAGCCAGAAGAGGATTTAATCAGTGTGTTGAACCCACCAATAAAAAACTCAACTCGATAAGATCATTGATAGTTGTGTTTTCCATTCTGATATGTGCTTTCTCGATCTCGTCTCAGCTTTGGTTTTACCTGCAGTTTTCATTTTAATTCAGAGCACATTTGACCCAAACCTCACCTACTTGGTTCTCTAACAGGATCCGTCGATCTGACCCGTCCAAGGCAGCGGTTTCCACCCGCCCTCTGGTCTGGTCGCACCAGAAGAGTCGATCCTCGGTGAAATCGATGGTGAGGCCGGTGGGGGACACCAGGCTGGAGCCCGCGACGACGGCCCGATCCCCCCCCTCCAGAGAGGCGCACTCCACCGCAGGCCGCACCCCTACGTCAGTCCAGAACACCTTCCTCAAAAAGTTCAGAGGAAAAACACGGCTTTTTATCATTTCGAACAGATTGAAACAGTGTTTTATTACTGTCGTTTGTTTTTAAAGTACCTCTTGTCGATAAGATTTACTTTAGACGTTAATTTAAGAGAGGAATGTTCAAGCAACTAAAATTTATGTTAAAATTTACGGCGTCAGTTTCAGACACGATGAATGGATGAGGCATTGGGTTTATTCTGTTCGATAAAAAATATGCCCCGCTTTAATTTAGCTCATAAATAGCCTGCAGTATATATTCTCTATGTATTTATCACAGCTTTTGAACAGTTATTGGTTTTGAAACACTCGAACCGGCAGCTTGTGTTGTGTTTTTATTTGTGGGGAAAAAATATACGTGTATGCACTTTGCCAAAGGATGAACGGCAATTCCTCTTGGTTTATCCAGTCCTTCTCTCACAACAGTTTTTCTGTGCAGTCCAGACAGAGAGCTGCAGTCAACGGTCGACTTGCTGGAAGAAAAACATCAGAATAACTGGATGTCAGTTCAGCTAAATGTCTTTTAGCTGTTTTACTGCTTTTTTTTTTTTGCATGAAATATAAGAAAAACAACAGATCAACAACATAAAAGCAGGGCTGAAAATGTTTGATTTGGAAGTGAAAAGGTCCTCATCAAATATCAAACACCTTTTGTCTGTCCAGTACATTCTGCGGTGGACCCAGTCGATGGTCAGTCCCTCTGGAGAAACCAATCCGCTGGAGATGAGAACATCTCTTGACCCCCCGTTTAAGTCGACCCGCTCAATGGTCTTTTGGCTCCCACTAGCAAAGTACACCTTTAAATACATAGAAAACATTAAAAAAAACTCATAAAAACCAGAAATGGCCACTAGATGTCACTACATGTTTGCACTACAACGTCCTTCTGGCCTGACGTTCACGTTGCTACATCAGCAGCATCAAAAATGCATCTTTACAGATGTGAGGCACAATAAAAAGATGAAAAGGGGTTTTACATAATTCTGGACAGGGTCGTAATCCAAAGCTAGGATGGTTCCTCGAGGCTCCTTCACCAGGGTTTGATCTTCTGTGCCGTCGGGGTTGATTCGTCTCACGTCTACCAGGTTTGCAACCAGCAGATAGGGCGGAGGTCCTGGAGAGTGAGGGCACACAGAGATATAACTTTGTGAGATTGTTGTTTGGTAAGAGGCTCCAAAAGTGGAAGCGTTGTTTCGCGTGGGTTAATCTGCCTCCGCCATCTGCTTTGCCACAGGATGACTCACCGGTTGCAATGCAGCGTTTGCCATCTTGGTGGAGCTGGTAGCCAGGCAGACAGCCACACGTCCACCCCCCCGGGGCGGTGGGGGTGCAGACCTGACTGCAGCCTCCTCTGTCTGCCGCTGAGCACCCTGCCACCAAACAAACCAGAGCTGATGTGGATCTATTATACGTATCCAGATCAGGCAAAAACGGCTCCTTTGTGTAATGGTGCAGCAGTCAGCGTTTCTCTCTTTTTTTTTTTGCCAGATGGCAGCAGGGGGAACAGATTGCCGGGGTAGACGCAGTCTTTTTCAGTCCCTGGGCTCTTAGCAGCATCGTGGATGCGCCGTTGATGTTTGGTGTATCGGTAAAACAACGTTATGAGCAGCTCTTATCAGGAGCTCACTCCGTTTTTTATGCTTCCGGTTATGAGGCCGATCTGTTTCTCCTCACTAGACTCTTACCAGGCAGTTAACTGGCCCCAAATTCCTCTCTAAGCGTTGCTGTTTATGGATTTTTTAAAATAACTACAGTGGAATTTTGCGATAACCATGACAGGTTTTCTATTATGCTGTTTCCCAGAAAAGTAAAACTGTTCATCCTCTCCACTTCAGCTGCAGTCATGTGCACAGGAGTGTATATCTTTGTCCCCTTTCCTCTCTTATACTGACCCAGAGGAATTGGCTGTTGTCAGCTCCTAAACTGATAGCTTTCCTGCTTGTCTTTTGGTGGTGGTGCAGAAATTTTCTCTATCTTCATATTAAGAAACATTAATCTGCAGTAAATACATAAAATAACTCTTTCTAGAATAGTGTACATGTTAGCACTGACTACTATTGATTACATTTGAGTGTAAAGGATTTGATGTCCTTAAAGCATAGCATTGTGATTGTTACAATTTTTTTTTTACAGATTTCAGCCCAATAAGATAGGTCTCATCATCCAATACCAGTGCACGCTTGTCCATCCTCCTGTAGAATTGTTCCCTCAGGGCAAACGCAGACGGCACCATTTTCCGTTGCCAGGCATCCATGGCCACATTTTGTCATGTTGTCATCACATGGTATGATTTCTATCAAAGAATAGATAGTTAAACAATGTACTTTTGAACCGTAGTTTTGTCATATAATGGCTGAATGGGTAAAATATTCTATAGAAACAAGTATCTTTGAACATGATATATCATAACAACTGAAAAGGAAAAAGCTGAAAGTTCGTGATAACATTACAAGGTTCGAGTTAATAAATCTACCCCTGTTCATTAGTGAGAAGTGATGTGGCATGATCAAAGCTTTTCCTGGTTATTTTAGGGCCTGTTTGGTGTAGATGATCCGGATGAACAACAAGCCTCTTAGGCCTTGCTTTGGTCAGATCCCTTTATGAAATCAGGCCTAATCCTGATGAAATAGTAGAAAGTGTGATGAGAAGCTCTCACAGTGAGAGTGATGCAATGTTTGCTCACAGGTGAATGGCATTGTGGGCCGGGACTACAGAGGCATGGAAGGAGTCTAGTGTAACGAGAGATTTTGCTCTTTGTTGTGGGGCAAATCTGTCTGGAAAGACAATATAATAATATTTACACTTTTATGGTTTTTCATTACTTTACTAATTGTCAATTATGTGACTATAATCACATAATAATGACTTGGCAATGATACACTCTCTTTTAACTGAAAATCATGGTGAAACTCAGGGAGTTAAACTGCTTCTGTTAATTATTTTTAACATATCAAAAGTAGATCCCATAAATAGCATAATGATAATATACTTCTGCTGTTAGCTTCCTCGTTACTTAGTCACATGCTTCTTTTCTATTGGACCTTGGCAAAGGTTATCTGCTGGATAGCTTAGATGTACAAAGCTGCTGACAAGATATGTTCCCTACTGCAAATGTCACCTCATCAACTAATCTCATTGTGTCTGTGAACCACTCCTATTGTCTTGGCTTCAAAGCAGTGAGATTATAAGGGAAGTGATTAGGATTAGGGCTGTACCGGTGCAGCCGCTAGCCAATTTTAGCAGCTAACGCTGGCCTATCGCAGGTATACTGCACGGCTACCTGTTTAAATACAGTATCTGTTTAATATCAGCCGATGTTTGTGGAGCATTTTTGGCAGAGATTAGTCTCTCCTCTTTGAGTGCAGTGAAGCACATAGGAGTGCTGCAGATGATCATTAGACTGTAACATATAGAGTTTAAAAGCAAAAAAAAACGAATTTGTTAATTTGCTAAGCAATTTTTTTTTTACTTTCTAAATCGCTTTCTTCAAAAAGTAAAAATGAACAAAAATCTTTTATCAATAAGCCTCGTAGGGCTCTAAATTTAAATCCATATTACAATCAATTGCTGTTTAACCACTATATGGCCACTCCATTCATTGCAATTATAAATTAGGCCAAAAAGGGATATTCGAAGGGATGGAGTGAGAAGAATATATTACAAAATGTGTATAAACCAGCAGTTTGTTTTGATTTTCTACATAATCTCTAGTGAGAGCGATACATATGTTCATGTCAACAAATCCAATTATTTGAGTTACGCTCTATTTAAAAAACCTATTGTTGTACTGACATACAATTGACCTGTTTTATAACAAATAGGAAAGTGTGTGTTTAGGACAACAAGTGGCAGAAAAGCCAATAGAAAAAATACACTGGGCCATTTTGGGCACAAATGTGGCTGTGAACATAGGCCAGCAACCAAACAGATACACCTGACTCCGAAAAAGCGAGTCGTTCTTTGTGCCGTCTCCCTGCTCCGATTGGCCTTACACAACCTGACAGTGGAACTGTTGTTAAGCTTTCAGGGGTGTGACAAAGTGTCAGTGTTTTGACCCGAGCAACCTAACACACAATTGGCAGCTCCCATATGTCTAGTCTGTCTGGATGCCTGTGACCCAGCCTTTTTATAGGTTCTCTAGGGTCAAGTCTGGTAGACAAACACCAACTTTGACAACATCACACAGGATCTAATCTAAAAACCGAGGCAACAGTTGCCGTGTCGGACAAAATAGCATTTTGAATGAATTAGATGTTTTCCTGATAACTATTTTCTTTGAATGTACATCTATAACTTAAAAATATGGGCACTTTAAAACCTTAAAAATGTTGGCTTTTTTGTAAGCCAAGAGATCACATATTTAATTCAACTTATTAGTACACGATATCCTAAAAATTTGTATTTTTTCGAGTTGTGTACTCACAATACTTGAAGAAATTGAATAAAGAAATTGCGATATTGCTATATATACAAGAATAAGGTTTATATTTCACCTGTGCATGTCTTCCTGTCTGGTAAAAGGGCGTATCCTTTGGGGCAGGTGCAGAAATAGGAGCCTGGGATGTTTTCACAACCCAGAGAGCAGCCGTGGTTCCAATGGGCACATTCATTCACATCTGTACCTCACAGACAAATAGCATGCAGTAAGATTTCCAAGCAGAAGCTGTTATTGATTGATATTGTAATTAATTTGTGAAGTGCCGTCAGCTCGAGTAGTGAATTGTAAATTTGCAGCCACAGTTAAAATTCCTACATTATGATTATTATTTCAATTCTGCTCCACTAACCTTGACAGTGGGTGCCGTGCTTACTAAGAGCAAAGCCCTCCCTGCATTGGCAAACCCCTTGTTCCGCTAGACTGGAGCACACATTAACACAGTTCCCACTCTGTTCATCGCAGCCTGCTTGAAAAAAATGAGCAGAGGAGTATATGGTTACAAAAATGGAACACTAACGCTTCATCTGACCAAGAAATAAACGAAAATTAAATAGTTGTTTTACCGCACCTGGAAACGGCGACAGGTATTCGGCCATTGGCTGGTTAAGAGGATGCACTACTTTGATGTCAACGGGAGGCCTTGCCATTTGCTTCATATTTACTTCTACCGGCGCCCCACCAGTGTACTTGTTCACTTGTTTTATGGCCCGAGACACGGCATCGGTGTAGTAGAGGTGCTCCCGGAAAACTGAGATGCCAAGTGATTGAGATCTGACAAAAAAGAGGTAGTTCATTTTCATCAAAACAATGAACAATAGTGCACACTTTCATTAAATAAAGCCAAAGGATGCGGGAGCGAGCTCACCGTAGAGGCTGACCCATGATGTGTAGGACATTTCCGTTGTAATCGCAGGAGGAGATGGAGCTTTCTCCTTGCAGACCAAACTGAGCCCAGAACAGCCTTTTTTCTTCCCGGTCAATCGACAGCGCTTGGAGTTGCTCTTCTATCTTGATTATTGTGATTTTCTTCCCCCCAGCGACATTAGAACGTTGGATGCTTGAAATCATTCCACCAGACAGCCAAAACAAAAGCCTGTAAAAATACAGAGTTTTTCTTGCTTAAGTGAAGGCTTTCCATTTTTACATAAACAAAACCCCCATAAATTGTAATCAAGTTAGATATGATTATAGTTAAGGTTAAAGATAACTGTTTTGAATTTTTTGCTGATTGTAGACTTTAAAATGTACCCATCACTGGGTGTCTATTGAACCCAAATGCATTCAACAGTAATTATAAAACAACATTTACTGTCCGTTATCACAGAAACTTGTATTACATTAACCATGTCTGATGGAAGGAGGACGCTGTCAAATGGAAGAGATTACCTGTTTGACGGGTCAATGTTTATCGAGCTTGGCTGGTTTAAGTGTCTTAAGATGGTCCTCTCGTTTTCCCCATCTATATCAATTCTTTTTATTTCTCCCTTCTCTCTGCTTGTCCAATAGACACTGTTCCAAATCCAGTCCACTGCCAGGCCTGAGATGTGTTTGTCAAAAGAATAAAGTTTCTGTAAAACAAACAGCCGTGTTAGATCACTTCTATAAATGGGAATCGAGATCACACTAATAAAAAGAAAAGCTGAATAACGGATCCGGCCTCTAGACTGAAATCCTTAACTGGGGCAGTGACGGACATTGGCTATCTCATTGTGCTTTGTTTGATTGTGGTATTCGTGCCGTTGTTGTTTTGACAACTTAAACACTGCTGCAGGCCCTGCAGGCCGTCTCCATGGCGACAGCTTTGCACTTTAATAGTTGTCTCTACCAATAAGATCAGTGCCCTAACTAGTTAACCCATAAAACATCATCAGATAGTTTTTTGATGATTGGTGAGCAAATTTTCACCATAGAAAGAAAAGAAAACAAGTGAACGGCTTACAAAGGGGCTGGAATCTATTGTCAAGGACTGAGTTTTCAGCAACTTCTGACCAGTTACGTATTCACCTGTCTGTGTGCTCCTTTCACAGATGCTTTGTAGATGACCCCCGTGCGTTTGTCGGCCCAGTAAATTCTCTCTTCTTTGAAATGAAAGTCGAGCAGGATGGAGCCTCCCACACCTGCCACAAGCCTTCTGTGATTCCTGCCATCCAGGCCCATCCGATGAATGGATTTGCCATGGCCGAATATCAGGAACGGCTGTGAGGCTGACGAAATTCCACACACACACAAACAATTGCTCTTTTAAATTTAATTTTCAAACTCTTAAACATGCCGCATGCAGCAATTCCCAATGTCATTGTTTTAAAAGCGTAACATCTGAGATTATTGTAGAATAACCAAGGATCTGATCTTTGATATCTCCGACAAAGCTGAGTGCTTCCTGCATGCATTATCTTTATCCGTGTTTAGATTCAAAACCTGTGTGTTAAGGTCATACGTGCAGATTTTAAGTGCATGTCGAAAATGCTTTCAAAATGAATGCCCTCAGTTTATCTAAATGGATCCCACGGTAGCCACGGCAGCGTTTAACGTTTCAATGGCAACTCCATCTTGCTTTGCGTCACCCTGCACTTATTGTTAAATTTGTCAAATTGTCTTAATAAAAAGCCTATTCTCCGCTGTAATGGGGAGAAATGTGTGGCAGCCGCAGCTGCTTCCGAACGAAGCATCATCCCTTAGCAACAAATAGCTTTGGCGCCGCTCTTTCACTATATTGAGAAGCAAATGACGCCAGAGGCTTTGGCAGTTCATCTTTGTTCAAGATTTTTGGGGTTATAGATCAAAACTGCACACTATCTGTAAATTCTGCTATGAGAAGAATGAGTAATGTTAAAAAGTATTGGCCTGCTATCAGGCTTGCTGTCAGCATTAGTTTAAACTTTTACCAACTTGGATGTGAGCTGAAATGAAATATGTGCTCTTTTCTCCAAGTTACTGATGACCGACAGTCCCTGAGACACTGTCATGTGCAACAGGAGACGCTGCTCTAAACACTGAGGAATGACAAAAACAATGAGTAACGCCAGACAAACAACACAATGCAACGTCTACCCTGAGATCTCTAAAAATGGCTCCTAATGGTGACTTCTGCTGGTGCATTCTGATGAATCACTGGGTTCACTGGGTGGTCAACATGCTTTTTGACCCCATTACATGAACATAATTATGGGAATTCAAAACTTTTTTTCTTACTTGTGACTAAATTAGTCAAGGTTAAACTCTTAAAACGACTGTTTTTCATTGCAAACTAATTCAGCTTATGCCCCAAAATCCAAAAACTGAAACTGATTAAAGAAATACGCCAAGGGGTTTGTGTTATTGAGCCTGCCATGGAAAATTATTACAATGATGCTTTCCTGTTTTGTGCCTTAATAAACAAAACTGGGGGAAAGAACATATTAAGTAAGGAAATCCTCCAAAAATCCCAGCGGTTAGAATATGGTTTTCACTTCTAGAGCCACACCCTTTTTCTTAAATCCCAGTTTTCTACAATGTAATTTCTTGCATGTACTACATCTTTAAAACTGTGTTTATGTTTTTTATCTAAAATTCCAGGTTTTAAGAGCTCCTAACCTAAAACAGGGATGGTGGTTGAAGCATTGTATCTGACCTCTCCATGGTGGATAGGAATAATGTAATTCGTTAATATAGATATATATAGTTTCTCCATTTACTGGCATAACTAATCAAATAAATGCAGCAAACATGTAGTAACAAAGCAACTTCTACAGTCTTAAATGAGTTGACAATTGTTCGTACATTATTAAATGGACAGTTATTGGTATGGATCAAGTCTCACTTGTTGTTTGATAAGAGCTGACGTACTCAGGAAAACCATCAAATGTGACAAAAACACGCCAACAGTCAGGAAAAGAGTAGATCACAACATCAGAAATAACACTTTTTATCAGATGGAACAGTCAACACTGAGAGGTGTCAGACTCACCCATGCAGGTGATGTTCCCTCCAGCTTCGGCCTCTTGCTCATCCCAGCATCTAGCACCGAATTCCACACTTTCAGTGCTTTGAACCACGAAATAGATCAGTGCCGTTGTTACCGTGGCAGCCAACATAATCTTGCGTTTTTGTCCCCGCCGCACTTCACTCAGTCTCAGGCGTTCCCACCATCATCACGTAAATTAACGAGGGTTTTCCTCTGGACTCTTGGCATCCTCGTCAAAGGGCTCGCACCGAATGAGGCGGTGGAGTTTTACATGCCAGGAGTTGTCTCGCTGTAGGGATGCAAAAGCCCTGCCGATAAGACCTCTGTTGGTTGACTGAGGAGGGTAATGCTGTCAGCGCAGTGTTCAATGCCTCCCAAAAAAAAAAAAAAAAAAAGCGTCTGGGATGCTGATCCCTCCCGACTTCGGGCCTTCAGACTGCCAGTCTGTTTTGGAGGCAAAGATTGAAATTCCTAACACCCCAGTGGTAAATTTAGCACATGCTAGTCCAGCATCAGTGGACGAGGATCTTCTTCAAAACTGCAGTTTGTTTCTCAACTAGAAATGTGGAATATGCAAGAAATGAGGCTGGGCTGTACATCCCAACAACATATTCCCCTTAGACTCCACCCCCTAACCTATGTCCTTTGTGAATATAGACGGATGTTTTCAGTTTTGGGCAGTTTTTTTTTTGTCTGGGAAGAAGAGACACAAAGAGAGATCGTCACATGGGCCCCCGTCGGAATCCCACTCTTTTTCATTTTTCCTTACTTACAGCACAAGTGTAGTTTTCCACAAGTCCGGCACATAGAAAATAATGTTTTTTTGTTTGTTTTTTGTCAGTGAGTGAATGAGAAGTCAGTGTGTCAGGCTGTCCAAGTTCATCTGGCTCCCACAGGTAATTAGCAGAATTTATAGAGAAGTGGAGCAAATCATCTGTAAATGGTTTGTCCTTTTTCTTACTCGGGAGAACAACTAACAGAGAGCAGGAATTACAACCTCTATTCATGGCCGCCATGACTGGGATATTGTCAGGATCAGCGTCACCAGTAACTCTGTATAGGAGCTGAAGATTTACACTGCTGACAAAGGTTCCTTGTCTCTGGGATAAAGTTGACAGACAATCGGGTGCTGACCTTTCCCCCAATATATAACAATATATAACACATTTTAATACTAACCTTCACTTCTAATGCATGGAAACCCAGATTAGTATTCACAATAAACTCAGTATGCCCTTTTGACCCCACAAACTCATTCTATACCATCACACATTCAGTTATTGGGCCTGAATCACAGATTCCAAACTGAAAATATAAATTAACTTATGGACTAAGCGCTCTAAAAGTCCACATCTCTGTTCAGTATTAGAAGTGCATTTTTACGCTCATATTTATTTATTTTTTATGAAAAAAAAGCAAGTCTTATGCAAGTCCAATGTTAGAAACTGACCTTTATTTTGCACAATGTTGGTCTTTGAAAGTGTTTTTCAAGAGGATGCTTTATTATTTGTGTGAAACATGGGCAAATACATACTAAATGTTTTTTTGGAGGCTATTAAATTGCTTGACAGTTTTCCTAACAGAGAGTCTGTGCAGAGTAAGGATGGAATTGCAGTAAATAATGTATCTGCATACGGATAGAGGCAAGTTGATGCCAGAATCTTACTGCTGCCCCACTGAGGAGCAGAGCAGAAGATCAAACTCACCATGAGCACTGTTGCACAAGCGGATTTTAACATTAAGAGGCTGCTCTTTCTAAGATTAGAGTGAGCAACTGGCAAGTTTGCGCAGCAGCGGACCAGTGGTCATCCACAATGGAACATTTGAACTCCACTACCAAGCTGCCAGTTCCATGTATAGTGGCTTCAGATGCCACTGGCTCGATTTCTCTGAGTCCACTGCACACCCACGACCGTTTTACTTATTCACATGATCAGACACCTGCAAGAAAGGTGTTTGATGGGGGTTCGCAGTAGTCCATCTGCACTGAATAGAGATGTCATCGCTCCAGGCTGAAAGAAATGTCCAAGTCCAACTATAATTCTATCTGGATTTACTCCATTGTGCAGGTCTTTGGAGAAAAAGACAACTTTGACTCACTGATTGTCTGCATGAGCACTTCTGGTGAAGTTGATAACTTACTGAGTAATTATTTGGAAATTTTATTCTAAATTTGACTCTCAAGTATATTATTCAGTACTCTTGCATTACCGGAGGCCCTTTTCTGTGCAGAATCCTTATCCATTTTTTCAATACATGGTACAGTTGTCCTCTGCTGACATCCCCCTCAAACATCAGTGAGCTCAACTGCTCATCACAGAGCTGTAGAAAATTGCATATATACAGAAAACAATGATGTGTATTCAGATACTAGTGCAAAGTCTTTCAATCTACTCCTAAACATTTGTAACGGTGCACAAATTTGTAATTAATCCTCCAAGGCTTTACACCCTCATGTGGTCAGGTGTCTTTGACCAATCAGTGGTCCGTGGACACTGACCCACTTCTTCATGGCATGCTTGGATCATTACCTGAGTGAGTACCAAGAAAAGTACTTGGTACCAAGTATAACTCACAGCAAAAAGAAGAACAACACGCCAAGTTAAGCCACGCATTGTCACGGAAAAGAGACACGATAAAGAGCTGTTTCTGAGCCTTCGTCCATTAGGCTTACTATTTCAGTGTCATGTTAATAGGAATTTAAGAAACTGTCAGTAAATGTTCGAATGGGATGCACTGAAATGTTTTATGTAGATTTTTGGGAGGGGTTTATTGTTCTTGTTTAGGGCAGCAAGGTGCTGCGGTGGTTAGCACCATCCCCTCACAACAATAGGGTTCTGGGTTCGAGTCCCCGGGGGAACCTGGTGAACCATGTAAGTTTGCAAGTTCTGCGTGGGTTATGTCGTCAGAATCATTGAGACTTTCTAAAATTACATTAATGCCCGAATTTCCCTCAGTAAAAGATAAAACACAGGTATATATGCTTCAAGTGAATATGAACATATCAAAAAGTGTCATCATGGATTTCGACCTGAAATTCAACAGTCGTTAAGATAATGGTGATTAACCTCACTTTACCCTCAATTTCTGAATCACAGTATCGGTCTACCTATAAGGCTCATTGGCTGCATTTTGCATCCTCACTGATATCAGAAAACTGGATCCTTTTTGACCACAGAAGTTGGTTTTAAAAGAGTAGCAGCTGTTTGTTTTTTTGGGCCAACTATTTTTTTCCCCGCATTATTTGTCCATTTTGTCATTGATACACAATGTTTGCATCACACGTATACGTTGTTAGTTTTAGTTTATTAAAAACTGAAAAAGTATCAGTTTAGAGACAGTCATATACAAGTAATCATATAAAGTGGCAATATTTATTAGAAGAATCACAGAAAGTATTCTATAAAACACATTGACAGTACTTTTGTGTCTAATAAGGCAACAGTTGGAAAGATCCTTAAAGCAACCATGATGCTGTAGATGAGATGGGAAGTATTATGGGTCTCCTGTGAGATCACCACAATATTCATTTCTGACACTTTGCAATTTTGGCATTATACATGACATTAGATACCATTCACAGACAACTGCAATGCTCCTTTTACGTGTGAATATAAGGCTTACAAGCGAGACATAAATGAATATATCAATCCAAGTTCCTTTGTCAACCATCTTAGAGTGGTTTCAATAACCCTCTTACAAATTATGACGACACTGCTCTGTCAAATACATATTCTTTTACAGCCCACTGATGTGAAAATATTTAAAGACTTACATGTGATTTCATAGATGATTTTGAGTCCAGAAAGGCAAAGAGTATTTGTTAATTTTCTAGCTACAATGGTACTAAAGTATTGGCCTTTGACTTTGACCTCAGCAGAGATATTCAGACCGTGAACTGTCACTCTTGTAGGTCATTTGGGAGTCTATGCTCGACCGGGAGCAAAGCAACAGTCGCTCTGATTCGTGGGTTGACCTTCGTGCCCAGAACTCGGCTGGATGAGCATTCAAAGTTCTGTGTTTCATTGAAATGGTCTCAAACTTGACGTAGCTTTCTTTTTCTAACTCCGGATCGTCTGAGGCTGGGCTGTCTCCTTTGCAATAAAGGGCAAGAATCTTATAAACCAGCAGGGCGATGAGAGGCAAAACCAAGGCGCAGGCAATCACGCTCATGACGAAGAAAAACTGGTTCTGCCCACCGTCCTCTACGTTGTCCAGGGTGTAGAAATCTATGCACGGGTCCTTGCCGGCAGTGCTACCTTTAGCTACCAGGCAAACCGAGTACCTCATCCCGGGTGACAGTCCATCGAGGAGCACTTTCCCACTGCCAGAATTAGTGTCTATTGTCCTCTTAACGTCATCTTCACCATAGGGTGAATATACAACCGTGAGTGGGGAACCATTCGGTAATCCACTTGCACTCCAAAGCAACACTGCGCTGTCAGTGGTTTCCTCTACAATTTTCAGGTCTTTGATGGACTGCGACGGATCGCTCTTTTTGCTCTTCTCGTCTGCAGCGAGTTTCCGGCCGTTGCCTCCCTGCTGAGTTTTTGCCTGCTTCAGCGAGCCTTTCTGTGAGCCGCTCCCGGGAGTCGGTTTAGTCTTCTTCTGGACTCCGGAGAGTGCTGTCGTTGACCTCGGGAGGGGTGCGGACACGGTGACCGGTGAGTTGGAAACGTCTGCCGGGGGAGTGGTGGTCACATTTTGGCTGGACGGTCCAGTGGCGACCCCGGGCCGCAGTGGGGCGATCGTACTTATGAAGCTCCCCGCAACCGAAAGGGTTATCGTCTCTGCCGCATTTCCGGCAACATTCTTCGCTTTGCAGCTGTAGTTCCCGGCGTCTTTGAACTCTATCCCATGCAAGCTCATGATGGACCAATTGATGCCTTCCCCCGGTGACTCCTGGACTGAATAGCAGAGGAAGAACACAAATTCAAACTAGTTTGCAACTTCAAAACAATAACTACGAACATCGTCATGAAAGAACAAAGTTCTCGTTGAAGTCCTACCGGTGTTGTTGACCGGTGAGCCATCGGACTTGGTCCAGTAGAGAGCGGGTGTTGGGGATCCAGTGGTGTCACATCGCAGGAGAACGTTACTCCCCAAAGCGGATGTTATCTTGGTCGCTGATACCATCACTGACGGCTTCACACAATTTTCAAGCTCGGCACGCTGAAATAGGACACCGACCAGGTTCTCTGGTGCAGCACAGGTCAAGAAGAGATCCATCAAAACCACGGGTGTGACAGCCATTTTGGAAATTTCAATGAGCTTGGATATTTTACAGTCACAGAACCAAGGATTGTCCTGGAGGCCTGAAAATGATGAGAGAGAAATCTGATTATTGATTGTAGCAACATATAGCTAATTGCCAGATTACTTTCTATTATGCACAGTTGTAATGTTGATAAATAATGGCAAGCTACTTAAGCAGTTTCTTTAAAGAAATTGAGTTGGTCATTAACAACTTGTTTCTCTTTTGTGTAACAAGACATTGACAAATACAAAATTACGTCAGTATCTAGTGCAAACAACATGTATAACTCATATGAAATCATTGTTGAGACATCCAGTTTCTTATGAGGAGCCTCTAAGCTGTGTGATTTTCCTCTTATATATTTAAAAATTCAGAGCACGTTACTGGAAATGTAAGAAGCTCCCTCGCCAGCATGCTGTCAACACCTGATGCTCGAAGTAGCTAAACACATGCACATGTACCAGTCCATTACTAAGCCCCTCTACAGGATTACTTGGTCTTAACAGTGGAAAAGCACCTAAGCTGCCTCTGGCCGTCCTGCAACTTGCGGTAACACAGTTTCCATTAGCTTGTCTTTTCACTTAACATCATTAGATCACCAACCACAAACACCTTGTAATCCATTTGTGATTAAAGAACTAACCATTTTTGTGTGGTTATTTGCAAATTTCATTGCCCAACATTATAATTATCGCAACTGTTAAGACCAAATTACATCAATGAATAGTATGGATAATTTCCTTGCTACTTTCTTTTCTTTAAAAACAAGATATTCCCCAAATTATTCAAAATAGTAAATTGATCATTTCCCTCAAACAATTTTTTAACACATTTAATTTTCTGATCTGAGCAGTAAAAAAAAAGGTGACTAAATGAAATGCTGACATAATGTTACTCTGTCCAATGGCGTTTGATCCAGGAGCTGATTGGCATGGATCCAGCTAGAAAAGAGCTTCCAGGGTCTTAAAACACATTTTGAAAACACTTACATTGATTATATTATGTGCCAGGAATAGTTATATCTCAGTCCCCAGAGCATACACATAACCAGCAGAATCATCAGTGAGGTCATTATTTGGTTCAGGTTGCTGTTTTGTGTGACTATATTTTAAAGTCATTTCACCATTGCCTGTAATTTTACATTGTTTATGAAAATGTGATTAATTACAGTGCATATGATATCTAATCCTCACTTCTAACATGGATTTGATTAACTGACTGCACAAATGAATCAAACTAAATGAAAACAACATTTCTGTTGTGGTCATTGGCTCATGAAATTGAATTTAATAAGTATTGTCTTTCTGACAGAAATGAATATTGGCCTCTTTAATTGCTTCTCGAGACTGGTTCTAAATTTCTACATGGCCAGGAGACTTCCAGATGAGGGCACCCGAGTAAATCTGAATCTTTGAGACAACTGTTTACACTGATTGTCACACAACTGGATGTAAGCCTACTCATTACAGTTACTGTTTTTTAGATAAAAATCACACCAAGCCACACGATGCAGAGTTGCCTGAATGAATGGACAGACAGGAAATTTAAAAACTCTGATGTTTCATCACTTAAAGATAGGATTCTGCGCAGATTTATTCAGCTTGTAAATGAGCACACTTTGTTTGGTTTACCGTTTGCTTTCCTTGAGTTATTTCCAGGAAATAAACATTCTAAATCCAGATAATGACAAGTGACCTGTCTGCATGAACCTTAAATCAACCTTATTTGACTGTGTCCTCACAATCCGGACAACTCAGCCAGACTGTCCTTAGGTAAGTACAAATAACCCCAAAAGTGCACTGCCCTGGCCCTAATATCCTGTAAAACCCTATCAGACGCAACATTTTCCTCTTACCTAAGATGACTTTCTGAGAGACATTAGAAGAGACGGGTAGTCCATTAAAGGGTGGCCATATATCCATGAGGTCAGAAGGTAGGGTGGCTATTTTGTTGCTGGATAGATCCAAATAGGTTATATTGCGAAGATAGGGGATTGCCTCAGTGGGAACAGTGGTGATCCGGTTATTGTGGAGATCCAGTGTCCTCAGCCTGGGCATCTCCTTAAGAGACTCCCAAGGGAAAAGAGAGATCATGTTTCCGTCAAGTCTGAGCTCGTGGAGCACCTTCAGGTTGTAAAAGCTTCCAGTATCGACTGAGGTTATGGAATTGTAGGTAATCCACAGGTACCGTAGATCAACCAGGTAGTAGAAGGCTTCGGTTGGGATCCGCCGCACTGCGGTTTTCTCCACGCGGAGTTTGATGGCATCCACGGGAACGTTGACCGGGATTTCAGACATGTCTGGGTCGTTGCAAAGCACAGATCTGAAAAACCAAAAAAAAACACATCTTTCATGAGACAATACTACTCCATTTTGAAGAATTACGACTTTTTTAAGGTTTAAGGGCTAAATGTCCGTGCATTTGTTCATCCATTTAAGCATCATCCATGCATACAATGGACTGCTGTAATGTGCCATGCCTAGTTCACCTCGAGGGCACTTACCAGATGCTAAGGTCAGAGATAATCGCTGCCATCAGAAACAGCGAGTGGTCATGTGGACAGACCGGGATGGAAATGTCGAAAACCACTCCCAATGATCAGCGTCATTACAATCAGCAGTTTTTATCTAAAGCAACTCACAAGAGTGGAAAACCCACTCTTTAATGTTTGTTTACTTAATTATTTTTCCACATTAACTCGTCACAGATTTAAGTCATTATCACACATCTGACTTCTGGGTTGTCTTCACATGCATGGAAGAACTGGGTTTAGCATTAATCTGACTAATCATGCCAGGGGGGAAAGTAGGGCTTCCTCAGCTACAAAGGGATTGGCACAAGGCCAGAAAAAAACAACATTAAGTCCACACAAATTTTAAAAAGCTTGAAATGACTCACTGTAGTTTATTGGGACAATTGACATCAAATTTTGAATATTTATTCTAATTTCTTTTCTGTTTTTTGGGGGGATGCAAACTTTGAATAGTCATTTATTCAAACTGTGCCACATTCCCACATACTTCATAGGCACCAAAAGAGTGTGTGTGTAATTATTCAGTGATTTTCTTATTTATATGGGTTCTGACTGACAATAAATCATCAGGTTTCTAGCTTTAGGAGGACACAGTGGTGATGCCTATTTACATTTTATTAACACCTGTCACAAGGCAGCCAAAAATAGCAAAATCTGTCATTTATTTTGTAAAGAAAGAAGTTGAAATATGCATTACCTGGTTCCTGTTCCGTCTGTGCGCCCGTGAAAAACACAAGTACACTGGGATGGACAGAAGGGCACCGCCATGCTGAGGCAACATAAGAATACATGCACGCAGAGAAGTCGACGCATGATGTCATCCAGTGCACCCACAAAGCTCACACGGAGGACAAATCGGGGAAAAAGACATCCGGATTCAGGGGAGTTCTGCCCGGGGAAGTAATGAAGAGAAAGAAAAGTAAAAAGAACTTCCAAAATCCATAAGGGACTTCGGTACACAGGCTGAGGATCTATCCTCAGTACAGGTGACCTGTCAGATGGATCCCGGCGGGCGGGGGGGTGGAGATGGAGGGGATTAGTGAAGGATTTCTTGGGTTTGAAAAGGGTCACGGAAGCTCACAGACAGTTTTATCAACATGGCGCTTCTTCTTCGTTTCAACGCGCTGTTAGTTAGTTTAAAATGAAGAGGGACCCTAACACCAATCAGACATGCTTTCTTTACGATTTGCATTCAGATTTTCTTTTCCCACCCCCCTAAAATGTCATGCTTGTCACACAGGGCCTCTGTTTGTGGCTGACACCAGTGTGTTTTTCTTTCTAGACACCGGGCTGTTGTGGTTTGAGCTTTTCTTAAACCTGCTCCTGGAAAAAAAAAAGGGGGGCGGAGAATGAATCTGATACAAGCTTCGCTCCCTCAAGAATTCCTCAAATGCAAATGTGTTTCTGGGCTGGAGGGCATATTTAAGAAGTGCGAGGGGGTTCTGTCTGGCACCACAGTGCAAAGTGTAGTCTTGGAAATGATTTATTACCTGGCTGGGGGCAGATCAGTGGCTTCAGGCTGGAGGCAAAATTCAACCAGCTCACCACTGGAAGATTCTCAGTCCTGCAAACCTTTCATATGTTTAGTAGATATATATTTTTTCCAAACAAGTCTCTTTTCAGTAATTGTATGCTGTTAGGACATCAAGAAAAAGCTCATATAAACAAACACAGCTTCAAACTTCTAGATCTTTCTTCCATAACTTGATGCCTCGTCCGTTCTTATTAATTTATTATAAATATTTTCAGAACATTTGTTGTTAATTTTCTTGTTTTCTTTGCCCTTTTGTGCAAAGTTACAACCATGCAATGACATAACTATTTTTATTTGGTGATACTCGGGGAAAGGAAGACATCTAGTGGGGAGATTTAGTACTATTTTCAAGTGGAGCTTCTTTATTTATTAATTTTTTTACAAAATTCGACCAATTTTTAATTCCTCTGGCAGTTGTTAATTTGGATTTCCAGTAATCCCAACAATAGGACTGCTTGGCGTCAAAACAAAAGAAGGCACAAGCGACCTGTTGCATTTATTAACAAGTACACAAGTGAATTTTATTTCTGCAAGCAAATTTGATCATACAGGTCAAATAAGCCACTTCAAGCTGTTGGCACATGAATGTACAAAACAAATTTGATTTAAAGCTTGCTACTAAGCATCCGTAGTGAAAGTACAAAAGACTAATACAGGGAGAGAGCTGAAAGCCTTCTTTTTTTTCTTTTCTGATCATCACAGAGTAAGCAATGTTGGTACAGGTATCAGCTTTAAGACATGGTTGAAAGCTCATCACAAACTAAATAGACACAACTCAAGGACTACAGTCTATAATATCAGTAGCATAACGCAGAAAGCGTGGGAGGGTTTAGTACTGCACATAAAAAAGGGTTGAACCAGCAAGACAGTCAAAGTGTGAAATAAAAGTGGAAGAAAGTAACTTTTGAGTCAATAAGACTATACCGATGCATGTCCATGCCACAAAAAACATCTAAATTCACAGTCTTTACTAACAGTACAGTTATCCAACTTTGAGTTGAACACCAATGCGCTTACATTTAGAGAGAGCACAGAAATGGTCAAATAAGTGCAAGAAACTAGCTTTGAGGAATACTGATATAAAAATAAAAAAAAACACCAGGCAATGGAGTGACAGGCCACCTTTGTGGCCATATGGCATCAGAATATGTAGGCAACTGTTACTGTCATGAACATAAAAAATACTGCGACACACACTTTTATCAAATCTCATAATTCCACCAAGGAGTGCCATTGTGCCTACGACTTTTCATTGTCAGGCTTTCTTTTTCTTTTTGAAAGTGAGCGGACACTTTGATTCTTATTCTTAACACAATTGTCCTTAAATGTCAGTGCGAAACATATATGTTTGCTTTGATATATCAGTATGTACAGTGCAGAGTTCTGCATAAACAGGAGTTTAGTATTTATAAAGTTCTGCTTTCATGAAATTAAAAAGGGATTATGAAAGCATGTGCTTTGTGGTTGTTGCGATTTAAAGATGGTGGGACCATTCAAAGTCCCAAAAGTCTTTGAAATGGCGAGATTATCAGAAAATAAGGTACAATTTATCTTTATTTGGCTATTCCCACCTCTGAAGTCTACCATCAGTCAATGTTTTCTGTTTAAGAGGATTGGCACATTTAGGAAATACTTCTTGTGCATCGATTTGGTTTCATCTTGTTTTGCTGTTAGTTAACTTGAAATAGAAAAACAGATTAAATTGCTTTCACGTCAAAGTGGTCTTAATCCCTGGAAATACTGGAATGGTATGGGTTTACAATTCTTCATAGCTGTGAGATTTAAAATGTTTTAAAAAACTAACCACTCACTCACATACAGTACATAGCTCTTGAACATGGAATCTCCAGACACACTATGTGAGAAATGTGCTTGAAAACCGTTTGAAGCCCCTGTTGACCTCCTCAGAAATCAGCAAAAAAATAAATTATGCATGAGAGCAAAAAAAAACAAAACACTCATAATCAAATAAGGAAAAGTAAAGAATTATACACAAATGATTCGAAACAAAGGAAAAAAGCAGAACTACTACCGCTACCTCTGATTCTACAAACTACACTAAAACTACTATCAGCACTAAACAACCTGGGCTCAGGAATAATACAACTGCCATAATGATATTCAGAACACCATCAATGAGAGAGGTAAAGGGGCTTTTTTTTTCATTTTGAAATGCTGCTTGTGACTGAGGAGCTTTTTGTGTGATGCACCCCCCCCCCCAGACCACATTGTCATGTGACGCACCAGTGACATCAGCAGTGGCGAGGGCCCCAGGCGCCATCCGCACCCCCTTCCCTTTTGGGAGGGGCAGGTAGAGAGAGACAGATAGAAAAAGCAAGAGGAGAGACAGAGGGAGAGAGGCCGGAGTGGGCGGGGCCGGGCCTCACGCCGTTGCTTTTTATGTGTAGGCGTTGAGGCGTTCCTTGGAGCGGGTGGAGTGGATGTCGTGAAGCTCCTGCTCCTCCTTGGACTTGATGTCCTCGTACTTCTGCATTCGGCAGGCGTCTTTCACGTAGGCCCAGTTGGCAGATAGCACCATCAAGTAGTGGATCTGTGAGGACGGGGATTGGGTAAACAAAAAAAAGAAAAGGAAAAGAAAGGATTCAGATGAATCTAAAATCACAATGCAGACTATTTTTTTCAAATTTTTTTTTTTTTTGACAGGCATGTAAATTGACAGCCCTATTTCTGTTCAGTGAGATAAAATTGGCCAGGCGTGCTTCACTCTTTCAGTTACCAGGACCATTTCCAGTGGTACACCAATTCAGATGATTCTAAAATCACTACACAGATTCTTTTTTTCAAACCTTTTTTTTTTTTTTTTTTTGACAGGCATGTAAATTGACAGCCCTATTTCAATTCATGGATGGAAATGGCCAAGCATGCACTCTTTCAGTTACCAGGACTATTTCCAGTGGTACACCAGGTGGCAGCATAGTGCTAAATACAGTTTTGACATGCGTTACCATGGCAGCTAAGGTTATAATGAATGTGTTGTGCTTTAATGAATGTATTTATAACACAGCTCCCTTCTTCTAAAGGAATGACATTTTCACTGCTGGGCAACTGCTTCCCTCATATATGCAGGCGGACAAGTGGAAACACTTCTTCTTTTTTTAACTATACCTTTAAATCTAAACTTTCTTTCGTTCTCTATTTCTTTATTGATTTATTTTCTGTGTCACTGGTTGAAGTCTATGGTTTTCTGATGCTGATCTGAGTGGCTCATCACTCATAAGGACCTGACTCTTGTTATGGGATGTGGTCCCAATTTGCACCATCATCTCTTCCTCGCAGCCACCGCTCTGTTTTTCTCAGAAAATGGCTCCTCGCGAAATTACTGAGTGATGTTTTGCAACAATCTCTGTGCTTTTCTTCTTCACTGTTTCCATGACAACCGCATGACATGCCCGCCGCCTCTGAGAGAAGGAGGGAGACAAACCCTGTCTTTTTCACTGCGCCAAAATGCCTCCTCTCCTTCTTTCCACAGCCCTTCCTCTCACAGCCAAACACAAGCAGACACAACAAATCGCAGCCAGTTTCTCCGCCGCAGTATTTCTCCACGGTAACACACCGTTTACCAGAGCAAAAGCCTCCTGGACTGGAAGAAGATTAAATACCGCGTGACCAGCACGGATCCCATTTGCTACATATGTGTCTGAGGTGCTTTATTTGTAAAATGTTGAGCTGTGTTTTCGGTGTCTTCTCGATGGCTCACCATGGCGATAACAGCAGCTCCTGCACCAGCAAGTGCACAGATGAACAGGTGGAACGTCATGTCCAGCTGTACAAAGACAATCCATAGAATATGTTAATATACAGTTCTCACTGGAGATCTTTCCAAGTCATAATCCTGTTGAAAAAGAGTTTTCTATGTGCTAACATGCAAAAAGATCTGGACTTTTCTCGAACGTTTGTCTTCGTTTGAAAGTAAAAGGTCAGATCTGTGTCAAACTTTTGGGATAATCCCTTGCATGGATGTTGCAATTCCTCATAAAACTTGGTTTTTAAAGTCACTTTAATGAATAGACTTGATTTATAATCTATGATATCTTTGATCAGATTGAAATTATCTTAAAAAATATTTGTTATATTGCAGTAGATATTTCATATTTGTCAATTTATCTAGAAATAACATCTTTGTTTCCTTAAGTAAAAACAACAGGCTCTTAAAACTTCGCAAGATGACAAGAAAATATAAATAAGAACATTTAGTTTTTTTCCCCTCCTTACACCAGAGAAATTGACAAGGTGCTTTATTAAAGTACACGGCATAAATATCATGTGTAAGTCAGTGATGTGTTATATTACTGATAATGATATAATTAGACTAATCTTACAAGAAAATATTGTTTGATTGTAATCAATTGAGGTTACTCACATATAGCTAGGAACAAAAATGGTATTTTTATCGTACCTCAGTAGATTCACACATCTTGTAGAATTTCTCTGATCCAGCGCACACCGTCTTCACCTCAACAAGAGGCACAATACCTGAAATCAGTTGGAGGATGTACTCATCAAGGATAAACACCATGTTCAGTAAACAGAGCAAACACAGCAAATAAAGTGTAAAAAAAATAGGAAAAGGTTGATATTTATCAGCATACCATCACATACAGTATAGTTGTAGTCTACATGGGCAACAGAGGGGGTTTTGTTTGTTTGGAGGCAACAGAAATGGACACAGAGGCTGTATCTGTGGCATTCAGCCTAATGATCCAAAAGTAATGGTGCTAATTGCACATAATGGCTCAGGCGTGCAAACCGAAGTGATTGGGCCATAATATGAGATTGATTCGATCATATTCTGAGTCATTAAAGACTTTGAAAGCAGCGCCCTGTTTGACATGATGGAATTGAGACATAGAAGAGTACTAGCTGTCAAACGTAATCTGATTATTTTGAAAATATAGCTCCCTGAAATCAGATTAGAAAAACCAATCATTTACCAATCAGTAGATCATCATCTGAAGAGGTGCATGAGAGACTTGAAATGTTACACAGTTTGCTGTGCTGAGGGATTTCATGTTTTGCTTGGTGATTTGTGAAAGGGTTGACAGTTAGCATTGTTCAAACTAAGAGATCCGATCCACTCTTACCGTACTGACGTGGGTCCAGGCAGAGTGACGCCCCCTCCAGCACGGTGGCATTTTGGCAAATGTTCCAGATGTTGAAGTATATAAAAACTGGGATGGAGGTAAAAGCAGTCACGCCGAGCCAGGCCAGCATGAAGATGTAGGTCAGCATGATGAACTGGAAGAGAAGGGAAGGACAACTGGTCGTGCACCGTGACGTCACCTGACATTTTGACTGTGAGTCTACCTCGGGATCCAGCTGAACCAACTTTAACCTAGTCGAAATAGCCTGACTTAATTTTAATTTTAGTTCATAAATAAGTGGAGGTAAATGGATTGTCCTACCCAAGCACTGACGCAACGTCCACAAGTGGTGATCTTGAAGTCTCCGTACAGATCTTTAATGGCTCCACTGGTGAAGAATCCCTCCACCATCAGCAGAATGCCGTAGACAAAGAAGGCTGATGCAATTCCGTAGATCACGTACTTGATGATATCAATCCTGCAGAATGAATAGAAAATCAACAACAAAACGCCCACAGCTACACTCCTAATAAAGTGAACTGGGGAAGTAAGTTACGTGCGGATAAAGAAATGCGGACTGAACGTTTCCCACTCACATTGTGAAGACATCCAGCGCATCCACGGGACTCCTCACCACCTCAAAGTAGTTCTGGAGGATGGTGACGGTGCCGGACAGGGCCTCGTGTCCACAGCCGCAGAAGAGGGCCACGCCCGCGTACAGCAGGATGGTGGCGATGAGGGAAGGGTACGGGATCCCACCCAGGCATTTGATGCAGCATTCCAGGCATCCTAAAAACACACACACAGGCCAGCCGGTTGTCAAGGCAGTCAGAAAGAAATGGGATTTCTTTCTGTCTCGCTGTTTTTTTTTCTCTTAATTCAGTAAAAACCTTGCGGGCACATCAACGTGCCGCTGTTTACATTTTGATGTTTACAACGTTCAAAGCGTGGTCGGGAGGATGTCATAGCGGAGCTAAAAACAACAATCTGAGCGACACTGCATGAGGACACCTGATTTCTCCCTTCTTTTTCTACGTCTGTCCGCTGGAATTGCTCTTTATTTAAAAAATCCAAGCACCGTGTTTGCACCGTCAGCTGTTCTGCCCTCACAGATGATTCAGACATTTCATCCAGAATGAAAATAGCCCCCCTGGGCTTCCCTATACCGAGCTTGACCTTTAACCTCTTTGTTTCTAAGGCTCAGCCTCCTGCTCCAGTTGGACTTTATTGTAACCAAACTATTCTAAGAGTATCCGAGCCTGTACATAATCACGTGAGTGAGTGTGTATGATTCTTTGTAACGGACTGTGTGTTTTTGTGTGTGTGTGTTTTGGGCTCAAAGTGTCAATCTTCTCTCATTCTTGGAGTAACAACAATAGAAAACCAGGTCTCATTTCCTGTGCAAGAACAGAGAAGTCTTGTCTTGCTGTGCACTGCAGCATATTAACAACCCAGACATATCCTTCACAAACCCAGACCGTTTGGTCACGTGGTAACTCTTAACGTGCACCGGCCATCAAATGCATGTGCATTTTAATTCGTAAAATTGTGATTGCACAGCAAAATTAAAACATTATTAAAACAGCATAAATCGTCTACGTCAGCTATACAGTAATAATTAAGGATAACAATTATCTGCACTGCTGTCTTTGTTCTGAAATGATTCTGTTAAATCATCAGTCGCATCATTGATTGAGATAAAAAAAGAAATGGAGAATTGTTTTTTTTTCTTATTCTGTTGTCATTTTAGTCTTTCATTGAAAAAGCTGGAATCACAGCCATATATCTGTCCCCCCTCAACTCTCTGGTTTTGACTCTCATCCAGACCTGAGTTGAATAGCAAGTAGCTGGTCCGCCTGCTGGGCTGTGCAGAGCGCTCAGACACTTGGTGCAGCTCCAGCCCTCGCCCAGGCTTCACCAGCCATTTCTGATGTCATGCAGTTCGTCCCTGCCATTCTAATTCCTTTTCTATGGAGGCCATTTAACTAAGAATGTGCTTTGCCCTGTAATTTGTACGGCTTTTACATTTAAATGACCCGTGATGGTTGTGAAGACGGCCACTAGCTCGGCTGAAATGGGTGAGATAGACCACCACTCACTGGCTGTCAGAGATAAAAGTTTTTATCTAACAGGCAATGTAGTAAAGTAGATGTTTTTCTGTGTTTCACTGTCAAACGGCTTAAAGCGTGGTACATCATTATCTGACCAACTCCAGTGTCCACAGCTGGGGGTCAGTGATCAGTCCTCTCCTGTTATCATCACTGCCTCATTTCTCTGATACATCACCTTTAATTTGATTAGATGTGTGATTATTAATGATTTCCTTCTGTACCTCACCTTGAAATCCTAGAAATGACTTACATTAGCTTACTGAATAAAGGCTAATTTCTATTGAAAGTTGATTTTGTACTCAGAATATAGTATCTTTTTAAATGAGTTAATATTCACTCGCATTGTCATATTTTTTCTTTTTCTTTTTGCTGCTTTTGAGAGTCAGAAACATGCAAACACCTATTAATGGTAGCTTTGTGATGCAGACGCCATTTTCTTTGTCTTATCAACTGAAAACAAGATGGAATATTTGCAACAGGTTGATTTTAGATTTAAAAAAATCTCATATACCCAAACAAAAACCACAAAACATCAGATTTGAGATGCTTTTTCATTGCCTGTCATACATATCAGAACTCATAACAGCCTAAAGAAAGCAGCTCATTTTGTTTTAGTCTGAATATCCTCCAAAGAACAGAAGGATTCTGTTACCACCTTCTGTCCCTGTTATCTCGAGTTGCCTTATCATGTCAGGAAGCAGGCAGTGAAAGGGTTTATTGATTCAGTGGTGTTTACTGTCGAGATGAGCGTGACACATGGAGGCCACTCACATTTACCCTCCGTGCCGTGCGTCAGAATCAACTATCCGGTCATCTGAGGTCCTCTTCAGCAAAGACAAATATATATTTAGAAGATTTTAGATATTGGCCAGCAGAACCAATGGGGCAAAACACAGTTTATATCAATGCTCTCTATTAGTCTCAGTTTTATTGTCAAACTTTTATTTACTGAATAAATGAGAGCGGTCATTTTCTCTTTTGGTGGATATTATCAAGCAGGATTCTGGCCAGTCCGGCCTTTAGTGACCTTTCGAACATGCTGGGGAGATTTGGTGCTGCAGCCGACTTGAACCTGCTCCAGAACACGACGGCAGACAAGTGGAAATATTAAGAATTTATGTAATGGCTTCAATCAAGCTTTATTCCCTACATTATTTAAATTCCTGTGCACAAATGACACAAAGCTGCAGACAGAATCTCGCTCCTCTTAGTTTTTTCTGAGACTCAGACAAGTCAGCTATCAATGTTCCAGATTATTTTGAAATGAGATACAATAATGGATTCATTATGGCAGGTCTGAAGAGAAAGGTTTCTTGATGAACAAATGGCAGTTAAATCATTGCTGATTGTGTATTGAATATCTTGTGTTTTCAGCTGTTCCTCGGTCAAAGGTTTTTCCTTTAAATTTTTTATAAAAGTAGCACAAGGAATAACTGTACTTGTGTTTAGTTTCAGTGAACCAAAACAGTTAACCTCTCATTTCTCCTTTGTAAATTTTTACTGCGCTTGATTGACTGATATTTGAAAAAAAAAGAAAGGCCATCAGTTGTTTTTACTGCCTGTGTAAGCTCATGGGTCCTTGATCCATTATTTAGAAGTAGCACACAAGCCTCTCGCATTCATTATTCATGCTTTCTGCTCAGCTTAACATTACCTCTGAAATATGGAGAGAAAAAAAGATCCCCTTGCTTTATAGGGGGTCGAAGATATTTTAATTGTTCTTAGCAGGTGAAGGTGTTCAGTTTTTATTTTAAACTATGCACTCAGTCAGGTAATGAAATAGGTCCCAAAAGAGCAGAGAGCAGAAGTGAGAAAAAGCTTTGGTACAGCCTAGCTTGAGCCATAGTAATTTGCTTATTTAAAGCCGGATTTCACAAGTGCTGTTTTTATAGTGTATTGTTTTACTGTAATATAAAAGCTTAAAAGCCTTGTAAACTTGAACATTTAACTGAGAATAGAATAGGCTTGCATGTCCATGTTCGGAAATAATACAGTTTCCGTCAATGTTAGAAAAATACATTTCACACATTGAAAACGTGGCAGCTCAGGGATTAATCACACACAAATTTAGACAAAGACTGGACAGGATTTGAGCAAAGTGTGGGATTGAATTTTTTTTATCTTCACACAAAGCCTCTTTTCAAATAAAAAGAAAAAGGGGGGGGGGAATAAAAACTGAAGCCTACATGACCCCAAACACTGTGGTCCAATCAACAGAAGGCGTCTCCCTAGTACAAAGGGAAAGGATGACCCCCTCCCAGGACCCCTCCCACCTCCTACTTCTCCTCCATCTGTCAGTGTCATGTCCGACAGGCAAAAAGAAAACGCGCGCACGCTCAGAATCTCGGTGACCCAGTCAACGTGCACACGAGGAGTGAGGCTGGGTTCAGATAATGCTTAGCGTTAAATGATCCATCTGTCAGGGTGGTGGGTCTTGAGGGAGGACTCAGTCGCGGAATGAAGGGGAAACAAGGTTTATTGTACAAACAGGGTGAATGTCCAGACAAAGTACAAAACAAAGCTGTGGCAAACTGTGGGCAAAGTATCAAAGCAAGCAAACAAGACTGTGGAAAAACTATGACAAAGTAACAAAATAAAGATTAACAAGACTATGACAAAACGTGACTATGACTGTGGCAGAACTATAACGAAACAAACCTGGCGTGGGGGTGACGACGGACGAAAGGACAAGAGACAAGGCAAGAAGACAAGAACGACCCCGCACCAGACAAGGGGAAACGAGGACTATTTAAACACACGAGGAAGGGGAACCCCAGGTGCACACAATTGGTAATCAGGACATGACGAGACACCAGACGTGACACCATCAATGGAAAGATGGCTCTGGAGTACGGGTGGGGTTCATTAATTTGGAATCTGCTGCTTTTTTATGGCACATGTGAATACACTGTTCATCGAAGCTGCTGTGTTTCCCAAAATGTTTTCACATTATTATCTTTTTTTTTCTCTTCTTTATGCTATAAATCTGAAATCGAAACACTTTTAACAACACACCGCTGAGCTAATTAAGTAGTCCGATTTCATTTCTATCTTAAAAATTGAAAAAAAGATCTTGTTACATAACTAAATTCAATTACACAATCATATGAGACACATATCAACTTGGCTATTTTTTTTTTTTTAAAGTTTATCCATCAGGCTACGTGATACTCCCCTTTGGTTTGAAATGCATTTATGGGGGGAAAAAAACTTTTTATGCTTCCAGCCATTTGTCGAAGCCCGATCTGAGCTCCTAATCCAATGTGACACTGTGACATGGCGTATAAGTCACAAACCACTTCAAGCACATTTTGAAGTGTGACGTCTACATGGTTTAACCATTTAGCGTGTCGTTTTACGGCGTTAAGCGGAACACAACCGATTGGGTCAGGGTGAAAGGTCAGTCGATAGTGTTGCTCATCAAGGCTACCTGAAGAGACAAGTGAGGAGTGGAACATGACTTGGCATGTTATTTAATTATCATTTCCTGAGATCAATTTGCTTGATCATGTATGGTTACGCAGCACTCAAAGAACGACCAAATCACTGTCACCACAGAGAAAGAGAATGTAAAGAAATCCTTGAAAAAGGAAAATTGACGATTATGCCACAATCGTTGAAATCGGAATGTTATGCATGTCCATCAAATAAAAAAAATAAAAAAAATATTGAGTCTTGTTTAAAGCACACAGCTGCCCAATGGACATGGCATTATCTTGTAGTTATCATTTCTTTGTTACAATAAGTTTGTATACATTTGCATTTAGAAGAGAAGATAACGGTTTGAACTGTTTTTACATGAAGATTTTTTAATAAATCCCTATTTTTCTTTCATTTATTGATAATTGAACATCAAAAAATTGTTTCTGTGCAGTTTTAGCAGTGGAAGGAATTGTGATATAAATTCATTAAAGAAGCTGGCACAGGAATGAGTTATGATCCAGTTTTATGTTTGATGCATGTTGACTTTGCTTGCACCACAAAGCATCCAATCAGACATAATTTTTGTGCATGCAGCCGGCGGTCATTAGTGCTTGTTACTAAAGGAGTTTTGAATGGGGGTGGGGTGGCGGTGGGCCTTTCGGAGCGCGGGTTGGGGGATGGGATGTCTGTGTCAGTATGAGGGTAATGGGCGTATACTCATCTCCATGCTTTCCCGTTCCTTTTAACGCACCCTCCTTCCCCTGTAGCGCACAGTTTTTTTTTCTTTTTTCCCTCTCACCCCCCCCCCCCCCCCCCCTCATCTCCTCTGCGCATGTTTAATCAACCAGTTTGGTTGCCATGTCAACCACTGTGTGAAATCTGCGAATAGACTGGGTGCTTCAGAGCTGTGACCCACTTACTGTATATCAACAAATTCAGTGGGACAATAGTGAATGAGACACATTACACACAAAATCCCCCCCCCCCCCCCCACTGGGACACAGGTCCAAAGGCTCAGCCGCTGACTTCCTTGCTTTCTTTCAGTTTCGCTGAGAGATGGAAGACTTTTGAGGAGGACCGTGTCACTGCAGAGCAGGGTGTCTTTTATCCAAGTTTGCACATGAAAAATGAGGGGCAAAAGTAAAAAAAAAAAAAACCCGACAGCAGACCCCAGGAATGTGCTTTCGGTTTTGGAGTTTTAACTGTGCGAGTAATTCTCTGCTCAAGGGTGAAATCAGCTTAAATTAGTCGTTCGCCAACACGAAAGAATGTGGGGATTTAAGTCCCAGCTCCCAAACAATGGGTCACAAAGAAAAACACAAAATACACAGTAAAAGGGAATCACTATAAAAAGAATAATGGAAACTATCACTATTCACTGTCTTATTACATTTCGCATCTTACAACTTGAACCACTATGGGGTCTCATTGTGAACATTTCCAGGTGCATGGTCAGATCGTTACCACTTTTCCAGGGAACTATTAAGTAATGCATTCAAGAATAACATGAAAACCTTCTTAACATTTCCACTAGGACCTCCAAAATAAGTCAAAGGAACAATTGGTGGAACTCCCCTGAACTCTTTTGGGTCAACACAGGTTGGGATTCAGGACAAGAATGAGGGGATGGGTGGGTTGTGAGAGAGAGACGGAGAGGTTACAGCATGATCAGAGGTTGATGAGTGCTTCCACTGTGTAACATGAAAATATCCTTACATACCTTACCACACAACCTGCAGCCCAATACAAAAGACAAAAACTCTCCTATTCTACAACTTATTGTAACCCTTAAGGATTCAGCTCTTTGAGGTAAAGTACCCAACACTGGAGACTAATAAAATGTTTTTGGATTAGAGTGGAGTATATTCAATAAAAACCACATAGTTTATAGCATCCTTCTAAACGATCACTTCAATACTCCACTGAGTTTAACCTGCCTTAAGCTTAAAGCAAAGTTGACATCCATCATGGGAGCAATAGAATCAAAAGGAAAGAAACTCTGTGACCCATCATAAAATACAATCTAAGTAAAAAAAAAAGAAAAAAAAAAAACATTGCACACACAGTTGTATGTTGTATTCGATGCCATGTTGTTCGACAGAAAATCTCTATTTGCAGACTGATAAAAATATCAATGAGATGCTAACATGAAACCGCCTGCCAAGTCAGAAGCCTGATCAAACCTATCAGACAGAAGGACGAGCAGCGCCTTGCAGAGTGGATTCTTGGCTCAGGAGGCGCTAACAGGTGTGCCTTTCTCAGTTTTTCCATTGAGTGGCAATTAGCACACTGAGTGTGAATTATTTCCAGAATGCAGTTTGGTTGATTTCGTCAACAGTTTTACCAACCGTATGATCGTTTTGCAGATGATTAAATGAATAAACACTAAAATAATCATTTGAAGCATGTTTTCCCATCAGAGGAGAGCGTTGTTCAGCCATAGGATGAAGGTTTTACCCCCTGTTCTGCTTGGCCGCTTTTCCGCGGAGAGTGTGGCCGCATTTGGCCAGCAGCTGAGGTGAGCAGTGCCCACCTGGTGCATCTGACTCATAATCTGAGATCTGCAGCCTCAGAAGAGGAAGACAGACTGGTATTAGCGTGCTGTGAGTGCACTCAGTGACACCTGCGACCACTCAGAGGTGAAATTACCTACTAATTTACAATTTGTTCTTAGCATGGCTGAGGTCTATCACATATGTGCTTTAACAATGTCCCCAATGGGCAAAAACAAATGTATTTATGAATATATGAATAGGAATAGGAATATGAAGATAATTTCTACTCCAAAATATAATTCTTGTTTTTTTGGGGAGGGTTGTTTGGTCATTCAAAAATTACTCATGACCAGAAAGAAATGGGTTTTTAGTGCTTGTGCTCACTGAGAGGTCTGCTGTCCACACTGCTGGTGTGATTGTCTGCTCAGCTTCTGACTCTTTAGTGGACAGATGCTTGATCTGGGCTCTCATCACAGCAACAGAAGTCGACTGCAACTTTTGCCAGAAAATGAGCAATTATTCTAAAACGCGGTCATAGCATTTTGCAGAAAAATCCAAGTGATATGGGAAAAAAGTTCAAATAGATTTAGCATTTATTTACTATTTACAGAGAAGTAATACCAAAGATGTTTTCTAATCAGACTTTATATGTCACCAGTAACCTGGAAATGATGTGAACTTGTCTTTGGGACTGGGAGCTTGATTTACTGAACTGCTGTTGCTTTTAGATGACATGAATCCAACTTTTCCTTTGGCTCTGGGTTTGGAGCACAATAGACAGGACATATAATTTACCCCTTTGTCTGTTTTAAAATATAATTGGCATCTACTAAGTTGTTATGAGGATGTTTTTTGGTGCATAAATCAAGTATTTCTAAAGTTTGTTTAGTCACACAAGCGGAAATCAGTTTTTGTAATATCATCCTGTTAGCAAAAAAAAAAGTTCAATCTCTGAGATGGCAAACAAATAGTTTGTTCTGCAAATGCAATATAAAGGGGAGTTTTTATAGATATACATTAATAGTTTCCACTACTGTGTCTTATTATTTTGTGGCCAGTTTAGACTGATTTTATTCAATTGTGTCCAATTATATCGATACATTCTGTAGCATTGCATGATGTGGATGTGTAGAATGACATAAAGTGCTATTCTGTCTCTATGTTATTCCCAGATATGCTTCTTATATTCCCCTATCACTCTGTTTTCGATGCAGTGTGTTCTACTTTCTTAACTTACTGTATTCTGGCCTGCCTCTGCTTGTGTTTTCAACTCTCTCCTTCCCACACTCAGACACAACTATATCTGTCCTTGTGAAACGTTATCAGCAGGAGTGGGTGAAGAGAGTAGATGGTGACTACAGTCAGGCACTTCCATGGCAACTGTTTCAGCTCGTGTGTGAGTCTGAGTCGAACTCAGGTGCAGGAAGGAGGGGAGGAGAGGAAAACACAAACACACAAAGCCATGCCTGTGACATGAAGTAAATCTGAGGGGGGGACGTGGAGAATAAAGGAAGGAACAAAGGTTTTATCCCTTGACATGACAGCAGCACCATGCCCACCTTTGCCTGATGACATTTCTGGATTTTCTTTACAATAAAACCTCTTTTTATGTTGCTGTCCACTTAGAAAATAGAGCACCCTTTATCCCTTCCTCTCCAGATGCTCAACCAAATAATGAATCATTCATGCAAGGGAAAAAAAAAGTGGTATGGGGGGATGTGAAGTATATAAATAGCTATACCTTGCACAAAGCAAACGCTGCCCCCTTTGAAAAGAAAAACATGCTCCATTCACTGAGGATTTCAGATTTCAAATCCACTGTGAATGCTCCAAAGCATTGACACGTCGTCTGTGTGCGGACACAAATAGCAGAACCCGGGAGCAGGAGGATAATAAGAGTAGAGGCTTGGTTTAGTTCTCCCTTCATGTTTCAGTCTCAGACTTCATGACAGGCATAGAAACCCTATCGAGCAAACAAAGAGCGTCCAGCCGTCGCCGGGGTTCACACCCCTCTGACAACCCAAACAGCACAGGCAGACGGGCTCCTTTTTTTGATGGAGCGCTGAACTCAGTGGACAAAGGAATTACCACAAACAGCTGCGGTCCTATTCAGAGAAAAGCTCACATTTGTGAAGAGACACAGCGAACAATGACAGAAAAAACCTCAAATTGACTTAAATAACGAAGCCAGACGTGCAGAAAAAATGACTTTTCTTACCTTTCTGGGTCTGCCCCTCATCCATGTCTTCTTCCATTGTAAAGATTCTCTTTTTGAGCAACTAAATCTGTGTTTTTTTCAAAAAAGACTGCAGGGATTGCAGGTTTCAGAGCTTTTTTTTTTTGTTATTTTGGGTGAACAGTCCACAGAGCGCCTTCCTTTTTCTTGGTGTATTCTTCAACCCCTTTGCACTGTGGGAGCCTGCTGGAGGCTGAGATTGGCTGTCAGCTGTGGTTTCTGTCAAGTGTCTGAGCGATACGAGGGGATCACTGAGCCTTTGTGCTACTGTCCAGAGCAAAAACTGCCGTGGCAAGTGCTGAAAACCTCCTCAGTCCCTGGTGGTGGAGGTGGAGGAGGAGTGGGGGCACAGGATTGAGCAGAGGGTGGTCCTTTCTTGCAGACAGGAAAGTGCATATGTGACAAAGGCTCGTGCTTTTTTTTTAAAAAGAGCAGGTTAGTGGGACGTGCTGTTTTGAAAGAGTGAGGGCGGCGGCGGGGTTTAGGTGGAGGTGGCTGCGGATGCTCAGGACCCTGACATGTAGACAGCTCCGTCCCTGAGTGTGGGACTCGCTTAAACACCCCCTGGCTCCCGGGCAGAATGGTTACACCCATTATCACCCATCTACCCTCCTCGAGGAAGCAGTAGCTCCACTGCATTAGCTCAGCTTCTCCTTAAATTAGGGTGTGGGGGGGGGGGGGGGGTATCTGATTTCAAAATAGGATTCTGCTAATCTCATTAGTCATACGGATTCAATTGTGCACCAAGCATGTATCACTGGAGTCTCATACATGCACACAGCATGTGCTCACAGAAATACTGCAGAGGCATGTTTGTTTTTCAGATTTGGTGAATTTGCAGTTTAAATATGACAGTAGATCATTCATAGATAAACGATTAACATAACGCTAAATCTCAGAGCCCACTTAGGTCTTATTAAATTATTTGGAGAGTAAGTTCTCACAGTCTTTTGAAGTGGACCTCATCAACCAGCGCCACATGAGAGCAGTGTCTTTTAGTGCTATTGTTATTTCATTTTTTTTGTGCGTTTGGGTGTGCGCCAGCAACGTGTTTTGGTCATTTACAGACAGGATGTTACTCACAGAGGAAGCTTCATGAAGAAAAAGACGAGACAGATGCTGAGAGCCTCTTTTAATAGGAGCAATAATGTTTTTTCCACACCATAACTAAGCAGTTTTCAGTGCCATGACCTCACCAAGATGTCTCCATGTTGTGTGGATGCTTTAAGAAATGTTGATTTTTTTGTTTTACGTTGCAATTTTCTGTGTGTTTCTGATTCTGATGAGGATAATCCAATATGAATGATCAAAATAGCCTGTTTTATGTTTAACAAAATGTAAAAAAGCACTATGAGTTGTACAAATAAGTTTCAATGTTGGACTCTAACCCACCTTGAAGTTGAGAGGCACACAGAGTTGTTTGTCACAAAAAAAACGAAAAGAAAACACTTGCAACATATAATCCCATAACATCCATTGTGAGTTTTTGGGCCATATGTGTTGAAAATCTGTGTCAAAAACACTGTAACAACATGATGTTAAATACTTTATATGGTTTTTGAGTCTGAAATCCTTAAGGTGGATGAGGAATGGGAAGCTCTTGAATGAGATGAACTCCACGGCTAACATCTTGGCTTGATAAACCGCTGACGGATAGATGAATGGATGGTCAGATGAGTGGATCAAATTTTAATGGTCCCAGTGGGCAAATTGAGCTTCTGCTGAAGCAAAGAGGTAAACAGCAGGAGAGAAGGAGGCAAATGAAGAAGCTGACAATGATAGAAGTCATAACAATAAACATTTAAAATGAAATACGGAGCCATTTGTACATCGGAAAATACTAACAACGTTTACCTGGTTCCTGTTCAGATAGTTCTAATAGCTTCATGGCCTCTTGAGGAAAAGCAACATAAATTTCTCAACAGCCTGTCCAAATTAATTATGCTGACGTCTCAGAATTTATTCAGTTAATTCTTCTGAAAAAGTAAATCTTCATTAATAAATTACTGTCTTTGAATAATGACTTTGAATTGACTAACCCACTGTGTAAAGAAATACTTAGTTGTCGATAAATGTAGCTTCTTTAGACTTTGATCAGCAAGAATGCCTTGATGGAGGGATTTAGACTGTGTGCACACTTTCATGTTTCCCAGCCAATAAAACAATTAATTGATAAGTTAAGTTTTCATTTTGCTCATCATTAAGTGTGAACACACACAGTTTAAAGAATCTTTTGTGTGTGTGTATGTCTCCAGTGTAACAACCGTGAACACACAGTTTCTCAGATAATCTGCACATTTGTCACAATATAACATGTGGTTTTCTTCTCAGGTAATTGAATGTGATGGCTTACTTTATACTGCATTAACCCTCATCTCTATTTAAAAGATGGATGTAGCTTTCCTTTGGTTTGTAATTTTAAAGTTGATGGACAACTTTAAGAGCCGCACACATTGGGGAGCAGCTTGTAAAACATAATGTCACCTCACAACACAGCTATCCTGCTCTAATATTTTGACATTCTCTATTTTACCTGGAGGAAAAGCTTCCAAGTAGCTTTTAGTAGCTTTTAGTTTTCGCCAATCAATCAAGAAACCTTTCTTTTTTTTCATAACTGATGGTGCTCAGACTGCAGTCTCAACTTAAAGCATTCATGATATTGTATGTGACACTATCATTTTTAGTGGAGTTTATTTTGTAGAGCCAAACTTTTATTTGAACTATTTCAGAAATATTTATTAGGACAGACAGTGGGTTAAATGGGAACTACATAATTCTTTTTTTTTGTCTCTTCTGCAACTGAAGAATGCTCTGAAGGATGGATGGATGGATGGATGGATGGATGGATGGATGGATGGATGGATGGATGGATGGATGGATGGATGGATGGATGGATGGATGGATGGTTTGAAATGAGAGAATAGCCACTAGTTTGATGCTTTACAGTGAGCACTGCCTTTGCTTAAAAGGGATTCAGAACACATGTAGCGTAACCATCGGAATCTGACATGCTTTTCACCCGGCTGTACTCGTGCAGACCTACAGACACAAAGTGCCCCACCCCGGTCCTGGATCACCATAGATCAGCTTATCTTGGCTTTATTAACAGGGGCAAGCGATTAACTCGGAGGGTAAATGGGGGAGGGCTCTCTTTCTGAGGAAATCCTCAGCGCTCACAATTTCCCCCCTGGCCAGCCATGTTACTGTCTGTGCTTCCAACAAGGCATGAACCTTCTCCCCACCCTCACATTGCCACTGGAGATTCTTTCACATTGGGCGCCATTATCCTTCCAGGAAAAATGAGCAGATGGTGAAACATTTTTCTTCAGGCATGTTTGGTACCTAACATCATTTAACTGTCATCTTTCATGTTCATCGCCTGTTTGACGTATTTATTATTTGGTACATTTTAATCCCAGTCAGATCTAAATCAAATTTGCTTTCATATGATTTTATAATAGTCATACACAAACAGCTTAATCCTGAAGCTATTGCTTGTATTTCTGAGCGAAGGAGCAAAAGAACCCCTCACTAAGCTTATTAATGTGTCTTTGTTGCTCTCCAGTATGGGCTTGTAAGTTGCTATAGCAACTAGGACTTGTTGACATGTTGATTTGTAATAAAGATATATCACCCCGTAACCCCGGCCACCGGTTGTCAACTTGTTACGTAGACCAGCCTATCTCAGTTCACATTTTTGATGTCCGCAATGTATTTTCTGGATGCAAATCACTCCACTGAAAATCCAAGTTCTTCTGTTTTATCGCCTGTCACTGTGCTCCATCCTAAGTGCTGATGTGTGTTCACGCCTGGTCAAGCTGAGGGAAATCAAAAGACACTGAAAGATTAAGGAGGTCAGGTTTTCAGCTCTGCTGAAGCATACTGTGAGTAATCTTCACCTACCCTTAACCACCATGGAAACAGAGTAGACAGCTATGTGGGAGAATACAAGATAATTGTGTTAAAGAGTCAGTAGTTGTATGTAACTAGCTATTTTACCGATCTGGTTTTTAGCTGCATTTTGCTTCTATAGTGAGGGCAGCAATGAGGCTGATGGTTATCTCATCAAACAGTAGAAGCACTTTATTCGTTTAGAATGCAAACCTTTTTTTTTTCTGGGGGGTATGGATGTGCTGCTGAGACTGCAGAAAAAAGCTCCACAAACAGACCGCATTGTTCGGATCACCTGCAAAGGCGGGCCTCGGGAGACTCCAGCCCAGAGTCATTTGAGTGGAGCTCATATCATTACAGCATTGTCCATTCTCCCAGTTGATGGAACACCCTTAGACCACATGAGAAGCTAGGCAGTGTGCCAGAAACACTCATCATCCTGTCATCCATTTTCAGTGTGGCTTCACAGGTCAATTATACACTGCGCATCCACAAGAGCTGATGTGAGTACAAGAAAGTCTCAATGGGTTTGGCCTCATGTGGTCTGATAAGTATGTGAAACGAACCCACAAAGGGACAATCCTCTCATTTCTCTTGCAAATGATCATACTTTTATTGATGTCATGTATTGATTTGTTTCAGGTTGTCCATGCAGATGATCTCACTGGAACCTCTGCCAAGACTGTAACCAACATAACACACACTTATCCATAAATGTTGATTTAAGGCTCAACATTTTAAAAACACATCACACACACTAGGATTTCAGTGATTGAGAATAGATGTTGTGTGTTCCCATGTTTGCATTTATATGTTTAGGAATTATTCAAATGATCTTCAAGATACAAAATAACTTTACGTCAAATGTTGCATAGTTTAATATAGTTTTTAAATTTATATCACAAGAGGCTGCTGCCTCTTAATCCCCTGTATCTAGATCATCATCACTGAAAACAACTCCAAAAAATAGCCTGTTAGGATAGAAATATCAGGCCTTAATTCCCCCTCACAGTTCTTGATGGATTCAATGGGATGTGAAAATGTGTAAAAGTATTTGATCGATATAGTTTGGAGCAAAGCTTAACTGTGCTAAACCTGCTCAGTCTTTGGTCTTTTACGCCTTTGAAAGCACAACAGAGACCTTTAAGATTGATCCATATCCTGTATACGCATGAGACTAAAGGGCTGAGACAAAAGCTTGGAAATAAGGAAAAACAAAGCTAGCTCAAACTTTACAACGCCAAATCATCCTAGTTGAGTATTTTACAACTCATTTAAAATAACCAAGTAATCATGCTAAATGTCCTGCTGTGGCCACTCTCATTTGCTCATAAATGCAACAGCACAGCATGCAATGATTATATTAAAACACATGATAGAAGTAAAGCTATTTGCTGTGTGGTGGTAATTCTTTGAAATCTAAATATCATTTTAAGTTTCAGTTCTGCAAATGACACAACACTGCCACCTGCTGGTTGACACAGAAACAGACAACCTAGATCTACAATGAAATCACATGAAAATGGATTCCAATCCACTTAAACTCATGTTTCATATCGGTGATAAAGCAGGGAAAGATGTTTAGAATAACCACAAAGACACACAACAAGACATTCATGGACAAACTGTAACTCAATAAAATCTCATTCAGTGGTTAATCGGTGGTGATCTGGGAAAATGGAAGCTCCCTTCCAAGGAGACAAGAAGCACGGTTCTGTAATTAAAGAAACAGGAATATACATTAGTCAAGCTCCGTTGCAATTTCATTCACCCTCATTTATTAAGTATTTATATTCGCCAGGATATTTGTCATAAAAAAGGAACAGCTAAACGAATTAATGAGAATGAATTTATGTTAATAAATGATGATTTGCATGGAGCAGTGGTTTGACTTTTTATTGCAGATCTAAAGAAAAAAATGATAAAAGAAGAAATCTTAAAACTTTTTGAGATCTGTTGGAATTGGGATGTTCCCAGTAAACCAAGGTAGTTGGGAAATGTCACAAAGTTTTCAAATTTCCTGGCAAAAATCTTTATATACAGACTATAATGACCAGATCAAACAAAGGAATAGCTACAGTGTTCAGAAAAATTATGATTTCATATTTTTTTAGACAGAACAACAAATTGATCTGTCATAGATATTCAATCCTGCAATGAAGAAATAACATAATTTGCCACAAATCCCCAGCTTTCCCACCACTGGATCACAGGTGTGTCAACTGGTGGACAACTGGTGATGTGTACCTACTGAGAACGATTAGATGAGAATATATGAGTAAAAAAGGTGACACAGACATAATTTAGACTCCAAAAGCAACATTACATTTACTTTTGACACAATATTATGTTAAAACAGCACAAACTTCCTCCACCAGCAGTTCAGCTGCTTTTGGTTCACAGTGGATTTTTCCATCAATGGCCTCTCTCATCAGCTCCAAATTATGCTTTTGCACAGCCTGGAATAAACAATTTAAAGGGACTTGAATGTATTAGATGTTTAAACCGCATGTAGATAATGACGATATCCATGAGCATATCCTAAAGTGTTTTTCCCACAAGTTTTATAATAGAAGGATTTTTACTGTGAGCAGTAAAAAATGTATAAGTATATATGTATATATACACACATATGTGTGTTCTTTTTAAGTTAAGCATCATCCAAACATTTAGAGAAGACTTGCACTCAAACCGTCAGCCGAACATAAAGAGAAGTATCCTCATGGCTCATTATTTTCTTGGATATTTGCCCTCTCATTACTTGCTGTATCTGGCTCCCGTTCCTCTGCTTGGCAGAAAGTGCGGCTCATTTGTCATATGAGTGTAATGGAAAGTCTCAGGGGTAACGATGAGAAAATATCTCTGCAATAAGGTAGCTGTTGAAAAGAAATCTCAGCAAATAAAACAGAACGGGTACGCTGGCTCTTGAAGTGGCAGCAGTTTTCGAGTCTGGGTCAATCCCTGATCTTTTCTGTGAACCTCTAAAGATGAATGATTTCATATGCCACCCTTAAAGAGAAAGCCATTGAAATTAGAAAATAATATTTTCAGTGTTGAGCTACTTCAACTGTTCTGGTGATTCTTTGTAGCTTTTGTGAAAATGAACAATTCTGGGGTCCAAAAATACAATTTAAACAACAGGTTGTGCACTCATTTAGACACATAGAGCTCAGATTTCCAAATAATATGTAGTTAACTCATGAAATATGTGAATATATGTATATTTGTGCATTCAAAGGATAAATCGAGGCTTTGGAGCCACTTTACGACTTCTTTCAGCAGTTCTCTCTTTTTTGGGACACTCTTCGTAAAAGATGCTGCTTTAAGCCCAAACCCTGAAATATTCCTCTCTTAGAATAAACAGTAAATTCGTGTAATGAAGATTCATTCTTGAAAGGTCAAACAGCTCGGACCTCCTCAGTAGCCCAGACATCTCAGTGTCGGCCTTTCGTTTGGGTTTCCATAGCAACCAGTTTTTTTTTTCTGGCCCCTTGGCTGGACACAGCCTGCTGGGCAGCGAAGATGTACTGCCCTCTAGTGGCCACAATAGTGTCACTGTTTTTAAAATGACAAATTACATTTTTGAGGTTTTCCACTTCCATACAAAGCTTAATATATTCCCAAACAACACATACTATAAAGGAAAATTAACAATAGCAGCCTTTCTACAACCACATAAATGTAAGAAGCTTTTCCTCAAATGTCCAGATACTACAATTACCACACATTTTATTTATAAATCACTTCAAAACCAACCACAGTGGACCAAAGTGCTGTACAGAAGAATAAGTGCAAAGTAAAAGCCATAAAAACAATAATGATACTATGTATAATTATGAGCTATTATGTGGTTGTATGTATTATTGTTTTATTATTGTTTTTATTATTGCTTCGTACAATCCGAAGTTTAACTATATAACCTAGTTAGCTATATTTGCCAAACCTGTGACTGAGTTTTACATTTTGTATGATTATCTACTAGGCAATTCTTTATCATTGTGATTCAGTCATAGTACTTAAAAAAACAAAACACAAAGCATCCATCATATGTAATTTCAGAACAAAAATAACACATGGTGTAAAAATAATATTTAATAATCTATTATAGTAGTGTGCAATTATTTGGGTACAAAATAGAGGCTTCTTAGTCCCTTGGATATAGTCTGTATGTATGTATGATATTGTAATATTATTTAAAGCTTTTATATAAAGTGCATTCATCTCTTGTAGACGTTGAAACTAATAAGGCATCTTCTTAAAACATATGTAGAAGAATATAAGGAATTGCATTGTACGCTGTCATTAAACCAAAATTAGTCTTGGGAACCCTGGAAGCTTGTTTTAGCTTTGCTGCTCTGTAACTAACTCAAGTTAATTGCTCTTGTTAGGCCATGGCTACGATTAAAATTAGGAGCAGTTTGTGGGTTTATGAGTTCAAATTTTGAAGCACGTTTCTCAAAGTTCCAGTTCGGCAGTTCGCGGGTTCTGCCAGTCATTGGTACTGCAGGTAGGTCTTGAGCCTGATGGGGAGGGGGAGGTGGGAAAGGAGGTGAAGTCTGTCTCTCCCAACGCAGTTTCGGATGCACTGACGACACAACTGGCTCAGCAGACGAGGCGTAGCTGCACAGGACGAGACAGTGGAAACTCGTAAAGTTACAGAAACTGTGCCATACTAACAAAATCCCCTTTTAACACGAGAAGCTAGTCCTTGATCTTCATCTGATCTAAGTTAGGCAACAGTTCAAGTCAAGCTTGAAATGAGTCCATTTCTACCTTCGTAGAGAAGTAGAAAACCCTCTGTCAGACTGCTGGGTGGGGCCACATCCACGGGCCTCTGGAACTCTGTGTTCCTGGCATTGATGTCTGCCCCAAAGTCCAGCAGCAGCTTCACCACGGCTGTGCAGTCCTTCTCTGCCGCCGCATGTAAGGGCGAATCCAAGGACCGGCCTTTCTGTACATTTGCACCTGCATGGAGAAGGGTTTGATTATTAGTATTTTGTGATCTTGTGTTGTTTGGTCTTCCTGCCTCAGGACGACAGATGCGAATTAGCAACTGTGCTAGAATCAGGCTCATTTACATTCTGTATGAGATTGTTCATTAATGTGCACTGTCCTGATTAAATAAATACAAATAAAAAAAATAAAAAAATAAAAAAATCTGTTCAAGACTGAAATAATGTAATACACAAGTTCGAGATGGTAAAACATATTAGGAGGTTCCAGTTTAATTCAAGTCTAGGGCTTTTTTTTGTAGCATTTACAATCCTGTTAGTTCTACAGTGGGGGAAATAAGTGTTTGACCCCTTGCTGATTTTGCAGGTTTGCCCACTTACAAAGAATGCAACGATCTATAACTTTAATCATATGTACATTCTAACAGTGAAAGACAGAATCCCAAAGAAAATTCCAGAAAATATCATCATATGAATTTATAAACATTGATAACCATCTGATGAGGAAAAACAGGCCTTCTTTGTAAGTGAGCAAACCTGCAAAATCAGCAGGGGGTCAAATACTTATTTCCCCCACTGTATATGTATTGGATATTTCTGTTTCTTCTGCATCTATTGCTGTGTGTTTTTGTCCGTGCACCTTCATAAAGGACTTGACCCTGTCTGTGTAGAAATGTAAAGATCCGCACGGAGGTGTGAGCTGACCTTCCCTCAGGAGTTTCCTGGCACACTCTAATTCCTGACAGATGCAGGCAGTATAGAGCGCGGTGCCCAAGTGAGGAATGACCATGTCCACATCTGCCCCCCAAGTCACTAGAGCTTCAACACAGCCATAATGACCTGGAAGTAATGGGGCATGGAGACGATAATCAGTAAGTGACAGTGCCAGATAATTCTCCGAGCGGTGTGGTCCGTGTAGCGTTAAGACATATTTCTTAAGGCTGTTTGGTGGAGAGGACACTGCATCACAGCCAGAGACACAAATACAGGTTGAAAAAACAGATCACAGGAAAATTATAGAGTGCTTAAAATACTATACAATATTAGCAAGAAGAGTTAGAGAGGATTTTATCAAAATAGACACAAAGATGTAACCGATGACTTTCTAAAGATGGTTTCCGACCATTTGACATTGGAAGCTCATTTTGACATTAACGGGATTGGATCATGATATACCTTTGCTGGTTGCTTCGTGAATGGGTGAGGGATGGTATATAAGGCTCTGGGGCTTTGCTCCATTTTCCAAAAGAACCTCAGCGCATGCCACACTGCCCACCGTACAGGCATTAAACAGAGGGGTGACTCCATCAATTGTAGAGGCATTGACCTGTGAAAACAGTTTCATTTTTTATTGTTATTTTTAGTGCTTGTTTAACCATGCGAGTTGACTAATAGCAACAGCCCGGGGGGATCAGTCGAGGTGTACCAACGATTTAATCGCTCCACACCGACTGTAAATGGAGAGAAGCTCTTTGTTAACTTCTTATCCGCGCTCAGAGTTTTCCGACCGTGGAAATTACATTTGACCCGTTCAGAATGGACATTTTAAAGGTCTTCCAGTCTTACATTTGCTCCTGCGTCGATGAGAGCTCTGGCACAAGCAACGTGGTTTCCAAGGCAGGCCTCATGGAGGGGTGATACGTGATCTATAGTCAGGACATTCACATTGTGACCCTAGAAACAGAATCAAACATCCACACAGTTGATTTGGAATAGACATTTTAAGGAACATCAGGCACTAGATGACCTTAGTAAATCTCTATCGGTTAAAATCCATGATTTACAAGAACATTAACAACACCTTATCTCCTCTGACAAAACGAATCCATCCTTCTCAGTTATAGTTGGCACCAATTCACAAACAGCAGTGATTAATAAGCTGGCTAATTGATGCGCAGATCTAACTGAAGGCTAGTAAAGAGCAGATAAATCCCCATGTGAAATACTGTAATGATATCAGTGCTTTGTCATGGGTTTGTCTGAGTTCAACAAGGCATTGTTGGCTTTGCGGCACAGTCCTCCATCTGTGAGCAGTCGGGGAGCCAAGTGGAAATTGTGGCTCTAATGCAACCCATTCAGAATGTGCTCTCATTGTAAATGCGATCAATTAATTCTTCAGCCACTTTTCAAATTATGCCACACTTAAATGGACATTTACAGTAAAAAGCAGGTGAATAATGTTGTTTGTCACGGTAGAATAACCTCAGGCAGAAGATGCCAAATATTGAGTCTTCATATTGTATATAGACATAAAGTCTACCTCTGCTATTTTCCATTTTCACAACCTGGAGTGGCATAGGCTCATACGAATAATTGGGCACCTGAAAGGTGTATATTCATCGACCTGTCACTTTAAGATGCACTTGGAAATGTGACACTTTGAGGCTGCATGTTGCCAATTTTCTCCAAATCTAGATATATAACTAATGAATGATTTAGTCTGCGAAAGAAACATCAACGACGGTTATCTAATCCTATAAATAATCTGTTGTGGACAATGACTGTCACTCAAAAGAATGCCTGCAGATAATTACTCCAAGTTTTCACTCTAGTCATACATCTTTTAACCTGAGAAGGAATCTGCAAAGGCACTGAGCTCAATTAAATAGCAGTTTGTGTATATATGGGTTCACACTTTACCCACATATGAAATTTGGTCCTTTTCACCTGTAAAATGAGGGTCCTCAGAGCCAGGAGGCGGCCCTGACAGGCAGCATCATGGAGGGGTGAGCGGTCCGCCCAGGATCCTGCAACAGCAATGAGGTTTCAGCCATTTATTATTGCTCACTGAATATCTATCCTATTCATTAAGAAAGAGCAAAGCATTGTCTAAGATATGTATCATTTTGTCCATTCAACCTTTCTTTCTTTCTGTAGCTATGAGAGTAATGTCAGCAGTAGCAGAACCCTTTATATGACAAAACGTATTAAAGTAAAACATAAACAACAACTTAATGGGAATGAATCCCCCTGCTATTAAGCCCACCTGAGTCAATGTCCAGAATCACGGCTGATGCGTTCCACACATTATCATCATCACCATCCACTTCCTCCATTCTTCTTCATAAATTATAGATCATAATCAACTAAATGTTGCTTATAAAAGTCATGCTATTTTATTCATGCAGCCTATTTTCCTTGACAGACATTAATTTGAAATCAAGACATAAAGAACGAGCGAGAGACATCAAACAGATTTTTCCTAACAAGGAGGACCATATCTACAAGACCGTGACTAATACCCAAGCTTAGCTAATTAGTATTCCCTTTGAATGATAGCTACAGATTATGTTGTCGACGTGTCTGTCTGGGCCCAGAATGTGGCTTCGAACCGCTTGTCCCTGAGAATGTGAAGTGTTGTTTTGGTTGCTGCGTGAGTGTGACAGGGTGCACCGCATAACTGGGAATGGAAACTAGGGCAGGATAAGGGTGGGGGAGGGAAGAGAAGAGCAGGGTATCATGACTGTGTTCTATTAATACATTTGAGAGAAAGAACTACTGGGCCGACAGCGTCTTCATTTAATATTGAATGCACACTTCAGGATTTATAAGTGGCTATTATGCATGGAATGAAAGAAAAGTGGACTTTCATTCATATCTGCAGTAGCCTATACATGAATATGAATACAATTAGGGGCTTTTGCACTTGCTGGATTCGAGTTGCAGTATTTATAGCAGTGTAAATACAGTATTTGTGTGTGTAAACCTTGATTATTTACACATTATATTCAAGGAAACTAATACCTTACATCTGATTTTAATTAAACTAAGAAGGTCAAAAATATCACTTTATACGTGGTTTTATTGTAGATGTGTGTTTTATGCTATATTTGCATTCATCATGCAGATGTCTTTGCTTCAAATGACAGTCTGTGATTATAAAGTTACTCGTGAAGATCATTTTAATGTATTCAAAAATGTCGTTTTCTGAGTACTCACTGTGTTGTTGACCATAATCATAGAACTCTGCTGATATCCGGGCTGCTTCTTTACGGTTCCCACGGACTATGTAGAAGTATGTTAGTAAGTTCAGAGAAATCTTAACGAAAAGCTTAAAGCAAAACAGTGCCAATATGCTGAGGTAAACATTAGACAGCTGGATTGCGAAGGGCTTGTTGGTGAGTTCCGCTGTTGGGTCTGACATTTCCTCTGGCACGATACAAAAGAGCTTTGGTTATGATGAAGGCAGGATCAGATACCACTCCAAAAAGCACTACAGTAACCTACTTTTGCTCCAAGTGCACTGACTGGTTGACTCCTCCTGACAAAGTGCAGGCTGGAAAAAAGGCTGTGCAGCTGCTACTGTGTCTGAGAGCAACAACAATATTGTGGATGGCCAAATTGGACGCATTTCCATCCCATCTTATTTCTAATAATTTTGTACAGAGTAGTTTTAAATCATGGCTAATATATAATCTTTAATGTCCTCAAATTGGAACATTCATAGTGGATATATTTGACCTTAATTTGGTACACTTAACTTAGTCCTTAAATATACTTGTAGGATGAATTGTCCTCGTATTTTTGCTCAGACTTTGATTAATAATTTTAAGAAATACTAAAAGTTTTTTTCAAATTATACATGACTTTTTATTAAGTGATAAGGGATTTTTAAATTGATTGAAAATAAAGCAACTAACAAACAAAAATTATGACAAAGTAGTCTTAAATGTGCAGCATTTATTACGGTCGTTAGTACATACCTTTTCACGTATTTATAATGTGCATAAGTATGGTTTATTTGTCAAATAACCCAAACATTGATTTTGTTTCCAAGGAAACACCCCCGGAATTACGCGCGTGCGCGTTAGATTCTTCTAACTTTTTTTTTCAGGGCATTAAAATGTTTTGCTTCCTGTACTAAGTTGTAAACTAATATTTCTTTTGTGCAATGGGTGTCTGTCAGCTGCTTATTGTTGTGTGTTTGTTTACTGTTTGTACTCTCGTCCCTCGTGTGTGTTGCGGAAATGTGAGCTCGGGGGGAACTCGCAGCACGTTAAATAATTCTGCCGCTGATTTCGACTCGTTCAGAAAAAAGTTTCACCGCTCCAACCAAGTCAGTAGTGAGACGTTTAACAGCCGTATTTCCTATATTCAGGTAAGAGATAACAGAGGCGTCAAATACAGTTACATTTTTAAATGTCTTTGCTTAATTAATTTAAATTTTCATTTTGAAAACAAACGGGGAAATAGATCTGAATAAACCACGCCCACTTTGGCAGATTAGCCGTCCGCATTTCCTGGCTATAAACTGTATAACACTAATTATAATTATATTTTGTTGTATTAAATTATTATTATAATGATAGATGATTTTTCCATATATATATACTATATAATATACAGTATCTGTAAATGTTGGGTGATTAGTACACTTACATTTTGCCTATCTGTTTTCAAAACCAAATGGCTTTTAATGGTGGTGAGGAGGATATACTATCTGCTGTATTTCAGTGTGGATGAAAACTGCTGCTTTGCCTAAAGTAATCCAGTTATAAAGAATTGAAAATGATAGTGAGCCAAATTGCATTTAGAAAAATCTAATAGGTAATTGCTGTTGAATTAGGAATGTGCAGTCATCAGCCCCAATGGTTTGGCCAAATAAAGATGAAGTCATTTCGACTCTTCATAGGTGTTCTGCCAGATTCCACACTCAAAATAATCTGTACCAGCTCAGTGAAAGACACTTCAAAACACCCTCACACCCCCCCCCCCCCCTCCACCTCCAGACTAATCAGCCACATGTGAAGTACCTACGCATTAGTAGGCAGGTGATTGTAATCTTATGTCTGAAAGGTGTATGATTATATGATGTATAAAAGCACCCGGCACCTTATACATTTGACAATGTTTACTTTTAGCACAGGTTTATGGCTGATTGGGTCTTAAACATAAAGCATTTATTGTGAAAGAGGTAGATAAATCATTTGAGTCCATGCTCCTGCAGCATTTATGTGTCTTTCATTAGATAAAAAGTCACAGCAAAAGGTTTTCTTGTTAAGTTGCATCAGACAAATGACCGTTGGACTGTTGGTAACAGACTGATTGATTTATTGGTCGATTTGTTCATTCATTTTCTGCAGTGCTGGTGTCTAGCTTAGACAGTTTAAAAATGTATACTAAATGAAAATGTAACTTTTTAAATAACCCACATTAAGTTTTGTTTTACACTTTACAACTTAAACTGCTAAGCAATTCAAACCACAGTTTGGTGGTATGTAGTTTTTTTTCTTTTCCTTTCCCGTATTACAAATGTATTGAATTCGTAAAAAAAATAAAAAATCAACCACTGTATTAGATATTTTATGCCAAAGCTGGCAAACATTAGTAAATATTGCCAACAGCGGGAACTACTCAGTCTATTTCAATGAATATTCTGCTTTGTCGTAATGGCTTAGCAGTTTTCACATTAAACGCACAGTACCAGCCTGTTTTATTCAAGAATCCCAACATTAACTATTCATACTGTAGACTGGGGATGTTTAGCACCTTCTGCTGCCTTCCTAGTTAACCTTTACTAATGTGTCATTTGTTCTTGCAGGATGCTGCATTGCGGCATGTATACCTGAACTCATTTTCCACAGAACCACAGTCTGCCAAGTATGGCATGAACCAGTTCTCTGACCTTTCACAGAAGGAATTCAGCGGTACGTGAAAATGGATGAATTTATATCAGGGGTTGTTTTCTTATTCGGTGAGCGGATGTGACTCTCTGTAAATGTTTTCAATGCAAACACATTCCTAAATAGCGCTGAATTATTCCGGACAAACTGAGCCTGCTTCATACCTTGCATAAGCCGTCAATATAAAGTCATTGTATACATGCATTTTTGGAAGGCGATTGTGGAAATGCTTCTTTTCTGCCCAGATTTGTACCTGCGAGCAACCAGCGACGGAGCTCCTGTCTTCTCTGGACTGAGCAGACGAGGGCTGCCTGCCAAATTTGACTGGAGGGAAAAAGCAGTGGTGGCGCCGGTCCAGGACCAACTAGCAGTAAGGCTTATGCAGATAGACGAGGAATGCACCGTTTAGGTGGAATATTGAAACCTCCATTGTGAAATGAATGGCATTTTTACACCTGACCACAGTACAGTGTGTTGCATTTTGATGGGGCCATTTATGAAGAGACTACTTTGACAATGCAGTCCATGTTTTATTACATTATTATGATGAAACAGTACACTCTAACAGCAGACTCACACCACGTTAAACTGATTTTTTTTAATGTCATGACTAATAAGGTCATACTTAGTAAGTTGGTGTTTATTAAATATTCAGAGACATGAGTTGGTGACATACAACAAATATCTGAGATCATTAAAGAAAAATATAGTCGAATATCTAAAATATTACAATAGAAAGCTATAATTTTATTTAAAAAAATAAGGTATTTACTTATTCTTTACTGCTTTTTGTCTTTGTGTTGCATTTCTAAAGCGGATGCTGATCATTTGATCCGTTAGCCTTGTTAATGTAGTTGTGGGGAAAAGGATTCAATCCGTGCACTGAAATGTCATGGAAAGACGAGGCAGCCTTTCCTCCCACCTGCCACATCCCGGCATCACCTCCTCACTCTTACAGCGGCAGTGTGCTGCACAGCTGACCGTGAGAGTGAGCAGCAGAGCTGGACGGTAGCTCTGTGGGTGGAGAACGCGGTGAGGGGATGACACCGATAAAGTGTTAAAGTCTCGATCTGAAATCGACTTCATTCTTTTACGAGTGAACAGCAGTTATCGAACAGTTGGCCCACTAGCACAGACGACACTGAGCGTTTATTATTGGGTGTATTCTGTAAATAAATTGTGATATTAAGCGAAAATAAACGCGCGAGAGGCTCCCACATTTAAGTTTTGCCATCTGACTTCAGTTCTCCAGCTCACCATCTGCTCGGCTCCTGCGTCTGAAATGTTTGCACGTGTGAGTCAGAGTTGACAAGTTTGAGTTTTATTATCCCAACTTTGGTGCCACGTGCCACTTGACTAACGTGCATTATGATAGGGTTATGCAGAAAAAGATGCCGTTCTGTGAATATGCTCAATATTTTTACATTCATAAAGAAAAGGATTTTCAATTATCTTGTAAAAATAACACCCGAAAAATGTTTAATTTGAGCAATTAGCTGCTATACTCAACGTGGCTAATCTGCTCCAGGTGAGCCTTTCTGATGCCACACGACAATTAGTGTGACGTGTTGCATGCTGGACTGTAATTGGCTTTCAAACCAGTCGTGCTGCCAAGTCATGTTTGTATTTGTAAGTTAGTCAAACTGAGATTTATGATGATTGCAGGGAGAATTCCCTCTTCAGCGGAGCAATTTCGGTCTTCTAGTGTTCTGCCGAAGGTCAAGCATCCAGCTGAAGTAGTAATGAAAACATATTTGGGTGTAGGTAGACTTCAATAACTATGGAAAAACAATGAGCTCCGGGAGCAGAATGACCCAGAGATACAAAAGGGAGAAGGTTAGCGAGATGGAGTTGTAGCTTGTCGTCTTTGAGGGTTTGCTTTTTGCTCTTTTTGTCCTTTATCTCTTCAGTAAGTCAGTTCGCTTCGGGGAATGCTATTTTCACCGAAAAGCTCTTTTCCTAAGGGAGAGAAATAACCTATACAGGACATGCTTCATGATAACATAGTGTATTCAGTATCTTACTCTTGAATTTAGGGAAGGCTTAGAGGAAAAGGTTTATAATGACAGGACACGCCGACAAAACCACTCAGCTCTGTTGTATCTGCTCAAATTTCTCATTGTCTGGCTCCGTCTGTGGAGCTGCCTGGGCTGAGTTCCCATAACAGATAGATGGATAAACAAAAAATAAAATCCAATAGCATCCAAACAAACACAAGACATCAAGCCATTTAAATCTGATAAATTCAACTTGATTCAGTTTTTGCTCTTCTCTATTCCTCATTTATGACTTGAGTGCCTTTCACTCTCTTAAAAGAGTGCAAAGATTGCCTTTACATTTTGTTTGCTCAGCACACACTTATCTCCAGTCCTGGCAGAATTTGATTTATGTATTGATTATAAGCCATTAAACCATGTTAACAAAGAAATAGAGGGAAAAAAAATGAGTTTCCGCTGAAGAATGAGATTTCTCTGTACAAATATCAAACAGAAAAAAAAAGTTATGTGACATAAAGACGTGAATTCCTCGACTTCCTTCCCCCAAAGTGCTGATGTTTTCGCTATTATTGCCCGGCTTGTTGCCGATAGATCAGAGCAGGGTATTAATTGAACCTTCAACATTCTTTCCCTAAACGGATTCTGTCAGTAGATGGCAGCAGAAAGCAATTAGTCACAGTGGCTTCCTGCTGGTCAGACGGCCCCAGCGGCTCCACCTTTTGCCGGGTGCGTCGGGCCCCCCCGCGGGCACCTGATCAGAAAACCTTTCAAGATTAAAGATTGGGCTCCAACAGAAAGATTGAGGCTGTGTGAAAATCTTCCGTGCTTATCTAAATTTTGAGTTGTCCAATAAAAATGCTGATTGAGTCATGTTCAAAGATGCGGGATTGATTTTAACAGCAGGGTTGTACGTAAGCACATCATTGATCATGTTAGTTTCCACGAGTCTTTGCCCCCTCTGAAATGTTTGTGAGCAAAACACGTTAATTTCTCTAAAGGGAGGTGAGAAGAAAAAAACAAAACTGAAAAAATATTCTTCTTGGAACTGTATGTTGTTGGATGGACGGTTTGGCTCAGTCTGTGTTGATTTTTTTTGTTCTTCTGTTTTTTTTGTTCATTCTTTTGCAGTGTGGGAGTTGTTGGGCATTTAGTGTGGTTGGTGCCATACAATCTGCTTCTGCAATCAGGGGCTCGCAGCTGGAGCAGCTCAGTGTGCAGCAGGTTGTGGACTGTTCCTTTAGGGATGCGGGGTGCAATGGAGGCTCAATATCTCAGGCTCTGACTTGGTTAAAACAGGTGAGTATTCCTTTTTTCCATATAAAAAATCTGCATGCAGCAAAGGCTTCCGAAGTCAAGAACATGGACCCCAAAAAATTGGATTTCACATTTTCCCTGCTGTGCAACTTTGTTAACAGACTCGCGTGTTAGAAAACAAGATCATGTATTTGTGTTTGAAATATGAGTATTGTAACGTTCTGAAAGCACAATTCCCTTCTTGTTTTTCTTTCTAGACGAAGGTGAAGCTGGTGACTCAGTCAGAGTATCCATACAAAGCCAAGACAGGCATCTGCCATTTCTTTTCCCAGTCTCATGATGGTGTCGTTATGAAGAACTTCACTGTGCATGACTTCAGGTAAAAGGCTCATATTTAAAGGTTATTTAATATAAAAAAGACAGAAAATCTACACTATACTCAAGTTAAATCACGTCAAGTGTTAACTTGGTTTTCTTAGAGTACAGAGGACAGAAAAGAAAGGTGTGGAAATGTCCTGTATGATGTCGGATTACAGTGTTTACTCTGTCTACACAAACATGTGCAGCTCAGTAGGACAGAGGTTCTTGACTTGGGGTCAACTGTTTCAACCCAAAGGTTTCTCTCGTGTAACATGAATCAATATCTTTATTCCATTTAAAACGGAGATGGAATTCACTCTTTTGATATGTTTTATTAGCTCAGTGCTGATGATTACAGCTGTTAGAGCTACAGATGATTCGGATCCAAAATAAGCACTTCTCATCTTTCTTTCACACCATTTGTGTTCTGTGTTGTAAGTGACAGGCTATGAGTGAGATGTTATGACGGCCAGTGAGTCTTGCATACAGAGACATCCAGCTGCACTAATACGGCATTTATTCAGTGCTTTTTCAACTTCTGAGCATTTTGCAAGCAGGGCCTCAAAGGATGTAAATATTTGACTTTGAACCGAGCACATTGAGAAACCCTCTTAACGTTCGGCAAATTAGCATCGACAAGGCTACTAAGAAACAGAGGGGCCGTCTACTTGGCTATAAATCTGCAAGGAGTCGTCATCTCAGATGCAAAGAGGAAGAATAAACAACTTGCTTTGGAAATGGATGGATGAGTGATAACTATGGCCTGGTGCCCAATGGTTTGTGATACCACCAGCTGGTCTGCACTGCCATCCAGGCAAAAAGCCCCATAAGCCTGTGCTTAGAAGGACACAGCCATGGGCAGCTGCAAAAGGGAGAGTTCAAGTGTATCACTCGAGAGCAGATTAGCTCCGCCGCTTCAGAGCTCTGGATGTCCGGCAGATGACCTGGACGTCTTCGTTCTGAGAGCAGAAAGCAACAAGGAAAAACTAACAAGTGCGACTCAAACGTAGCGCTTGGGATTTTCTGTAAAACACGTAAAAGGGCTTAACGCGAAGAACACCAGAGTCGAAACGCTTCTCGGCTGGGGTGTTCTGTGAATGCTCCGTCTACGCTCTCAGATATGGAAACCGTCATGTGCTCATGGGAGCGATGACAATGAAGCAGCTTTCAGAATGTCTGAAATGAGTTTTTATTGCTCTGTTGAACATATTCTGCTCCTTTGAAAGTGTGATTTTTTACCGGTGGCCTCCTGCTACCTGTGCGAATAGGTAGTCAATATATTCAGCACATTTTCAGATTTCACCTGTGTGCCTTCCACAAAAAAAATCCTTTAACAGTTTCAGCTTTTTGTCCTGCCATCATAACCACCTATTGAGTAGAAATAGGCCTTTTACTAAGTAAGAAGTAAGTAAGATAGTTCCTCTTCTTGTTTGGTTCCAGCACCTTTTTGCTCTCCTTGTTGAGGGTAAAAGGAATCAAAACATTGACAGGAAAAAGCACGATGCCCAAGAAAACCTTGGAGGAAAGCCATCTCAACAGAGTTTTAAACTTGAAGGATACCAGAGCCCCGACCGCAGCTAATGCACCACCTGTCAAATCAGACAATAAGCAAGATTTAGAGGTCTCATATGGACAGAAAATGGCGAGAAACTCAATGGCCGCCTGTATTTGTCGAATAGTAATGAAGTCTTCCTTGGTCTTGAAAACTGTATCTCATTCTGAATAATGCTGTTCGTTTCATAATTCAAGGAACGTGCATTTGTAGTCTTTAGAATGGAGATCTTGAGTTGGATTCAAACAGTGAGGCCACATTCTGAGATGCATATATACTGATGGTTGGACTAGATATTAATTAAATCAACCCAATCCTACCCTCTTCTCATGCCTTTGAATGATTACTTTCATCAACTTTGCCCAGTATAATTGTAACTGATTAAAGAAGTACATCTGCACTTATAGCGTACTATTAATTTTTATAGTTTATTTTATTTTCCCTCATTGATTATTTTTAATAGTGTTTTAATGCTATTTTTGTGTTTCTATTGGCTTTGAGTTGCTTCCTTCTGTGAAAATGCTCTATAAACACAAGCTTGCATTGTTAAACAACACCTAAAAAGAAAGCAGAGTAAAGATCATTTTCATACTAAGTAAATGTCAATGCTATGCTCCTACTTGATTTGCTGGTGTACCCTTTTCAACAATCCACTGATCCAGCATGAAAATGCTCCTTTTGACCTGCCCCTATCTTCTGGAATTGGATGTCTGCATGGAGGAGTCTCGTCAGGGGGTCAGATCTTTACTGCAACACAGCGGGAGATAAACATAATCATAATGTCAAAACGGTGTAGCCGAGCCCTGACATAGGTTCTGTGGATCATACGTAATGAGCCTGGCAAAGGAGGGCAGCACAGATACTCCCAGTGGGAATCATCTGACTGGAAGACGGAAAGGGGTGACGGAGGGGCCCTGCATATTTACATCATAGAAAGATGAATTGAGAAAAATCTGAAATACTCGTTCAAAAGCAAGTGTACTAATGATGTAGTGAAAAACCCAATTCTGATGTAGAAGAGATGGTTATAAAAAAGGTCGAGTTGAGAAATGTGGAAATAGTCCCCTGTATACTTTGCCCCTGAATTAAATCTATACAGTTCGTGAAAAAGCAATTTAATCATGAGGCCAAACAAGTAACCTCAAGGAAAAATGTTTCTGCTATTTTTCCTCAGTGGTCAAGAGGAGGCAATGATGGGTCAGCTAGTGGAGCGTGGTCCTTTGGCTGCTATTGTGGATGCTGTCAGCTGGCAAGATTACCTGGGAGGCATCATCCAGCACCACTGTTCCAGCCAGTGGTCTAACCATGCTGTTCTGATCGTTGGATATGACACGACTGGTACAAGCCGCTTCCACTCTGTGAAAGAATCTCAGTTCAGCAAGGAAGAGATTTTCCATTCACCCTCAGCTAATACCTTTTCAGGTTAATTAGGTCTACAAGGAACTGTGACAGCGGTGTAAAAAAGAAATACGTTTGTGTTCATGAGGCTTGCCTGCATTGCTATTGATCCAAATTAATCCCGAAAACAAGGTTGATTGCGTGGAAAAGAAGATATTTAGTGAATACCGCATCCCTGAAGTTATCTTGTTTTTGAAGATCTAGTTAAGTTCGCACTAACATCATGAGGCACCTTGGGATGCTTCCAGATATTATTAACACGTACTAATGTGCCTTATTCAGTTTATTTCTTTTTTCATCGCTAAAATAAGAACTGAAGCGGAATATTCAATTAATATGTGTGATGTAGTATTTAACTGTTTTTCCTTGTGATGAAATTCCAGGGTTGCACAACTTTTATCTGAAGTGCTGCCTATTTGAATGATTAATTTGCTAAATTGAGGCTCAGTCTCATAAAATACACAGTGTTCAAATTTTTTGTGGGTTTTATACCACCATTGCCATCGTTTTGCAACCTTCTATGTTATTTATTTATTCACAAAGCTGTCCCAGTATCAAGCTGGTTCACGTTTTATTTTCAAGGTATTACGCAAAGGGCAACAGTGATTATGTAACAGATCAAAGATAATTAAGCTTAAGTTAACACACAGACACAACAGATGTGCCTTATCCTCGTAAATAATGGCTTTAAGTCTTGAAAAGCTTGTTATCTCTCGTAGGTCAAATTCCCTTCTGGATTGTGCAGAACTCCTGGGGAACTACTTGGGGAAACAAAGGTTACGTTTACATAAAAATTGGCGGGAACATTTGCGGTAAGTTCATTACCTCATGGTCCTTTTATCATCCTGATAAGTTCTTTTTTATGGGAATGTCAACTAGTCTTTCAGAGATGAATCATGCTTCTCTCTGCTTTCAGGTATTGCAGATTCTGTGGCAGCTGTTTTTCTTTGACAATAGTTTGTAAATGATTATGAGTCATATGTGTTTGTGGGAGTCAAAGTTCATGCCCAACGAAATTAAGACGTCTCTATTTTTTTAAGTGTAATTTGTGGTATTGTTTTTACTTAATAAAAGACAGAAACATATCCTTCTGTTGCCATTAAAACAAAAAAAGAAAATCCCCTTATATGTTTGTAAATCTTTTATTATTCAGAGCAACAAAACACTGAACCACTTGTTTCACTGTACAAAATATGTATTTACTTAATACATAAAAAGATACATGTTAGCAATAAGTATAATAAATTCATCTATACAAAAATCACATCAATTACTGCATAAATATACAACATAATTAATTTAGTACCATAAAGAATATTTTACAAAATATATCCACAGCTGTTACAAAGTCTAACATTATGTACACATTTTAGGGGTTAAAATGATTTTTTTTTTTTTGCTCTGCAGATCGTTCTATTTAAGCTGTTGGGATTTCATTTTATCTTCACTTTTTTCCACCTAAGCTACACATGAGTCATCTGATATGCCCTCTTATGACTTTCTGACATGAAATATGTTACATTTATGTAAAAACCCATCAGCGCAGTTGCTGCACACAAAGTTTGATCGTTGCTTCCACTGATCTGTTTGCCTTCAGGTCAGTTAATGTTCATTTACATAATTTCATCGGGAGAACATCTAAGCAGCTCTTATCAAGTTGCCATCTGCAGTGCTTTGTGACTGACAGTCAAGATTAGAGTAAAATAGCTTGATTTGCCTTCTTGATCTCGCTGTTGTCAAACACTGTGTCACAAGCTGTGCAGTCTGATTTATTTAATTATATTGTGTGGTTTTCCTTGCCTGAAAAACCTTTAAGTGTACTAAATCTAATTTGGATCAAGCATGTATAATTTTGTATGTATTTTTTTTTGCATCAAGAACAAATATAAGTAAGTTTTATCCTGCTGGTGTAAAGGACCAAAATTCCTCTTCTGAACTTTATAACATTATTTGTGGTGCATGTCTTAAGAAGAATATGGTTAACACTTCCTCCTATTATTGATAAAACAATCAATATTCCAATCTACAGCTTTTCTCAGGTAAGGTTAGTAAATTTTCTACGTTATGCACGTATTGAATTTGCGGAACATTTGTCTTTGTTGACCTCTTTATCAAATCTCTGTCACATCCGTTTCAGTGAAGGCAAGCCACGACAGACATCTAAAGCCCGGTCTAGTCAGAGTCCTCACTGCTGCAATATGAGCTGTCGCAGCACTCCGCCATGTAGAGGAACGTATGAACGTTGGGATTCAGCTTGGGCACCCAGTGCCGAGGCACCAGGAAAGTTGCCAGGTTGAACAGATCCACAAACACCTTGTAGCGATCACTAAACGGACAGAAATGTATACAGACATAAAGCTAAAGTCAGTTTAAATTGAAACATTTTGTCTACATACTCTCCAGGATAAATGACAGTGACAGGTTTATAGACTTTAGATCATCTCAGTGTCACTGTCTTGTCTTTTTCTAAATAAACTTGAATGTTTGCCATGTAAAATGTCTAATTATAGGATAAAAGTTCGCATCATTCAGTACCTGACGGTAGATCTCAGATAGTGATAGCCAGAAGAGCCCCCTGTGCCAGCTTTGCTGCCAATCATACGGTGCACCATGCACACATGATTGTCTAGAAGAGAGACGGAAAAATAAATATGTGAGTGGTATTTTTGTCTCTTCGTGAACTGCTAACTCTTTAGTCAAAAGTCATTACACAGCACATTATTTCACTTTTAAACTCCCTTATTAGTCAAGCATTGCCTTTAGGCAAACTAAGAGGGTTTTTCTAAAATTAGCAGCTGCAGCTTTTTGTGATGCGTAAACTCTTACATCTCCATTTTGTCATGAGAGTGTCGATGTCCATGAGGGACGTTAGCAGCTGGAAAGGAACCTGGAATCGTGGCTCTTCCCTAAAAGGCAAGAAAAGACTTGATTTGCACTGGGTATGTATGAAAACTTTGATTACTACACAATGAGAGCAGCTGACACCTGTTCAGCACCAACAGCCCAGCAGTTTTGCACCAATTATCACTTTCCAGCAACTGCTGGATGACTTTTTGGGCTCTGGTGCAGCTTTAATGAGTCTCTGGTGACATTCTGTCCGTATGACACATGTTTTACAAAACTGACTGCTACACCTCTCGCTTAAAACTGACAGACTTCTGACTATTGAAGCACTCGCAAATTGTCTTTACAACTGCTTTGGGTGTTATGAATTTTATGGCCTGCAGCCTTCTCAGAACAAGGCATGTGAAATGGAAATTTCATTTTGGAAGAATTAATGACTATGCCTGCATCTGAAACTAGCTCTGATGTGTTTCTTTAGCTTAATGTCCCTTTGGAGGAGTCTGCACCTCTCATCCGTAAAACTCTATTCACGCAATGCAAATGTTTTAGCTCTGGCAATTAAAAGTGATCTTCATACCTGTAGAAGTAGATCATCAGAGCGCCTTGCAGCGCCTTGTAAGAAATCCGCCTTTCACCTGGTTAACAAAAGCCAAGAGCTTTAGCATCAAAGCAACACGAACCCATTCATTTGTTATTCGGGTAGTTTTATGAGCCACAGTTTAAAGTCCACCAAACAGAACATTGAGAGAGCCCCTAAACAAATACAAAGCACTGCAAACAAATATGACATCTGATTTGGCAGTTACCTTTGCTGACCAGGTGGTCATGACGCTTTTCGTCAAACAGCGATGTGAAGATCTCTTTCTGTTTGACCAGCTCAGCCATCAGCTCCTCCTTCTCTTCGGAATCTGGCATTTTCTTTAAAAATAAACAATGCCCGCAAATGAAAATACAGCTTCTGTCAATCATCTCTGCACTCCGGGGAAAAGCACGGAAAGTTTGCTGTGAGAGCTCAAGTCATTTCTTACCGCAATTTTCTCCTCCTCCAGATTCAAGCCATCAAATATATTGATTTCCAACCTGGCCCAGAAATTGAATCCATCCACCTCCAATCCAGGAGTCCTCTCCAGCCACTCCTAACAGAAAAATACAAGGTTTATTGGCTATTACACCCTGGCCAGTAGGACATAAGCGTCTCCAGAAAAAAGGTACAACCAAACACCGATGCAAATAAACAGCACATAAAAGTAACCCCTAGTAAAATCAATGTACTAAACCAGAGGAATCAATGGTAGACAAACCTCCACAAGTTTTAAGAGCGTGGGTTCCTTTTCTGAGGCCAGCAGCATCTCACTCTCATGACCTTTGAAATTGTCTCTGTAATGGCGTCTGTTATATGGAACCCTCAGGTTTTCCGGCACCCCGATCTTGTTCTCCAGGATCCGAAACTGGAGGCTTTGAAATCCAGAGGCCGGGGAAAGGTATTCCCTGCACACACAAATGAAGACAAAGTTAAACATGCATGCACACCACTCAACCCAAGCACTCGATGAAGTGCATCTTATAAAAATTTTAGCGCTGAAGTAGAAAGGACGAAAGTTATTTATGAGTTTACCTAAAGTCAAAAAAGTCCAAGGCTGTCATTGTTTCCAAAACCCCGAACTGGTCGACCAACAGTCTGAAGATCATTACGATCCTGTGTATGCGAGTGTTGACTTTCAGCATGTTGCGTTCGTCTCTCACCTGAAGGGATATGAAAGGTAACCACTGCAAATCCGAGTCAATTTTTCTACTACAACTAAAAAAAGATCTTAAAAAGTAAATATCTTTACTTGCAACTTACATGTTCACTGATAAAGATCTCTCGCACTGAGTCGAGCTCAAACAGAATCTGCTTGAACCACAGTTCATAGGCTGGAGGGGAAATTAAGAAGAATGTTTCAGCAGGATTTTGGAAACAGAAATTTAGATGAATTAATTAGCGTTTGAGGTAAAAACTAAATCTTCATCTTTCATGACACACATTTATATATATATATATACTTTTCTATCTCTCTAAGTAAAGAGAATATTCTTGTCTAAAAACTGGAGCAGCATTCTGGTTTCAGTGGTAAGGCTCCTTTTTACCTTGATGGGTGACGATGAAGAGGTGCTCATCGTGGATCTTATTGCCCTTTAGTTCACTTTGCAGCACTTGGGCTGTCACTATTTTATTAAGCTGGAAAGGAAGCAAAAGGCAAATGCGCATTGCAGTTTCGCATCTTTCAAAAATAATGGAAAAAAAATGAAGATGATACATATGCAAGGTCATTTCTTCTACCTGCAGGTAGTCTCCATAGATGATTCCTCCTTTACTGGCCTTGTTAACCCCTGCCTGCGAGGCGTCCTCATCTTCCCCTGCAGGAGGTTTATTTTTGAATAACCTGTGGTACAAAGAAACACAGCCGTTTGTTACCTGCTGTTCCTCCGCCAACAGGATTTGTAATAGAAGAGGGTTGCGTTAAATGAATATGGATAAAAATTGATTAGAAAAATTCTTGAAAGCCAAAATTTCACTGCCAACATACAAATGCCTCTTCTCAAAGTACGGACATCCACTCATGACTTTTTTCCAATCCGCGACAGCTAAGATGTATTCGTCTTCCTCAGGTAATGTTTACTAATACTGTCATCATTGTAGTCCAGGTTTTAAAGACTTGTCTTATCCAATCAGTCACGAGCATCCAGGCACCATCCGGCCCGCCTTTATTTGTGCCACGCAGCCGTTGTTTACCTTTTGCCAGGATTACTCGCTGGACTTTGTTTTATGCACTATGGATCGGGGGAAATTGCACAGTAGCTTTTGAAATATTCATGTAGTTTAAAGTAGATTTCAACGGGAAAATTCTACATTCATGCCAGTATTCAATGTCCTTGCTCGCATAAGGATTTATACGGATAACATTTCGCTTGAAAACCTCACAAATAGGACAGAATGTTATCAGGGGGTCTCGATGCGCGTGTTTCCGACCCGTTCATGGTCATAGGGTTTTTTTCAGTGTTTGCAGTGTTGCTCTGAGCTCTCCTGCCATGTGTTGGACAAGCAGGTTACATAAGTGAGAAGGGAGCATCGTTGACATCTGTATTGGAATGACCTGGCTGCCTGAGAGATGACTTTACAAATCAAACATGTGGCAATTTCTATCAATATATTATATTATATATCTTATATATCTATATATATTATATATCAATTATAAAAAGCCAATCTTTGGACTCATGCAGCAGCATAATGACTGTTTTTTACTAGTGTGTTTTAATTAGGAGTGTGTTTCTGTATCTATTTCCATGTAGACATGTGTGTCCTAGCTCGGAATCACAGTACACAGCAGGTCATTGAACTCACCTGTAAATATTTTCCTTTTGGTTAATGTTTTATTTACCTCTTCATGAGAAATGTAAAGGTCTGAGGTCATTCTGGGAAAGGTACAAAATGTACTTTCAAAGAAATGACTCATATTGTATACATGTATATATATGATGAATATATGAATATAACACACTTTTGCTGTATGTATTATACATACCTTAAGCGTTCAGCAGCTTGAAAGCTAAAACAATTCTTAATTCATCTGCAAAATCAAATCAATCACCATGCAAAGTTCATGGGAACTTCTTGTTTGTTTGCAGTCGAACTTGAGACGCTCTGTTGAAAATAATGATAGACTTAATCCCACTCACCTCCTGAGCCGCACCACAACAGGCTGTCAGTCAAAACAGGCGGTTTTCCTTTTGAAGAACAGTCATAGCAGCGAAATCAGCGAAAAAAAAGAACAACCCACAGTCCACTCTATATCTCTCAGATCATTAGCTTTGTTTTTTTTCTTTTTCTTTGTGGAATTATCAAGTAGAGTCCCATCAGCATGTGCAACGGTCCCTTAGAAGATCAGAGGGATGTTAACAAGCAGCTATTTCTGAACTGGGACAAGGTACAAGCCTAGCATGAGGAGTAGCAGCAGCAGCCCCAAAATGCTTTGTTCTTGTTCCCATTTAGCTGGGATGAATAGGACTTTAGTGGAAAGGGTTACGCTGGATAGGATCCTTGAGACAACGTGAAACTATCAGGGTAGATTTTCGGAGATTTAACTAACCCGTCCATCTCTCCAGTAGGACGCATGTATCATATGCCGACTCCATTGGATTGAATGTGTCACTGATTTCAAAGAAAAAGGAATTTTAACTGTTTTTCTTTTCCCTACTACCATGATAGGACAGTTTGATAATATAATTGTCTTCCCTCCTAGTCCTTGAACTCCGCTACCGGAGTATTTTTAGAAAGTGTTTGCCTCTCTTTCAGCCGTAACTACATCTTTGCATCACTCTTAGCTCTCGACCCTTGGAGGTTTTCGAGCACTGAATTATTAGAAACAATTATTCTATCAGAAGAAAAAAACAAATGTATCACCATTTAGATCTGCCTGTTCTTTCTTCTGCATTCTCAGTGGTGAATATCACAAAGGGAATTATTATATACTAAAATAATTTCCTTCTTTGATTTTGACTGTATAATGTTCTTCATATGTATACATATATTATTTATTTTGATCAAAGAAGCCGTGCAATATTTTATTTTAAATGTTTTTTATTTAAAAAATCTGGTTACATAGTATAGCTGGATAAATCTGTATATCTAACACACACACACACACACACACACACACACACACACACACACACATACACTTTGGCTTTTATGACTTATTGGTAACATTTAAAATAATTTATTCAATTTTAGCGTAATTGTGTTGCATGAAATAGTAAAGCACTGTGTTGTGGTGCTCAAACATAATGTCATTACAGTGGAAATTAATTTAATTGAACAGATAAAAAGGACAACAAGCAAGAATCAAAGCCTGACATATACTACGTGACTGTTATAGAGATATTACTTTGAATTCTAATTTGTTTCCGAATACATTAAGGATTGAGCATTTCTTTCGTGTGTGTACGTTAGTAGAATAGAGATCACTTTTAAGCTTGTTTTGTGGAGAAAGTAAAGGGATGATTATGTGTGATTGCATGCAAAATCAATGTGTGGTAGTTTTTCTCAACATCTGTTCTTCACTCATTGTAGATTTGTGTTTGGAGACGTGCACTCGTTTAATCCTGCATTTAGTCACGTCCATGGAAAAAACAATTGCAAATAGATATTGTGGCTGTGCATCCGACGGTAAATAAACATTAAGAGTTTTTGTTCCGAGGAAGCAAAATGAAACTCAAGCGTCTTAAAAAGCTGGAAAAAAAAAAGAAAAAAAAAGGAAAAAAAAAGAAAAAAGTCTGGTTATTGGTTTTCTTTCACACTGCTAAATATGTGATTTTATCTCCAGAGGTCTGGCTAACTCTGCGCCGAGGAGAAATTCCACAAGCTGTCAGCTGAAAATAAGAAAGGGGAATAATGAAATAGCACTCACATTACATGCCTGTGAAAAATCAAATTACACGAGTTTGTGGGGAAAAAAGATGTGCTAAAAGCAAAAGCAAAACATCCGACAAAAGGTGCTAACAGAATATCAAGTAGAATGATAGCTGAAATTAACCATCTGGGAAGAGGAATCTGAATTTAACATTTAAAGTGCTGGTTCTTGTAGATGCAATGGACTACACAAGTTTTATTTTATACAACATAGTTAAACATAGTTAAACTATGGACTATTTTATTTGCTCATAATTATCGAATAACTGGATGCTTGTTCACATTTATAATTGCTGCATTGCCATAATTATGCTTCAATTCTATATAAAGTGTTGTCTCTCTTACTCCTATTTTCATGTCTTGCAATCGGTCTACGGCTTCTATCTAAACCAACACATCTAGGAGATTAAATCTGTATAGAAACACATTTTTAAAAATGTTTTTTTGTTACTATGTGGATGGCGTGAAGTCGCTGTGATACCCAGAGGTCAAAACCGTGCGACTACAAAGCCGCCACGACAGCAGCATCCTTCCAAGCCGTCAGATGTGTCTTAAAATATTAAAAGGGTTGTCAAATTATTTCATGTTTGGTAGTTTTTCCTTTAGTTTGCTTCTCTGTGGTTATTGCAGTCTTTTTGGATGTTTGATGTTCTTACGAATTCGTGCCATCGAAGCCTTTGAAGTAGGTCTGGTTGCAGAGCGTGGTGATACAAACACACGGATTCCTGGGCGGTACTTTGTGTGGTCACAGTGAGTTACTGCAGCAGTTCGGAGGTTCATTTTCATATTAGCAGCTTAACCATTCTATTTGATGTCTCTTTAAATTAACCTGGAGAGTCTACGAGTGATTGTTTGGCTCCTAACATCTGGCTAACTAGTCACAAGAATTTGGCTTGATTGTTTGAAGTGGGAGCTCAAAGCGTTTGTGTTTTCTGACCTTTTTGAAAGTGCAGCGCTGGCTGCGGGTATGGAACACGAGCTGCAAAGTGATGTGCAGATAAGGCTGCCGGATGACTTCATGAACTGTGCACTTGGACCACTAGAGAGCATCAGAGGACTTTAAAGAGAATAGACAGCGAATAAATATTTAAGCGCTTTTATTTAACATAGCCAAGTCTGTATTCCACCAGGGGTTTGGAAACTCTTTGTATGGACATATCAAAACAAATGGAGGTTTGTGGAAGTTCACTGTAATACTAATATCAGGAACAATAGGCAATAACTCGCAAGGGAACTTCAATGATGCATTTCACTTTAGATTATTGGCGAGGGGGAGTAGACTCCCCAAAGGGACTTAGACTGGGACATGCTGATGATGTAGCTTCATTGAGCTACACGTGTCATAAATAATATTAAATTAAAGACTCATAACAATATGTTATTGCATCTGTTGGGGGCTTGAGTAGCGGTCAGAGAGAAGACGGGGTGAAAAAACAACGGCATAAAACTAAAAGAATTTTCTGCTCCCCTTTGGTTTGAAATGCTGTTTGAAGTTTCATAATGGAAAAGAGACCACTTTAAAATGAAGGGCTTGTATTCAGAATCATGGATTCCATCATCTGAACTCTTCTGTGCTTTGATGAATAACACTTTGCATGATCAATGGGAATGTTGATCACAAACCAAACGCAACTTTGAACATAATGCTCTGCCAAAACTATACATCTATTCTTTAATGACCATGACCCTCACTGAGAAGATTGTTTTTTAGTCAACTGTCCACATTTCAGGTTAATTATGCTCAAAATTTCCTCAGCTGCAATTCACACTGTGCTTCAGAACAGTTTCTCATGGCCGACTTCAAAGCAAAGCTTCATTTGTCTTCTCTGGCTTTGTAGCTCAGAGGGTGTATTTTCAATCATTAATGCAATTTGTGATGTTTATTTTTTATTTAAATACTATTGCTATTCATGTATCACTACTTCAGAAGACTTTCTTTGATGATTTCCAAATTAACGTCTGATTAATCCCATGCTTAACATTTCTCTTTTCTTTTTCTAAATCTGCATGGAAAAAGGAAAAATTCATTTGTAATATTAAAGAACAATCAATTTCTTGAAAAAAAAAAAACATCCTAAAAAGCCTAGCATCATCTTGAGTGCATTTAAAATTCAAAGATAGGGAAAAAGCAAAAAAAAAGAGACAAAAACCGGGAAAAAACCCACAAAGATCATGGTCGGGATCTAATTTAGGGTCTTTTGTAACCTTGTTTATGTGAGATGGATTCATTAATTATTTGTGTTGATAAAAAATACATTGGAAGGAGTCAAGTCAAAAGGCATTATGCCCATTAAACATTAAATTTAGTGGAAGTAATAGCGGACTGGATGTTACAGATGCACCACCACTTGTCACTGCATTTACAGTTTCTATGAATTAAACGGAGCTCAATAAGAAAGGCTCAACATTAGCCACACTGGTTGTAAAGCAGCTTAAAAGAAACTAATCCTCACCGACTTAAGTAATCAATGTCTGAAGGAAATCAAATCATATATAAAGACTTCACTTAAAAGCAGCGGGGCTTTATTTATGTATAAACACAACATAAATTACTGTTAATGACTAGTACAGACATTTATTCAGTTTCATTAAAAAAAATAAAGAAACAAAAACAAAAAACAGCATGAAACCATTGGATATTTTACAAAACGTGGTGTCCCTGTGATATCCAGACACATCTGTGCTGCTCCAGACCCCACCCTGGACAGAGTTCCTTGTACATTTCCTGTACTCTTTTTTTTTTTCTTCTTACCCCACAATGAATATTGGGTACTTAAACAGCTTATTTTTTCCATTTAAAAGTATCTCAAAGAGAATAAGACATTTTGTTGTTTACAGTGCGAAATCTGGTGTACGTAGTGGTCATTTGGTGAGGATATTTTAAATATCAGAAGTCTCTGATTTTCAAAACGAGAACACTGCTCGCTCTAGGAATGCCATCCCATGAGCCCGGTACTTCTACAGAAGTGCAGATATGCATAATGTAAACATTTTTTCTGTTCTCACAACACTTATTGAGCCAAGCCTTTCTTGATGAAAACATGAAATAAATTAAAAAGAAAAAAAACAAAACATAAATCACCTAAATAAGCTCACTGATTTCTCAAAGACACCACTGTTCCTCTGCTCTGGAGTCCATAGTCCAAAAGGCTTGTGCTACAGAGGAACTGACCTGTAATCGCCATGTTAAGGCTTAGTGTAGTTGTACATTTATTCTGTAGTCTTTTGGTCACAATGCACAGCATTGCTGTTGACTTTCTTTCTTTCGTCCGTTCTTTCTTTCGTTCGTTCTTTTTCATTTATTTCTTTTGTACAAAAACACAGCGGCACTCAATGTACATATCAGCAACAATTCAACACAGTTGCTTTGTATTTTGTCCATTGTCACGTCTCTACCAAAAACAAAGTCTCTTGGCAGATAATGCACCTCATATTGTTACCTTTTCCCGATTTCACTTTGCCGAAGGAAGTGGATGTTATTCGAGCTGTCGGCTAGTTCCGGGTACTGCTCGATGGAAAGTACGTAGTACCCGTCGTATCCCAAAACCTTCCCGCTACTCAACAGCTGCCTCTTCTCCCCTTCGGTCCAGGGGCGGACGCCCTCCTCGCCGTCTCGCACCCGCTGCTGCTCGCGGGCCCACGCGCCGGCCAGGGCGCGCTGGCGGGCCAGCTCCACCACCCGCGCCTTCTCCTCGTCCACCGTGGACCCGTAGCGGACGTGGAACGCCAGGGCGCCGGCGCGGACCTCCACGTCCGCGAAGCGCCGCGTCCGACTGTCCATGACGGTGGTGGACTGGGACACCGTCACGTTCACCCCGTTCTCCAGCGTCTTGTGCCCGCTGGTCAGGTGCATGGCGGCCAGGTCCGCGTCGGGAAGTCCCGGCTTGACGAAGTAGTGCGTGTCCCGCCCCTCTATGGTGAAATGGAGGTCTTCCAGGTAGAAGGCGTTGTTGAGGATCGTCGCAACCTTGATGCAGTCTTCGCTGGCCACGTTGAGCGTGTGGGTGTGGACGCTGCCCTTGTAGATGGCAAACATAACGGCCCTTCCAATGGGAGACATGGCGGCCGAGAACCACAGCCAGGACTTTTCACCTCTTTGACCTCGACTGAGATGGACCTCAGGCAGCCGCTCGAACGACAAGAGGGAGTGTGCTTGTCTGGTTACTTCCTGCTGGACCCCAGAGATAGACTGTAGGAAAGGTGCAGTGAAACGTTAATGCCTGAACATGGCATAACCTGAATCTCCAGGCCATTTAGAACCAGCTACTGCACTGCTTCAGAGAGTTTTTCATCCCATTGAAGATAATGGTGTTTTCAAGCTGTGTTCTCAAGCCCGAAGTATATAAATCCCCCATGACAAATTTTTACATAAAGGCCTTAGACCAAAGAAACCCAGCATGAATTGCATGAAAGAGACTGATTTAACTGTAGCAACACAAGAATGTTACTTATAAAATTAGAAAGAATTTAGATTTATGTATCTTGCAACTTAACCAAGGCAGTGAAAAACACTTATTAAACCTACTTATTGTTTGCTTGTTACAATTATGCAGAGATGGACAAATTTAAAAGAAAATCTTTGAAATACATTTCAAATAAAAAATATGGCAGCTTTAAAATACTTAAGCTCTGTGAACTGTCAGTCCCTCTGCACTCACTTAAGGTTGATGTTTTTGCCTATTCTTATAATGGCCTTATTACGTAGGAGCAAGATTCATTTTACCCACCGGCAGATCATCCCAGAGCTGACTTTTCTTCAGTTCATAAGACGGCATGCTCAAGTCAAACTTTGGCACTGGAAACCCAGGAATGGTGTTGTGAAGATGAAAGCCAAAGGTAACAAGCCAGCTGTTCACATCTGGAAATAAGACATAATTGTAGCAAAGGTCAAATTAATTGATTGAATGTAGAGTGTACAATAAGAGGCCAATTCAACATATTCACTCAAAAACTGAGCATCTATATATTATCTATACATTTTGAACTTGCATTCAGAAAAAAGATGCATCCACAAGTAATATTTGAAAATTATCACTAACTTTGAAAATAAGATCATCAAGGACGATTCAACATGATTATTTCTTCATCTCACTGAAAGCACGAAACTTAAAAATTTCCAAAACAAAACTCCATAACATAGGCAGGCTTACTACTTACTACTAATGGTTCATAACAGCATAACAAAGTTGTTCACTAACCAAAGAAATTTAGCAGACCCTATTTCTGTAGCTCCTTAGAATAAGCCTGCTAATTATCACTAATAGAGACTTTCATTTCTTTGATATCTCTTACCTGCAACATATTCTCTCAATTCATGGACTTTGCTGATAGGATTATTATTTCTAAACATGTACAAATTGAAAGGAGCTGGCTCTTTGCCAACATTTTTCCAAGTGGAAATATCGGGAACGGTCCACCTGCCAGACATAATATCATAGTCCTGCTCCCCGAAATGTAGCAGTTTGGTCAGGGGGTCATACAGTCCTCCGTGAAACCCCAGAACGAGCTGGAAGTCTGGGTTAGAGTCAAAGTAGATTTCGCCATATGCAGTGTACTGGAGCTGCTTAACCAGAAGGCCGTTACTTGTGAAGACAGCCAAAGGTGTTCCAGTGTTATCGCAAGCGATGTAGAACTCTTCCCCACTGCTGATCTCCATGGCGAACAGGTGACCTTGGAGATCATAATAGAATGATGTGATCTCTGAGCTGGAATGATTGTAGACATGAGTTATTCTTGCGGGGTAGCTCAGGTCGGCATAAAAATACTGCAAGTGGTGACCCAAGCTGGTCTTAGTGGATACCCTGCGGCCAAGTCCGTCGTAGCGATACTGAATGGTCCAGCCGCTGCTTTTGCTGTAGACCCGCACCAACAGTCCTTTGGAATTGTACTCAAAGATTTCTGCCCCCCTTTGACGTAGGAAACCGTCTTCGTCCATTCTATACTGGATGTCTCCGAGGCGGGTGATGCGATCTCTCAAGTCGTATCGCAGGGGCAGAAGCCTGGCGCTATTTCCTGCGTTTAGTAAGTGCAGATTTCCATTAAGGTCATAAGTATAGCGCCACATAACTTTTTCATTCAAGAACACAGTCTGGAGTTGGCCGTCCACATCATACTCATAGCTGTACTTCGTGGTGTTGGCAAAGGGACCGATCTTGATTTCTCTCTTGGTGACCCTACCCACATCATCGTACTGAAAAGTAATCCAGTACATAAGTGAACGGAATATCTCATACTGAATCTCCTTGATGCGTCCGTGGGCATCAAAGTGCTTAGTGTAAGTCATGACTGCGGTTGATATGATCTGATTTATGTCATAGTAGATCACCCCGAACTTCCCAAACTGCTCGATCTTTCCTGAAATGTCATCGAACTGGTAGAGGTCTATGGGAAGTGGTGTTTCGTTGATGACTCCTTGTACACTGGTCACACGCAGGCTGCTGTCATACGTGTAATCAAAGCGAGCGTTGACCATGCCGTCCTCGCTAAAGCGGAAAATCTGCCGGTCCACCAGGGGACCCACTTGGCGATAACGAATGGAGCAGATGAAACCCTCGTTCTGGAGGTTGACCGTCTTCAGGACCCCTGCCGTTTCGTCATAGGTGAAACTGACTCTCGTGCTGTCGTACAGGATCTCTGACAGCTTATTCTGCCGGCGGTATCGGTACAGGACTCTGCGGCCTGAGCCGAGGTGTGCTATCCTCATTAGGAGGCCATCTTCGCTGAAGTCCACGGCTACCGAGGCGTTGCTCTCTGGGGGATGATAAAGGTTCCTGTAGTAACCCACTGAACGGATGGTCTGCATGGTGTAGCGGGCCACGCTTGGCATGGTCACAGCAGACAGACGGTCCAGAGAGTCAAACTCAAATATGTACTGGCGCTGACTGTGGAGCAGGAGAACCATGGACTAGAAGGAGAAGAGCAAAAATGTGTTTTCTTCAGTTATAATATGGTATGTACATTATATATCTACAATGCTAGGTATGAGCATTAGCAAATTCCCTGTTTTGTGAGTAAGGAAAAATTATCTTCATGCAAAAACTAAACAGATTATATGAAAAAAAAAAACTACTTATTAATGCTAAATAAATAGTGTCTGTCAAGAAACAAATACATGATTAATTTAGTTATTTTATTTGTACTGTATTGTAAGCCATTTCCATGTGTTTCTGTTGTGACATATAGAGCTGTTTAATTAATAGAGAGAATATGCAGCTAGGAGAGTGTCTTACAAAGATTTACCACCCTCTCTGTTAAAATGCCATGCCCAGTCATCCGTTGCCGCTCTCTGTGCTCCCTGAGCCCCTTGTGTTACTTATGTCAGTGTTGACATGGCCTCTCCAGGTCACGCAATGACAGGATGCAGCCAAGAGATGTTGAGAAAAATCCCTGCATGTTTTTTTGTTGCTAAACATCCCTGTGCAATCTTAAAAAAAAATAACAACAAATATTTCACATGGAAGAGGTGGAGGGAGAGATGCAATGCAGGGCTGTTTATCCTACGACATTTAACAGAAGAAGCCATATTAGATCTGATTCCTGCTCAAAGGCTTATGGCACTATTTTTATCCTGACAATGCTAATGTTTGTGCACTCTTCCTTAAGTCACAGGCGTCAAACACTGGTCATGATGGGCTGCTTTCCAGCAGGTTTTTGGGTGTTTCCCTGCACCGTTAGCAGGACTGCGCAGAGCTTAACAATGATGTGAATAGATCCATTTAATCTGAATCAGGTGTGCAGAAGCAGGGAAGCGTCTAAAGCCTGCAGGACAATGGCAGTGAAGGACGGGAATTTGATACCAATTTTACCAGGAATGTTGACTCAGTAAAAAATCAGAAAGGAGAGACACACTGGTTGCAAAATATTAATATTGGTTTTCAATCGTACATTTCTGGCAGACCATGTTAGACTGACATGATGTGTGTTCACTCTTACTAATTTTTAACGTTTGGTGTTTGGTAGTTTGCTTGTTTTGGCTGGTATTTAAAAAAATAATTATATTTAAGTTTAACAGAAAATAATGGAACTATTGAGTAAACTGAGATTTTCTCTACAACTTCGAGAAAGAAGGTATACAAATCTGGACAACAAAGTTAGTTTAACATCAAAATTAAAATTATTATGACTAACCTTGACCATTTTACCTTGACATCTGAAGATTTTGAATGATACTGGTTAACACTTATTGTGTTTTATGACTACTTTTTTTTTTTCATTTCTTTCTTAAGTATTTTATTAATACTTTTGGTGGCTACAGATGTACTTAGTGTACTTGCTGGTTAGTATAACAATTCAAGCCTCCTCTTGGGTGACCTCTGCAGGTGTTCACGTTGAGGTCTTCATTCATCTTCTGGTGATAAAGACTAGCCTGCTGCACAATATATCTTCAACAATATGTCCCCTGGTCATGCTATTTTCTCACCTGCTCAAGGTAGGTGTAGCTCCATATCTTCCCATCTGCAAACACTCTGGAAATCAGGCGGCCTTGGCTATCGTACTCGAGCCTCTCTGTGGTGGGACCTCTCTGCAGGGCACTGATTTGCCCGCTGCTTGTGCGGCTCACATTAACTGGCAGTAGCTTACTGCTCGGCACCCACAGGACCGGGTGGCCTGCGGTGTCATATATAATCTTTAAGAGGAACTTCCTGTGATCGTCATAAATCTTCTCTGTCCTCAGGGTGCGATCGTAATCCACGGAGAGAATGTTCCGTCCATTCACCTGTGGGAAAGATAGTAAGTGATGAGTAAGACAAAAAAACAAGTCTGTTCCCATTGGTAGCAATGAGAAAGTTTATAAAGAACATGCTAAGTGTGGGTATGTTTGAAGAATAAATCATTAGTTTTATTATTCCTGTTATGTCGGGATGTCTTTTCAAACTGTATTCAGAGAGCTCTGTGCCACAGTTGTATCAGAGATTAACGCCTCCATCATGAGGCTCATTAAACTTAGAGACACTCTGGCAGTTATTCAGGTACACTTAAATCAAAAGCTCCTAAATTTAGTGGCGACAAAATGACCATGAGGCAAAGTAACCACCAAGTTAGGCTCGTGCAGTCAAATGTATCATAAATCTGCATTAGAGCCTAGGAGGGTGGGGTACGAAGAGGTGGACTTATGTAAAGCACTAGAATATTTATGACCCTCTAAATCAGGGTGAATCTTGTGCCTGAGAAATTAAAATTGAAGAAACAAAATGCCGAAAACCTACAATTAGAGAGATGAAAGCACACGGCAGTTTTGGGGCAGTTTGATTGTGATTTTACAGCAGCAGCTATGTTATCATTCCTCAATCTCTTAAAGCAAAAGTAACTTTGCTTGGTAAGGTTACAGGGAGGTGTGTGTTTAGAATATCAGGGTGCTGCATGGGATTTAAATAAAACCAGTTTAGACCTTATGTTGATAGAAAAATATACATAAAAACAAATGTTGAATTATTTAATATAGGTTATTGGTTCTCAAAATATGTATGCCAGTTTTTGCCATGTTTACCATTGTGTTGTCTAACCTTTCCTTTTTACACCTTGTATGTAACAGGGTGGCCAGTTACTGTAGCAATGAAAGCAAAGCATCTGTAGTCAAAGGACAAAACAATTCAATGGTATCCTATAGTCACTGCTAATTTTCATGGAAAAGAGCTCTAATTTGCTGAACCACAATTAAACATTTAACCTAATGGACTGTCTTCCATCCCAGTATAACACTTAGACTCTTTCCCTTCTGAGTCACGTGTTTATAATATGTAACTTGGTATTGCATTGCCCTAAAATAACATTAATCTATTACTGTGTTCACCACAGAAATTATTCAAATTTTTTAGCGATGTCTTAAGAGAATTAATGAATTGATTTTCGCCCATAGTGGATGAACAAAGTATTCATCGGTTATAAGAGATCGTCACCAATAAGTGTTGTTTTTGTTACTTGACATCAGCTTGGCTGGTGTCACACGACGTTTGCAGCTTACACAGGTGGAGTCTCCCTGTAGATAATGTAATGTAGGCAGCAGCCGCTGGCCAACAGTTGTATCAGACTGCATAGACACCTCCGAGGTGGCTTGTCCTGGATTACACCCGGTAAAAACTGCCACCCTCCTTCTTCCCCCATAACTCTCTGTCTGCAGTCTCCATTTCTTTTTTCCACTTTGCTTCTACATTGCTGACACCTCTTATCCAGCTCATCTATATCTGGGATGACATTCCAGGCATTACATGGGCTTTGGCGAGCTCAATCAACTGTTCCAACGAGCAAGGCAACTCTCCCGTTGCCATGGTTATGCATTATGACAACTCACCAGAATTACCAGCACAAATCTTTCCAGCTGCACAGTCTTAAGTTAACATGCATGTTTTTGGACTCTAGGAGGAAGCCTTAAAGCCTTAGTGACTGGAGAGAAGATGCAAACTTGAACAGAGATCCGAACCAAGAACCTTCATGCTGTGCCGGAAGATGATAGTACTAACCACCACATAAACCCAGTATAGAAACCAGTATAGATTTGTTTAAATCTAAAAATTTTGAGAAACCCAATGGTAAATATCACCAAAGACTAAACATGTCCAGAGCAGCTGGCTGTCCCAAATGTGGTACTTTTCTAGATATATCTTGTTCTCTTGGTTCAATAAAAAATTTATTCACTTAGTGGTTTTAACATTTTGTAATCATCGGTCATCATGTGTGTTAAATGTGCCATCAAGGGGGGAAAGGAAGCCTGGACATACCCGCAGTTTACGTCCAAACACTATCACTTTCCCTCTGGCTTGTTCTTTGCGGAAACGCCATTCGACCAAGTTCTGCCCGCTTTCTCCTGGCAGGCTCATGTTTCGCCTGGCGACCGTCGGGTTGGCGGCTCCGGCCAGGATGTGGGGCTCCGTTTGGTAATGGGTGTCCATCCCGTTGGCATAGGTAATCCTCAGCGAATTGTCGAAGCCCACTTGATAGCTACTTCTACACTGGTCTGTTGATGGTAAATACAGGGACGATTAAAACGCCGGAATCCACAATTACACCGGCCGATGGTCCCCCGGGTTGACGATCATTTCCATCTTATTAAGCGGCAAGTCTCGATTATTTTGAATGAGACGACTTAGAGGTGAACGGAAAGAGTATGAATGATGTGAAAAAAATAAATTGACCATCTGGCTGTGGCAGAGAGTGAAAATCACTTAGTAACAAGGTTGATGCGTCTCCCAGACTCTGACACCCCAGCCCACACTTCCAGAGAGTAATCATTTACACTGTCGTCTGTCAGACCCCCCGAGTTGTAATGATACACGACTTAGGCTTACTCAACATTGCCCCGCCGACCCCCTGAAACAATGACAAATAACAACTGCTCCTGTGGGGAAGATGAGCTGCGAGCTCTTACCCTGAGCCAGAGTGTAGAAGGCACGAATGGTTGAGGTATTCGTTGTGATGCTGATTTCCTCCTCTGTCAAGGAGCTTTCAATATCCACCGTCAAAGCGCTGTACATCTCTGTGTACAAGTTATTCACCATTCCGGTGGGGAATGTCACATTCATTAGCCGGCCTTCACTGTCATAGCTGTTCGAAACAAAATAAGAAATGACAAAGCATTGAGATGTGTGAGGGCTCTCAGTGCTACAGTGCATTCAATTATCAGCCCTTTGAATGAGACCACCGACTTTCTTGTAATTAAAATGTCACATTTCTCATCCTTGATATAGGCCATTTCCCGAGTGGAGGGATCTCTGTAAAAAAAAAGTATCCTAAAGCACAATTTGAATATTCCTATGTCAGAAGGGACACATCTCGTCAGCTATCAGTTTCGACTTGGAATGAATTCAGGTATTTGGTTGACTGATGTGTCATAATTGCAGGTGGCGGCTTGGCTTTTTTAGTTATAGTGAGGATGTCATGCATGGTGTAATGTGACATGACAGGGAAAAACACAGGGGAAATGGGGAAAAAAATCAATCAGTTGAGAGGCCAAAGATAGAGAGGTTATAAGACAAAGCGCTGGTGTCTGATCAAAATGGAATCCACTTGATTTTTTCTTTCAAAGCTCACTTTGAAATGTCGGGCAACACAACATAGTGAACCAGTTCTCAAGTAAAACTAAAAGGACAAATGTAAGACACGCTTAATGGACACTGAGTTGCCGAAGAGTAACTAGGCTATTTGACACATTTGAGGCATATTTTATAAATAGATTTCAATTAAATGTAGAGCCTAAAGCCGTTTGCAGGTAAGTATTTATAGTTTAAACTTGCACAGCTTCAGGACCAGAAGGAATACGTACATAATGACACAAATATGGGAAACTTTCTCTTGGACTTCAGGTTTAAATAACAAAAGCATTACTATGAGCTCAATCAAAACTTGTTAAACTAAATCTTTCAATCAATCAGTGTTGATGCTGCTTTCTAATTTCCGAAAAGCAGGCTGCACTTAAAAAAAAAAAAATTCCATCACATAAGTAGACAGTTTGTATTAGTATGCATAAAGTAAGAGGTAGATTTCAATTTGCACTGGGGGCTGTTTCCAGAACCAGAGGGCATAAATGAGTTGAAACCTAAATCAATCAGACTTTGGCAAATGATACGAACCGTTCCGCACATTGATCTCGCCAATTCGAAATTCCTACTCACTCGTAGAAAGTTGTCCAGCCAATCTCCGACGTCTTAGTTGCCAGCAGGCCATTGTTGCCGTGGTAGGTGAGGAGCACCAGCTCCTGGCCCTGCGTCGTGAGGGTCTTCAGTCCGCCGTTGGTGCCCATGGTCAGCCAGATCACCTGGTTGTCGGGGGCGACGATGCGCACCGGCATGCGGTTGGGGTCTCGGCGGATTCTCAGCGTGTTGCCGCTGCTGTCGGTGACGGCGGTGATGTCGTTCTCCGTGCTGTAGCTGAAGCTGTACTTCAGGTCTCCGGTCAGCAGGCTGGCCGTGTGCTGGTGCGTGCCGTTGCTGTCGAAGGTGTACAGCTCCTGCGCGTCCGGGGACGCCAGCTCGTAGGCGCCGGCGCCGGACGTCAGGGTCGGCCCGTTTCTGGAGACGGCCCGGATCCGGATGTTCCCCAGGTCCGCCACGTAGAGCGTCCCATCTGGAGCCGCCACCAGAGAAGACGGAGCGTTGAGCCTGGCGTCCTTGGCGTAGCCGTCCCCGGTCTGGTAACAGTCGCAGTTGGCGTCGTTCTTGCAGTCGCAGTCGGAGGGGGCCCCGGCCAGATGCGTTATCTCGCCGTCCACCGAAACCTTCCGGATCCTGCTCATCTTCCTCTCGTCCGTTTCCGCCACGTAGATGGCGCCGTGGTACGTTATGGCGATGGAGACGGCCGATTCCAGCGGGGTCAGCTGCGCCCTCTGGCCGCCGGCCACGCCGCGCTCCAGTCCGGCCAGCGGGCAGTGGACGGGCCGGCCGGCGGCGATGCTCACTTGACCGTTCTCGGTGATGCGCAGCACTATGTTGTTGTCGAGCACGTAGAGGGAGTTGTCCATGGGACTGACGGCTAGGTCTGTGGGCCACTCCAAAATCACCTGAAACACAAGAAATTAACTAATTACAAGCCGGCCATTGGGATAGCTGAACACGTTTAACAAAACCAGAACACTGTAAAGATGTTTGGTTGATTATTTCATAACAAAAGTGTATTTTATGCACTGTCGATGGCTGTGCACACGGCCACGTTAATGGATCTTGAGCCTGTCCAGGCTCTGTTTGAGAACTGGCAGATGTTGTTGTTTCAGGAATGAAAGAAGCGTGAGGGAGAGCTACAAACGCTGGCCCCCTTCTCACCTCCACACAGCTCGCCGTGAATGGCAGATTGTCAATGGGTTTTAGAAATGGTCTCACACAGGAGGATGTAATCACTTGTGATGGGGGAAGGGCATATCTGCAGCATCTGACAAGCAATTCTGATAGAGCACACCGGCCTCTTTAATAGAGCTATTAGGCCCACAATTAAGGTGAGACAGGCGCGGAAGTAACGGAAAATACTGAGTGGGATTCAAAAAGACATCACTACCATGATTATGCAATAATTTAAATAAAGCACACCCTTGACCGCTGATTTATTTAGTGAAAAAATAGCAGCTCAATTTCCATGGTTTTCTAAAGATGAGGCTTTTCTATTTGTCAGTTCAAATATTTTGTTTTTTTGTTCTTGTAATCTAAGACAAGTAAGATCCGCTTTCTGCTAAATCATACAGGCATACAATATGTAATTCTGTTTATAAACCAAATCTGAAATATATTTAAAGTTTTTAAAGAGAACGGATTCAATTTGATGCCACGTGAAATATTAATATGACTTTCTTTTTGTGTTGATAATATGGACTGTTCAGAATGTAGAAGTACTTTTTACATCTATATCTAATCATCTTCCATCATCCATTGGCCAGCAACGGGAAGCTCCTGTGGTTTGGGTATAATATTTTTTCTTTTTTCTTTTAGATTGGAAAATAATTAGGTATAATTCTTTGAGGACAATAATCTACTGGTGACCTGTCCAGGGTATACCCTCTTGTCCATTGTCATCTGAGATAGGCTCCAGCCCCCCCCCCCCCCAACCCCCAGTGGGGTCCACTGGGAATAAGGGATATAGAAAATGGATGGATGGCAATTTATGTTGTAGATGATCTGTGACAACTGTGGTCTTTATGTGAAGTTTCATATCTTCTTCATGTTATCCAGTCACAATCCCATCTAAAAATGACTAATAAAACAGAGTACGTGTCAGGTCAAACGTATCTGACCACTGTCAGGTAGCTGGTCCATTGAGTCTCTTAATGTTGAGTCTACAATCCAGTGTCCATCTACTTCATCCATTCTACAGTTGATCCTTTTAATCCTGACATATTTAAATATTCTGCTAGAGCTCGTCTATCAGACTGAAGGACAAGTCCGGCCCCGCTATGACATTCTGCGACAGATTTTTAACTAAGTAGCCCGTGTGACTTATCTCCCAATATAGCTCGCAAAAGAACACTGAGCATACACTTAACACCTTCCTGTTCCAATCATGCAGCGTGAGCTGGTGATTTAATCTGAGAGAGAGTTGACATACTGTAGGTTAATCCATGACAGACAGCGCATTACATAAAAGTTGCATGAAAGTCTAAGTCTCACACATTAGGGGGTGATAAGCGAATTATTTGCATCTTGTAAAAAAATAATAAGTATTTATTATGAGCCAAAGCTATAACCCGGGCTAGTCATTACAGGCTGCTTGTCAGAAAAATGTCAGTGAATAAAAAGCTTATTTGTAACAGCACAAATGACTGGTCTGGCCTTCAGATATAAAACCATGTCATTAAAACTGCCAAAACACTCCTGAATTGTTCTTTTTCACGGAGTGATTAATAATGAAACAAAATGCCTTTAAGGCTGCCGCTAGTTAAACTGCAATGAGCCAGTTCTCCAGCTCGGATGCTCAAGGATCACACAGTCTCGCCAAAACCACGTCTTTATTGCCACGGGCCAAATGACTTGGTTAATTAGCAAAAAGTGACAAGCCTAATCCTTTGTCTTAATGTTCTCTCATGTTTACCCCCCTTCATGTTCACCACCCACGCACATACACAGTTTGCATTCTCTTCTATTTACACGAGAAAATGACAGCAAAAAAAAAAAAACTCATGTTGCTAACAGCAGACTTTAATTTTAGCTTTTGCTTTTACTCTAAACGTATATTATTTATTTATTTCATCCCCTTGATAAGTAACAATTTGTGAACCTCAGCAGGGCTCATTTGTTATTCGCTGAGCTCATTTCTATCCACTGTTTTCATGTGCAGACTTTGTTGGGCAGCTTATCTGCATTAATACGCAAGCAATATAACCAGAATTTAAACAGGTTAGCTATAGCTGCAGCACTTTTGACTTGCACACACGGTTGACGTGGGAGTACCTGAGGTAATTACATTCCCAACAGCAAAAGCAGTAAACAGATCCTGGTGTGAAAGCATACATATTGATGTGATAAAAGCCCTTCTTTTAGTTTTTCTTTTTTCATTTTAATGCATTCTAAATCAGCTCTCCAAACTCTTAAGGACCGAAGTGAGAGTGGATATAAATGTTGAAGCACGGAAAAATGAAAATGCACCTGTATTTAGGAAAAAAGTCACAGTATAATAATTCATCATCCACCTATTGCATCAGGACAGAACCCTGCTTTTATGCCACCTCACCCAGGGATAGACCGTCAATTTTTCGGGACAAAACTGGTTCTGCCAAAGGTTTTATTTGCAGGAAGCCGACTGCTGCCTAATTATCATGTGCGGTGTAAATGTCCACCATCTTGACAACTTCTAGTGGAACACTAAACATTAATTTGGCAGCATAACACCCCCCCCCAACCCCAAACTGTAATTGTTCTCCCCTCCATTTCATCAGCTTTAAGCTGAAAACTCATCACTTTTTTCACCTCATGTTTCTGCCTCCTGCAAAAATCGAATCCTCATTGCATATTTCAACCCCCCCCCCCCCCACCCCCCCCATGTGCACAGAAAATGTTTTCTGAGAGCTCAGAAAAACATTTTTATTTTCAGCAGCAATTTGTGTTTCTTCACCAAGCAACTGATGCTCAATCAATGTTCTGGGAAATAGCTTTTTTCTTTCAGTAATGTCACTACTTGATGAAATAAGATGAATTAAATAGATTTTTTAAATTCATAATTCACTCATCCCATTAATGTTTATCAAGATTAAAATTCCACTTTCAGGAATTACCCATGCATTACGTACAGTGGAAACAGCATGGGCGCATAACAAAAAGTAGCTCCGATGGTCAAAATGAAACAAAAACTGGACTGTAAAATTAGACTTGCTGCAAGAATACATTCACTGGCCAAAAAATGAGACGGAATGTAAGATGCAATTAAAATCATTAGCACAAAGTGCTTTAATTTGACGGAATAACAAATGAACTAAACTTGAACAAATTCAAATGAGAAAAAAAAACGATCAAATATTTACCAGAAAAGAGCAAAGAGTTCCTGGAGCAATTATAATTCTTAGCTAAAGTTATTGGTATTCCAGCATAAAAGCTTTTCCCAAAGAGTTTGGATACTTCTTTTAATTCAAGGGCCTCGTAGGTCAAAAGAATACTCAGAATAATGGCTGTAAAATAAAGTGCCTGTGTTGGTGTTGCTTGGAAACCTTTACTCCCGCTGCATAGAGGTGTGTGTGTGTGTGTGTGTGTGTTTGAGTGTGTACAGAGGCACAACCCAGCATGTCACCGATGACTGACCAAGCTGAAACAGGGTTAAAGGGTTGGGGGCACAAAGGTGGCATTGTGACACGTTGTGCAAAAAGATTCTCCCCATGTTAAAAACAGTCTGGCGCTTTAAAAAAAAAAAAAAATTATTTCGGTCACCTGATTGATGTCCATGCTGCTGTCACAGGTCAGAGGACGAGCCGATGTTAGGTCATTGGAACCGAGGAAAGTGGAGATGATGCCATTCTGGTCCACTTTTCGGATCGTAGTGCCGTCCACGAAATAGATCAGTCCGTTTTTGTCCACGGCAATCCCTGTTGAAAATGAGAAAGCGGGAGAGGAAAAAAAAGAGCTTATGATAACAGGGAAGCATGGTAGATGTGCCACATCTCTGCTTGCATGACTCAGTGGACAGAACATGATGGATACATGTGTCAAGCTCGCCTTCCCATTATTCAGGTCACTGCAAAAAGCACAGCCATCAATAATTCAACGGCTGCTTTTCTGCTATTAAATAATTTCTCAGGCCGAAGTGGGAAAGGCTGTATTCATACGTATATATGCACTTGTCTTTTCTTGTAACCCCGGAGTCTAAAAACGACCTCAGAAGGTGGGGGTGTCAGTGAGGGGTGGTTTGCGGAGAAATTTCCGACTCCTGCGATCGGAAACAATACAGCGCGCCGTTTGAGAAATAAATATCTGTGGGAAGGGGGCATTGATAGCGTCTGAACATTTTTACATGAAGGAGGTGAGAGACAAACGGTTGAGAAACGTGGACGAGATTGTCTCTATGATTGAGTTAACGCCGGCTTATAAGTTGCTGCCTTGCCAACTCCGGAGTTGCAATAACCATATGTCCAAAACCGGGGAAGGACATTAACAGGACATGCCAGCCTCCACATCACTCTCTTTGTCACGACGCTGCCTAATAGAGATCAGCGCCCACGGGAGCTCGGCCATACCTCACAAGAAGGGAGGCTGTTTTTAAATTCTCCACATTGGATTTAACATGCTGGAGTTTGGAGTTTAATTTCAAAGACCGAGAGCTGATCTCAGTTTTACTCTTTAGTTTTGAGAGGAATTACGATGTTCTAAATGCGCTATAACTTTACTCTTACCTCCAGAGTATTTTTCTTTTTTCAATGAAGTCTTTAAAAGCCTCTATGGAAGGTTAGTGGCTTGGTTTGACCTGTGGCTAGGTCTGCGCAAGATTGCTTTCTGCTAAAACATTGACGAGCCGTGGGAGCTTGTGGTGAATCCTCGGGAGCTGGCTATCTGACAGCCTGAGATTCTCAGACAGATGAAATGTGTCACATTTGAGCAGAGTTCAGCAAATGTCTGGGAAGAGCAAAAAAAAAAAAGGAAAAAAAAGAGGGAGCCATCTGCCGTTTCTTCTCCGGGTCTGGGCTTGCCACCCACTCCATCATTAGAGTCGTATCCGCGGATCGTCCTCACTCGAGCCTTTATCACCTAGATGAAGTCTGGCTTTTGTGGTTGGCACTCGGAGGGAGCAGCAGCGAGCGCGAAACAATTCATCGCATCCTGCTATTCCACGGGAGTTTATGGAAAAAAGTGGGCAATCGCGCCAGAAATGACACAAATGGACGCGTTCCCTCTGAATGTGGACAACAGGTTGCCCGTAGCACTTATCTGCTGTCGGGTAGCAGTACATTACTGCCAGCTTTAAAAGCTTGGAGACTGAACTTTCATAAATGCTGTTTGTCCAACAAAAGACAAAAAAAGAACCAAACTCAATATTTATGTGAATATCTTAATGGATTTAAAAAAAAAAAAGGGAATATGCATCCACATCCAAAACAAGCCACGCTTTGCCTTTTCTGGAAATTACAGCTTTATTACTGGAAGCTGTGCACAGTGTTAACTCCAAAAGGATCTGTATTTTTTGAGTGCGCAAACCTGTTGGCTTTTAATTTAGCATCGAAACCACGACCAAAATGAAATCATTCAAAGAAGGAAGCCATTAGATGCCACAGAGCCCAAAGCACACATAAATTTCAATCTATCGGCTGCCACTCCCGGATGAGAAACCCATCACTTCGTTCCACCCCTTCCATTTAAGCACAACATCTTCATTAGTTTTAAATAATACCTTTGGGTCCTGTGAGAGAGGCTTCTGGAGCCTTTCCTCCGTCGCCACACTGGTTCTCGTCGAAGGGCAGACAGTGTTCTCCGGTTCCTGCCACCACCTCGGCGTTGGCCTGCAGGTCCTTGGTTCCGCTCAGAGTCTTCGGTCGGTAAATCCGCCGAGAGTTTGTGTCCGAGACGTAGAGCTGCCCGCTAACTGGATCAGTCGCCAGGTAATACCGGTGGGCTGGGTTGTTGCTGCATATCCAAGATGAAGACTCTGTTAGACTCTGATATTTGCAGTTGTTTTAGTTAATAGCTGTTTTTCTAAAAGTCCTTTCATAATGCTTATTTTACCCCTGAAATGTGACCTATTGATTGATCTCTGTAAAACATTCCAAAACACATGTAAATGCAAAGGGATAACTGATGAAATGAAGTCAAATCTAGCCTCGTGAAAAGAAAAACAAAACAAAACAAAGCAAACAAACATGTGAAATATATGAGATTGTAAAGTATGACCCAGTAACTGCAACCAAAACTCTGGTGAAAGATTTGCAAGGGAATAAAATAAATAAAGACAAGTTAATACTTCTCTGTATCACACATTGGTTCAAAGTACATAGATTATGCTAATCTCTTGTCTTCTTTTCCAACAGTCCCAGTTTAAATAAAAAAAAAAAGAAAACGCTAATCTAATTCCTCATGTTATTTATCTTTTAATTTTTCAAATGTGGTCATATACATCCATGGAAGTATGGACTTGAATACGACGAGCAAAATAGTTATAGATGTTATGGATTCATTTTCTCTGAACGTTAATCCATTATGTCATCACATTATTCGCATTCATTATTTTACCTGCTTACTGTGTAGGACAAAGGAGTTTTGACTTCTTTCAGTTACCAAATATCATGGTGTTCGCGTAGAAATAATTTGCTGGCTGGTTATGAAATGTTCATATAAATATAATTTATTTTTGTGTGGGAGTTCATTAGATACTTTTCATGAATGTGTACATGTATTTACTTAGATATCTGCAGTCTTACTTAGTGGCTACTCTCTGCCTAGAGAGAAGAAGATAAAGACATCTGTGATAAGCTTCTATCAGCCTGGGTTAAAAACATAAAAAGAACAATACTGAGAAATAAAGCAAAATAAATCCCCCCCCCCTCTTTTGCCTTTGGGATTATATTAACATACAACAGGAAAAAGCACATATCCTCTTTGTGTGTTATTGACGAGTTAACCCACTGTACATTGAACTTGAAAGATGACAAATTAATCTGGCACTCATTCTTTGTTGTCAAGCTGTCATTAAGCTATTATTTTCTGAAACACGCACCATAAATTGCCAATTAAGAGAAACTTCTTTGTTGTACAACTGCTGCTCCCAAAACAAACCCTATTATCAGCTTCAAATAAAAAGCAATGTTGTCATGCGCGCCGATAATGAACCGAAAATAAAGGGAAGGGAAAATTATTTCTGTGTTTATTCCGGGTGTAAACAGTGTGAAGAATTTCCATAGCATCGAAAAATGTTCGAGCCTTTTAGGATTAAAAAAGTGGAAACAGAAGGTTGAGAAGATGGGAGTTAAACTAAATTTAACAGGATACCACCACAGTGGGGTTCCAGTTTGCAAAGCCAAAATGACAATTTGTGTGCCAGATCATTTCATTGGTATCAGTCTCCCGTGAGGAGAGGCCCCCGGAAATGACAGGAAGTGACTGGCTTCTGTTAACAAAGTGTGACAATTAATGGCATCTGGTTCGCCTATTTACATGATTTAACTGTCAGAAAAAAGATCACCGTACAAATATAGCAAGGATTAAGAATCTTAAGATATTACAACTCATGGCTGATATTGCATCTGCCAACAATCATAAAGTATACCAATTAATTCATAATATCCTCTGACGTTGGATCTCAACTTGAGATATGTAAAAACAATTGAATTAAGACAGAACTGATGCACAGAAGGTGCTCACGTATAATTAAAGAGCTCAAAACAGAAGCAGTTAAAATGAAAAATAACTGGTTTTACGGTGCCGTCGTAAACATGGCTCTCCGCTTGTACTCAAGCTTAATGGTATCTCACTCAATAGTGGTCGGCTCTGGAAGTGGATAATGTGATGGCAAAATAAATGTGGCAATGAAAGATCTATGTAAAATAATAAAGATGGAGCAATAAAACGTGACAGCCATTATGACTCAAAGTGAACGCCCAAAATAGGTGGCTGCTATCATGCTCCTATAAACTATTCAGCAAGTCAAACATAAGTAACCCCTTTTCTTTAAAACCACCCTGCAGGGGGCCGGAATAATAAATGAGACAACTGCCCTGGTTGTTTTATAGTCCAATGAAACAGTCATGTAATAAATATTGGTTTTGTGAAGTTTCTCGTGTTAAAACAGATGTGTTGAGTAGGAGTTTTTATATTACATACAGACCGCCTTTTGTGAGTCCAGATAAATTTAAACAACTGCCACCTGGCTGCTTTAGAAAAAAATGAGATTCCATGCCTCTTTTAAAGCATTTCCACAGCTTGATCACACCTGTCACAGGTGCGAATGGACGCACCAGTCCACTCCAGGTCAGACAAACGCAGCGTCTCTGTGTTTTTTGTCCCTCCCTTCTGTTCTCTGAAACCTCAGCAGATGATCATACTCCCTGAGTCTGGTTATGATTTATTTCTGAAAGGGAGTTTGTTCTTCAATTGTCAGTGGGGTATCCAATCAATTTAGTGGTCCCCTTAACCCTTTAAAAGCCTGATCCAAGAATAAAACAAAACAGAAAATGACTTTTTTTTTTGTTTTAAGTCTTTATTTAGCCTTTTAACAAAATATGTAAAAAGAAAAAACCAAAATACATTTTTAATATTAATAATTTATTACTATGCGAAACGTCAAGATTATTATTTGTGTAGTCTTCTGCCCCCTGTTATCAGGTGTATCTGATTGTGTACAATAGGATTTTGAGCAAAGTTTTTACCATTAAATTATGCAAAAGGTGTCAGACGCAAAACAAAATACATTTCAGAAACTGTATGTATCAAATATGATACATTTGGCATTATAGGGTTAAGTAGGAAACCTTTTTATCAAACTATGGAGTGGACAAATTTGGAAATGAATTAATTTGATTTCATGGATTTTGATTGTATCTCTTTGAATAGTCTTGACAAATCGTGTTATTTATTTTGGCTCAACTTAAATAAAATGTAACAAATTTCTGTTAGCTTTAGAAACCTCTGACAGAATAAGTGCAGATCATCTGTCGTGCAATAGGTATGTTTTTTTTAGCTCAATTCAAACTGCATGTGCCAACCTGTGAGCTGCTATATCAAATTAAGTGACTGCAAAACTCTGTATTTTGCAACTTGCAGAGCTTATGTAACCATGCATTTGTAAAGACTAACCCACCACATTTGTGGGGGAGAGCGCAGGAGAAATGTATAAAGTCGTGTGCAGTAGGGGGAGCTAAAAAAAGTATAGCATAGGCCAGTCAATCAACATGTTTTGAAATTGTTTAAAAAAGTGTTTGGTCGACTAAATAGTAGAAAGGCAAGGAAACTGGTTATCATCGCAAACAGAGACGTAGGACATTGACGTTCTTATAAGGAAAACAAGGTAGTCGTGCATTTTAGATATTTTTTTCATGAGATCAGACTGAACTGATCCACAACTGCGTCTCGCATCTTCTCGAAACGGACTTTGTGTCACATTAACGTGATACATCTAATCCGTAAACGCTACGGCACAAATCTTCTCCGTTCTGCCCACGCGCTCGCAGATGACCCGGATATCTGCATTTACCGTATAAATCAGGGAAATTAGACTTTAAATTGCAACAAAAAGTCACTGAAGCTGCGTTCCCATCGTCTGGACGTCCAACCAGAGGCGCTGAAACAGCCTCGTAAAGCTGCGGCGGTTTACTGTCTGGATCACCTCTGGCACTTGTCATTTTAATCGCTAAGCTAATTGCCACCAATATGCCTCTTTGCCTGTTACAATCACGAACGCAAAAGCGGCTGTGTGAGGCCCTCTGGATGGACACATCTGCCAAACAGCACCACTGGATATGTAATTGTAAACTTCCCAGCGATGCTGTTGACTCAGATGTGGGTCTTTCTTTTGTTCCTCTGGATAATATTTCAAATGTGAACAGGATTCCGAAGCATGTTTTATACGCCGACAATCATCCAGATGTGCTAATTGTAAGCGCCCGTGCCCTTTGCTTTTGTTTAGATGTAATCAAGCTATCATTTATAATTACACATAATTACACAGAAAAAAACAAAAACAGAAAATAAAAGGTAGAAGGCATATATTTAAAAAGACAATGATATGCAGGGAGGATACAATTAAACATGCACTGAGATAATAGACCTACCTGTGTCTAAAGTCTTTATTTCTATGACAGGATACAAGGGAAGCAGGTAAAGAAGAAAGAAAACAAAGACAATGAAAGTGAAACATCTAAAAATGGAATACATTTCATTTGCAAAGCTTTTTATATTTCCCTGTTTGTTTTGACAATTGAATTATAGAAATTCTGAGTTGTTGCCATGATAAAACACATTAATAAACACACATTATTTGTTTCCTCTCACTGAAATATCAGTCGGAAAAAAAAAAACGAAAGAACGAAAATCAAACCAGAAGTGTTTTCTGTACAGTTTCAGTTTTGAAGCTAATTGTGAAAGTCGAAAATGTCCCCTTGAAAAGCAACCCGGCCAGAAGAGGTCACGTGCGACGGCAGTTTGTTTGGCAGACAGACAGAGTGGAGGTGGGATTACAGCAGAGCTGCAACCCGCCGAGAGGAAAACATGTCCTCCTGTGTTCATGAATTGCCTCCTGCATTACCACTGCTATTCTCCATCTGACCACTCATATTGAAATATTGATTCTGCCACTTGCCACACTGACCACTGAAGCCAGAATCTACAACACAGACTTAAAGCTACCAGCAGCCGAAAGAAGATCAGGGGGATTTGTGTTTTTGCAAGCTGCCATGATATAAAATGCTGAAATCAGTTAAATGTTTGAGTATTTAACAGATATTTCCATTAGAAACAAATCCATCTAATTCTGCAGCTGATGATTCGCATTTTTTTTGCACCGACATGCTCTTTTTTCACCATGCTAGTTCAAATCTGGGCTGCAAATTGCCCGTCTAATGCAAAGTGAATTTCCCCCTTTTAATTTCAGACTAAATTCGATGAAGCCGACACGAGTGCTCAGTGTGGCGCTCCATCCTCTTTCCCTTGTAAAAAAAGAGTTGCTCCGAGTCAGAAACCATTTCTTAAACTATTATTTATCCGGTAAACGGTTTGCTGAGCGTGCACGCTGTTTGTTTTTTTTACGGCAGGGACCTGCTTCTCGGCCGTGTTCGCCTCCCACTTTTTCAGAAAAGCAGATGCGCGTGCAGGTGCGTTAGCATTAGCAGGTGTCCCTGGGTGAGGACGTTTGCCTACGCTTCAGGATTTTCCCTGAACTACCCGCCCCTCGTAATCCTAATTTATTAATTTACAAAATAACCACTTCATGTTCAGGTTACCTGCCAACGGTGTTCTGACCCCCCCCCCCCATCCTTTTAAAGCCGTTTTCATGTGTTTGTCATGTACGCGTCTCATGGAGCATGATGGCCCAATGTACATTTAATCAACATCTGCCACTTTGAAATAAGCCAACTGGCCGAATCAGAGTCGTTGCAGAGAGAAGCCAACTTGGCATGAGGGTGTAAATCATCCCAATTACACGCTGAAGACAGGATGTCTTTCCTAATTATGGAGATGGATAGGGAGAAGATTTGAAATTTCTATGGGGAGGGGGGAAGATGTGTGCAAATTAAAGTCTGCACACCATGCCATTTTAGTTTCCCTCTCCTTCCATTACTGGATGTGGAAAATTAGATGTGGGAACTTGACTGTGTTTGCATTTTCGGGGTCAACCGGGGTGTCTTTCAGCGTCTTGGAGTTTTGCTCTTTTTTTGTCTTTATGATGGATTTTCAATCTGCGTCATTTTGACGAACTTCCTCTCAGGTTTATACCCAAAAGTCTATAAAATATAAAAGTTGAGACCTCGTTTCTGAATTTCAAAAAGGAGCAATTGCTGGGGAAAAAAAACAAAAAATTGCACAATGTATTTCTGTTTTAAATGAACACGTTTGGTTGGTGTAAAATCTCACTTCCAACGATCCTACCTGAGCTCCATGATACTTGTCACGTTTCCAGACGGGTAAATGCGGCGGATGAAGTTGAAATCGCCGACGTAGAGGCTTCCGTCGATGCCCCACGCCAGAGCCACGGGCGCCAGCAGCTTGTTGCCTTGAGCCTGCCCGTTGCAGCTGGGGCAGGAGATGCTCCGGCGCCGGCCGTTCCCCATCACGGTGGAAATCACAGGCGGCTGCAGAGAGATGAACTGGTTCTCCCCGTTACCTTTGTAAAGAATGCCTGAGAAAAACAAAACAAAACAGCAGTTATTCACAGGTGTGAAAACGCGGAACAAGTGGGCTTGTTAGGACTTTATTTAGTCAGAGTCAAACTGGAACAATTTTTTTTTATAACCTGAAAATCTTCGGGTCGTTGTGTTATTTTATTTTTTTTTGCTCTTCTTTTTTCAAAAGATTGTTAGCCGAGTCAATTCGACAATCATTTCAGAGCTGGAGCTAAGAGGTGATTATTGCAAAAACAGGGGCGGCGTGGTGGGATTTGCTGTGTTGCCTCACAGCGGGGGGGGCTCCTGATCAAACCTTTTATGTGAAGTTTTCATGTTCTCATTGTGCCTTCCTGGATATTTGGACGGAAATACTTTTCATCCAAATTCAGGAGATATACTAGCATACATAATGGAGGGTTTTCTGCATCGTTGATGGGCTGTACCTTATATTTCAGCTAATGCCAACCCCAACAGAATACAAATAAATAGAAACAATTAATGCATTGATCAAAAATTGTATTGAAAACTTGAAAATTAAATGAATACATTTCAGTGTTTGATATGTCTTGTTTTTCTGCTTTGCTAGTGACATCAGCATTTGTCAGAATGATTCAGAAGATTTTCTTCCTTTAAAATTAATCTCATTTGGCCCGTTGTTAAAAAAGTGACAAATTCTGTTTTGATCAGTTCTGTTTAGGCCATCTTAAGTAACGCTTAGATAATGATCTGCATTAAATGGGGAGTAAAGGCATCGCCCGGGCAACCCGCTGACCATCCATTTAAATGATATATCCCCACACAGCAAAGGACCGGATTCCTGGAAGCCCTCCATGCAGACCGACTATATCTTATGTAAAATGATGTTCTTTTAACTCGACAAGGAGCGTGTTTTCCCCAAGTTGCAGAGAGGCGTTACACATAAATACAGAGCTGTGGACGTCCCCGCCATAACGGCCCCGTGCGATTCACAGGACTAACAGAATGTGGTGAGTCACAAAATATTAATATTTTAACAAGGAGCAGATATAACCGGCTTTTTATGGGAGGGGGGGTAAGGATATAGTGGGACTCTCTTCAAAGGGAGAAAAACACATCAAAGGAAAGAAGTGCATGCTGGGAGCACTTAATTATTCACATCCAGCAACTTGTGTGAATTCAGCCTGCCTCTGTCCTAATTAGAGGATCTATGACACCACTGAATGGCCACATAATGCCGTTCTCCCGCAGAACTGAGCGGTAAGCTATCATGGGCCCTGGGTGTGTGTAAAACAAACCCGGCGGCGGGGGGGCCCCCCCCCCCCCCCCCCATCTCTGATTAGTTCCTTTCATTGATTTAACTGATTGAAGGGCAAACTTAAACAGAGGCAGAGTCTGGCGACACTCTTGACGGGACGATCTGACCAATCCGTCTTTTTTGTATCCGACAGCGTTATACATGAGCCTCTAACAAAGACAAATAGGTCCGGGGGCCCGGAAACGCGCAACCTTGGGACTAATTGAACCGTGATCCATTCGCCGAGTTACTGAAAGAAACACACAGCGTGATGAAAACCCCTCAGTGCAGCAGAGAGCCTGATCCCTAAAGTGGACAAAAAATAATAATAAAAAAGCAAACAAACAAATAAACAAAAACAACAAAAAAAAGAAAGAAAAAAACACTTCAGAATTATTCAATTTAAACGTTAATGTATTTGCGCTTAATGTCTTCTTAGAATTCCCTGGAGAGGCTAAATGGTTTATTCTGCAACACTCTGGCTGTCGAGCAGTTGGCCGACATTCAACTTCGGGGGAAAAAAAAAGATAAATAAATAAAAAGGAATGCTGAAGTAATTTTGGCAAGCTGCTCTGGTCCTCTCCATTTACACTTCCATCACAGTTTACTGTACACAGAAGTCTTACCATAGGCTATTAGACGGTGTAACTGAATAGATTAAATACACTTATCAATCATCCCCTACCCCCCACCATCACTCCCGGACTCACTATTGACACTCTACTCTTTCACTCCTGATTCTCTCTCACATACACACACACACACACACACACCATGTCTTCCACTAGCTTATAGTGACTGAGCAGATTAAGGTTCAGCTTTTCTTCCCCCTCAAGGACACTTGGCCATGACACATTACGGCTGATGATTGTTGCAAGAATCAAGCCGGTGACGTCTCAGCTGGAGAGCTGAAACTGATGGGAATTTAGCTCTCGACTATCCGGCCCCCCAGGCTTCAGAGCGGGGACTCTGACCGCGTCTCAACTAAAATGGCTTTGGAGTCCACAACACAAACACGTATTCATAAATATTTTGCACTTACACTTATCTGAGTCTGGAAAGAAACTGTGATATTTCCTTCAAGTAAGCAACCTACAAGGAAAAAACGGTTTATGCACATTTTTCTATTTTTCTGCCCAGACTGAACCCCCCTCCCCGGCAGATTTAGCAGAGTAGACGTCTAAATCTGAGTATGGCAGCAGAATGGATCAGTTGTTAGAGAAGCGTCTGCTCGTTCATTATCAAATCAATGCACGGAGACTGTTTTCAAATCTGTAAAAGGAAACAGTGAAAGACGGCAATTGCTGCTTGACTATCACAGGGAGAAATACAAAGAATCCAGCGTCGCTTTTCTGTCCAAATAGCACCTAACCGCAGCTCGTGTAAAAGCATATCACACAGCATTTATTGCACAAATGAATGATTAGGCTGCTAGAACCACACTAATGCAAAGCTTCTCAAATAATAATAGAAATCCAATCAAAACAATCCGAACTATAAAATTACAGACAAAAAAAAAAAAACGGTGAATAAGACATGTAGGAGCCCCCCGAGGCATTTTTCGGTTGCATGGAAAATAAGGCTGAAAATGGAAAAACCAGAGGCAGTCATTACATGAATTTTTGAGCAAGGGGGGCAAAATGTCATCTCCACCAACTCCGGCTGCTGCCTGTAAATATAAACCATAATTCCTCGCCGTGCCCAACCGACTCCCTCCTCTGAGATATTGCAGCAGGTAATAATTTGTTTGATAAAAGGCTAATTTGAATCATGTAGTAGCGAAAAAAAAAAAAAAAACAGCTTTCATGTCGACATCACAGCTTCAGAGATGATTAATGGTGCAAATGCAAGGTCGAGCCTCGGTATGTGATAAAAAACTGGAGCGCCCTGAGCAATGTCACCTTGGTGACACGTGGCGAGCGCAGAGATTGGCCGGGGACGAGTGGGAGTGTGTCTTAATTGCACCCTGTCCTCCTTTGTTCTCCTTTGCACCGTGTCTTTTTCTTCAAGATACCACCCGGGGTTCCCGCTGATACTGATTGAGGCTAAAAGCAGGCGGGGGGAGACCTCTCGGTTTCTTGAAATGCGGCTCGTGTGCGAGCCGTACAGTATTTCCCCACTAAGAGATACCACCTCGCTGAACCCCGGCCGTGTCCAGTAAGTATCGGCTATGTTACCCGAGATAGAGACAAGCTCCAGATTGAGGGGAGAGGCACATCCACTTGTAACGAAAGAAAACGAGGGGCAGGAGGACATGACTACAGCCACAGACACCAGCAATTTGCCTTATCTGGGTTGACAGGCTGTGGAGCCGAGGCGGAGCGAGGGAGAAGGGGGCTTTCGCTCGGGTCTTATGCCGCAAATGATGAGAGAAAAAAAGTCCTCAGATGTTCCGAGTGGTGCCAAAATGAAGCAGGAATCACAACAAAGAGCGATAGCGAATGTTTGGAGATAAACTGCTGTGCAGCTGCAGAGGAGCACCGCTTGCTAACATTTCGGCGCAAAGGCATTAGTCAAGGTTTACAGCATTAAAGGATCAATACTTGAGCAGCAAACAGCGATATTTGGATTCATCTCCTTGCCGACCGAGGAATATCGAACTGCATTCCTTGTCCAAAAACTTGCATGCGTCATAAATCTTGAATGTCAGAAAGTGGCCGAGAGCAAGTCTGAATAACTCAGCTTGGATGGAAAACTGCAAAGGAATACGACTTGGTGCCTACTTACAACTTCTGAAATGAAAATGAATGTCTGTGGAGAGAAAATATACTATTACAGATCAGATTCTGATTCTTTTTGATTCCTATCTAGAATTACAGATAGGGTTGGGAACTTTATCTCAGATAAAAACCCTCTCCAACAAACGTACTGCCTTAAGCTAACAGAAGTGCAGCATTAAAGTATTTTGGTAAAGATGAAGCTTCTGTCTGAAAATAAATAAAAAAATAAAAAAAAACGCCACAAGATTTCTTAACCGTTGTTGTTCTTTTTAAATTTAGCCAGGCTGTGCCGTGTCTTGTAACAGGACAAGTGTGAGGAAAAAAAGGGAAAAAATAAATAAAAAAAACAAGCCTTGGGGAGACTGCAGCATTTACTGCCTGAGAAAGAACTCCACGCCATCTGGTTCTTGTTTTATTTCCGTCCTCGCCATTTTTCGTGTACAACAACAAGCGTGCGGTTGATCATTTTTGAATGCGCGTTTGGGTTTGCTGATGAATTCGGGAACAGTACAGCTCAATCTAATAAAGGGCGCGGCGCGCATTAGCATATCACACGTCCTGCACCTATCTGTATATCACAAATGCGTCGCACAACAACCCCAGCTGTGATGCTGCCACCGAGAAGGGGGTTTCGGGAGATGGGTGTGCTTTACTTTGAGACAAGTAGGATGAAAGGTGGAAACACCGGCAGCAAACAAGCTAGAGGCGTATTTCAGTGTTCTTTTACTCACTTCACAAAACTTCAGGTTCTGAGTGGCTTGACAGATTGGGTTTGGCAATGAGCTCTTCTTCTTTTAACGCTCAACAAAGACGTGGGACAAAGTATCATCAAGGGTTTGAAAAATGTTTAAAAAAAAAGGGTCCCTGTGACATGTTTTTCGCAACCATATCTGATGGAAAAAAACACCAAAAAAAAAGACAGTTTGTGCATTCTCTGAGATGTCGCGCCCGCAGAATACATGAATGATATTGCTGTGATGAATAGCGGTGCCTCTGCCCACTGTGGGTGTGCACGCAACGAGCTATAAAAGACTACTCAAGAAGCAACGGAACAGAGTTCAAGCTGCACAAACATTCCTCCGAACGCACGGCTCCTCCGGAAGCCGAAATATCTCCTCATAAAATAATCCCGGTGGTTTTACTTAAACTTTTAGAGATCGAGCCAAAAGGCAAAAAAAAAATTGAAAAAAAATATATAAAATGAGCTGATTTATCGTTTTGTGTCAAGCGGCTTGCAGAGGCTTTGTGAGGAGGTTCCAGAGCTCATTTGAACCACTTTATGAATGAAACTTCACATAAGGGCTTTGGGAATATCAAATAAAAGACCTCAGAGCTAATTCTGCATCTGTTGTCTTTGACACTGTCATGATACCCGTAGAAAGAAAGTTTATCATCAGGAATACATATACAGCTAAGAGGGCCTTCCCTTTAAAGCTCAAAAGCTGTAACATGAGCTAATCCTAATGATTATTCGTCTGCTGTATAGCTCCACAGTGATGAATTCAGACTATTTGAAAATGACAGGTTGCCTCATTGACACCAAGCTATTGCAGATCCTGAATCATCAGGCAATGCACAGCATTTTTAAGCAATTCATTCATAAACCCATCCTCTCACAGAAGCATTCGGCACAGATGTCGATGAGTGCTGATGGCCAGACCAATAAGGGATTGAAAAGATTGATATAAAGCATACATGCATATGTTTTTGCTTTATTCTATGAATCTGTGTAAACACAACTTTGCAACTGGCTTTAATTAGAAAAGTACTCCAACTTTCTTCGTTTATTTGAATTCCTTATTATCAGTAAACTTTTTGACAGACTACCTTTCAGAAACCTCCACCTTCCCGTCTGACAAGCAGATGTGGAATGTGTTTATCACACCAAAAGATACGAAATTGGATAGTGAATGATAGTAAAAACGAGCCCTCGTGCTAAAAGTACCTGAGGTGCAAAGCGTAATGACTAAAGACAAAAATTATCTATGCAAGTAGCAAGTAAACATCCTTTTGGGAAACAGATCCCATATTTTACTTCACAGAAGGTGGGCGCACAATTTTCCTCTTCTTGTTTTTTAAAAAGAATTTCTGCCACTGCGAGTTTCCCTTTTGTTTTGTGCCCGTCGCTGCTTTGCTTTGTTTGACGTTTTGGTGATGTTGTTTTGTTGTTGTTGCCTTTCTGTTTTGGTCTTATTATAATAATGATAAGTATTTTCGGAACTTTTTCAGTGTTTTGAGAGATCCGAGAGTTTTTATTTTGTCTGAAGCAATTCGGTTTTGTTTTTATCCAGGTCCTCCTTCGGGACCGGGGCTGCTTTGTTCATTATTGCGCAGAAAAATTACGTTATGCCCTCAAACAGACCCTCAGTTTGCTAAACTCACATGCCTGAAGCTGATATGTGCTCGTCTTGAAACATAAAACGGAGCAAAAAATAAACAGATCGATAAAAGTGAATAATCACACACACTGATCAGGATGTCAGAAACCAACACAAATGACTCTAAGTTTTGAAGGTGTATTTGTTTTCCCTGCTGTGATGGGGAGAGAATCGTCAGTTGAATTTTTCTTGTTTTGTAGCAATTTCTTGAAATGATTTAGCAAAAAATCCAAAAATCCAAAAATATATTTTGCATATAGATGCAAAACAAAGCAAACTAGTATAATTCATAACCTATAAATCACTATCTGAAACTGCAATATGACTTATGATCGACGTCGACTCTTCTCGGATGAAAAGGGGCGAAAATTGTGTTGGACAACTGGGAAACGATTGTGTGCTGTGGAGGGTTTAATGTCACAACAGCGGCCTGGCGCACTGACAGTGCACACCAGCCTGGAGCCCCGAGGCGCTCCGCTTAGATCTGCTCTGGAACCTTTAAACAGTGTGCTGACTGGATTCCTCAGATTATCGAGTGTGACCTCATGGTGCACGTAACCCAGCAGTGACTCTGCTGTATTTATCTTTGACGGCTTCATTACGCGCGTTTCGTTTTTTTTCCCCTGTCTCTGCAGAAGCCTGACAAAGACAAACTCGTGTCCATTTGTTGAACTTGCTGAATACGGAGAATCTGATTGATGACGGATCGAGGAATTAATTACGCTTATTGAACTGATGCAAGGATTCAACGCGAGGCCTGTTCATCAGCGGCGTGGGGGCCTTCTCCCGGCAAAGCCAGGGGCGGTCTTCTTCCCTAAAATAGCTGAGTGGTATAGAATCAGAGCGAGCCTTGCACCCTGGCGACTTCCTCGCTGATTTATTCAGTCATTACTGTGAATGATCGGCCCTTCAAAACTCTCCTCTATTATCTGCAGATGGGATGACGAACCATATTTCATTCGGATTCAAGTGTTTATACCGGTGATTCGGGGTAAAGACAGCCTGCTTGTAACCCAAAAGAGGCCGACTGACTCTGCACACACGGGCACTGCTCACCATTCTGGATGTCCAGGGTGTGGTGTTTGTCTAACATCCATCCTCCCATGTTGGAGGCGTCCAGCTCGTAGCCTTGCAACACGGCCGTCCTCTTCTCCCAGAGCACCACATCAAGGCAGGACTCGTACTCGTACCCCACCGACACTGGAGATAAGGACGGGAGATACCCGCGGTGAGCGAGGCTGCAACCTTTTAACTTGACACTTATAGCTGCGGTGAGCCTTGTAGCTTTGGAAGACATTTCCGCGTGTGTGCTCATACTCCAGGAGCTCCGACTTTGTAATTCTTCCCCAGCTGAGGCGATTTCAGAGGACCTGTGGGGGGTTTTTCTGTGTCTCACCTGCGCCGTTTGGATTTTTATGCGTTTCGGTGTCGCGCAAAAGGCAAATAGGCCTCGATGCAAAACCCCGCGCACAAGCCGATGTGAATAATTTAAACAATAAAGTCTCCGATGGAGCCCATTACGGTAAATATCATAAACACGGCGATAAGCTCACAGCCATAAGCCATAAATGAACGCTGTTGATCGAGCTCCAATTCTCATCCCTCTTAAGAAAATCCCTCAGATCTTTGGAGACAAATTTATCGTCAAACTACTGTAATGCTGTAATATGAGTCTTACAGCATGCGATCTATACGCCAATAGAAACATGCAGCATAAATAAGATTTTTAAATATCATTAGAAAAATTTGGTTGTGCAAAATGTTCCAATTAGAAAAAAAGCATATTTTTGTCTGACTATTGACTCTTTGCAGTTTTTTTTTCAGGCCCTTGCCTCACGGGGAATACTTGCACATCTGCTGAAATATCATGCATGCAAAACAAAGAAGTCAGCGAAAAAGCAATGGCCTTCAAAAAATGCAGCACGGGGGGGATTTGCGGATTTCACACCACCTGCTATACATCTTTATTGCTCTCGGTAACAAAAAGCAGTCCCCGGCTAAATAATCTCTCCTTTAAAAAAATAAGTCAAATCAATCTCTACGAGTTCAGCTAGGGTTCAGCGCCTGAGAGCATCTGACGGTTTTTGCACGACATCATCAGTGGGCCGCTTCACAGCGGGGGGGGGGGACTCACCCACAGCCTCTGCCAGGCCAAAGACCTTCTGATTGTAGGCGTCTGTTTTATCCCAGATGAAAGTGTAGGAGAGGTCGGGGAAAGCCGGGAAAGACTTCTGGAACTGGCGGCCCATGACGGCAACCATCAGGTGGACCTTCATCAGGCCGAAAGGGAGCCGGTCCTGGGTCAGGAGCACCTTGAGGATGGGCTTGTAGCCAGCTGCCCTGGAGCTCAGGTAGACCAGGTTGAGGTCGCTGCCTGGTATGGCCACTTGCTCATGGAGCACCTATGAATTTAATTAGCAGTCAGACTCGAGCCAAAAACCACAGTGTGAAGTTTACACATAAAAAAAATGCTAAAAGAGCAAGGTGTGTGCGTATGTGTGTGTGTGTGTATGACTTAGGGAATGACTAATTAGTGCATATAAAGTTCCCGTGCGGCCCCACGGAGCTGTATCTGATCTCGCCTCACAGGCAGCTAAAAAACTATTTTTATTACACGTAAAGAAAAAGCTCCGCGCACCAATAACTGACAGGCCTTCCTTTTTAGCTTTAGCTTGCGCTTCAAGTTGTTATCGTGCTCGCACACGGCCGAGCGCAAACCAAACCCGGACAAGTTTAGCTCTGATTGGATTAAACAGCAAAGGCTGCGGTCGCATTTTGCTGTTGGAAACGTTCAACTCTGATTTGAGTTAAATGGCTGCAAATCAAACCCCGAGGCATGTCACCTCCACGCGCCGTGCCAAGAAAATGCATTTATCAGCACCGCTATGAGACAATTTATGACTTAGTATTTTGGGAAAACCTTAAAGGCAGACTGAAAGTCCAATAATACTATCTGAAACAAGCAATACAAACCCCGGTGAAATCAAGATAACCCAATATTGCTGCCCGCCGTGTTCAAATGTGGGTCAACTTATTACCATCACACCCAATCACAGATGCGCTGAAGTTTGGAATTGGCGGGAAAACCCTGTGATGAAACACCTGTGAGTCAAAGACGAGACGAGCTTCTCACCTGGGTCTCAGGGATGATGGGGCTGTCCTCGGTGGAGGTCTTGTACAGAGTGGAGAGGGGCGTGGCCAGAATGAGAGGGTTCGGCCTGAGCAGGCCGGTCAGGTAGCAGCTGGGGATGTCGTTCTCTTCCCGCTTCATCACCACCGTGTCCATCACATGGAAAACATTCCAGGGCAGCCACACTGTGCGGTACAATGTGGGAAACGGGGCGCGCTCGTAACTCAGCGTCAAAGACGCGCCGCCATTAGCCAAGAGGTCAAACCTTGGTAATACAAGCAGATTACGCAGCATCGTTAATGGCATTCACTTTTGCATTCATTGTCTTGGCTGATTTCTATCAGTTTACACAATGGCAAAATTAATATTGGCATATTGGCATATTGGGGATGGAGGGCTGGGAGAAAAGGTCTAACAAGTTATTAAAGAGTATGTTGTTTTACTACAGTAATAAAAGAGTAAGCTGTGAGACAATATGCTCATAATAATAAAAGGGAACCCAGGAGGTTGGACGGACCACTTTTTATTTGTTGCGTTCCCACAAGTCATACTCATTACCAGCAGCTTTCAGTCGCCTTGAAAGGGAAATGTGGATCCTTTCTTTCAGTTCAAGTACCAATTAGCCACATAAAAAAGGAAAGCTTTATTTACAGGGACACCATATTTATATGAACAATTATTGTATAATTAATAAGTAATACAAATAAAAAAAAAACTCTCTGATATACAAGTCTGTTTTTTATTTCCTAATCTATTACATCATGTGAACATGGATTCACATTTAACCCTGTGATAAGATCGAGGGGAACCCACTCATTTTGTGGAGGGTTGAAAACTCAAGAAGCATCTGAAATGGGACTCCAACTACACACTGCTTTGATACGTCAAAATCAAACAGATTGGAAACCGGTCTGATCTTTAACCGTGTTTCAAGAGCTGGTTACACTATCAACTGAGTCAAATCTAGAGACGTTAAGTGAACGAAGCATTAGATGGTATAATTCTTCCAACTTAAATGAGATAGAATAGATGTACCAAGTAGCATAAAGATAGTGACCCTTAAGGACAGAATGAATGTACTTGGTTACTCCTGTGATTTTATTAGGGAAAGATTGATGGTCAAATCTAAGTCTGATATATTCTTGGAGTATATTCATTTCGGGACCACTAAAGCAAGGAAAACTTTTCTTTATCGAGTGAGTTTTATCTATTCAGCCTCCACATATCATTATTTTTCTCTGAATCTAATTTTTGACTTTGCTCAACCAGGCATGATGCTGGGAGACACTTTTATGGCCGAATTTGGTTTAGAGTAGCGAGTCTGGGGAGTTTCCTCTGGTGAACTGGTTTTAATTAGTACAATATTACTCAGGAAAAAAAAAAAAAAAGTTACTGGTTTGGAAATGAAGGGCGAGTCTTTGAAGTGCTGCTCTATATATTCTGTGAGCTCCACCACCCAGGGGGTAAAAGCATCTGTGTGGTGACATTGCATGCATTCTCATGCAGAAAGACACACTCACAGATCTGAATGCTCGCGCACGCAAACACACCCCAGAATAACACACACACGCGCACGCACGCCGGCAGCCAAGCTGTGCAGCTGACCTAAAACAGCTTCCTCCTCGAGCTCTCTCCACTTTCGGGCAGTGGGGAACTCACAGCTGCAAGAGGCCAGGCTTTGATGCTGCCCCCCTCCCCTTCTTAACACACTGAGCGGATCTGTTGGCTAACCAAGTGTGATTATCCCCTACCATTTATCATGCTCCTTGTCAGAAGAGTTACAGGGCAGAATATCTGAAGAAATCAGCTAATCCCGGCCTATACGGGGAGCCAGTGGTTCTGATTCAGAACAACAGCTGTACCACACTCTGCCACTCACAAAACTTTTTTTTTACAACAATGCCAACACGTAAACATGGACTTTTTTGTTGAGTTTCAATGTCTCTAACATGAGGTGAAAACCTCTGCAAGATATGTGACATGCTATTGTCGTGTATGTGTTTATGAAGGACCTATCTGTGGTAGTAGCAGGAGAAAGGTCAGACACTAATCCCATGTTTTACAACTCTGCAGGCAGATTTATGCTAACCATGCTGATTTAATGTATTTTAAACAGCTCGGTCCAAAATGGCCTCCACTACTGTGGCATTTGCATGAAGAATTGTTCTAGGCTACAATGTGCTGCTGTTTCGATTTCTTTTGAGCCGTTCTTGGACAAAAGCCACGACAATTTCCCCACTGTTGCACAGCCTTTTTGTCAGTTTTTCCACTTTTGTCGGAGCACAATACACAAATCGTATATTTACAGGTGTGCTTTGAATGTCAGGAAAAAGCAAATGTGTAAACTGGTTGCTGTGTGTCCGTAAATGCTGCACATTTTTATACATGTGTGCACGTGGAGCTCCTTACATGCCATCTTGCCGCGTGATGGTGTGGCCATACTGCGGGTAGTGCAGGAAAGAGACGTTGACTCCAATCAGTGGCGTGCCATCTCCTGTTAGAACCTGACCCCGGATCACTGACGCCAGGCTGCGTACGCAAGCAAACAGAGAAGGAGCTAAGTAAACTTCTTAACAGTTGTAGGAGCACCAGGGTATGATTTACTCACCATTAGGAACACAGACATGAAAATATCCCCCTCCCAAAACAGCTGTCTCTTTCCTGCTTTTTTAAAAAGCCTTTAACCATCAATTTTTTATACAGATGAGGGGTTCAAATTCAGCAGTATTTTGCACCTGTATTTCAAAATATAAAGTCTAATGGGACAAAAAATATATTCATATTTCCTCACTGAAACATAGTTTTGGCATTTTATAGTAATACCATGACATAATTTAATGTACAATAAGAAATACATTTAACAAAACAATGCAATTTGTTAGGCAATGACTAGAAAATGTTCAATTTAATTGTGTATGTAGAATAAAATATTTATTTGACTTTCAAAATAGTAGAAAAAAAGAAAGAAAAAGACAAGAAAAAGAAAAAAAGAAACCACTTGGCAGATATTCTTCTTACATAATCGGCGTTAACATTAAAGCGAGAAATGCATGGAATGAAAACAGAAGAAGACAGTAACTAACTTTGAAACCTACCGTTGGCTGTAAAACTTTAACATCCAAGAAATTGCACATAACATTAAAAACAAACAGAAAAAAGTAGGGCATAAATATAAAAAAGTAAAACTAACAAAACAAAAAAAAACACACAAGATTCATTGTTGCATTTTTGGTCTGTTAAGTAAAGTCAGCTTATTTAATGAGGTGTACAGTACACCCAACAGTGAGGCTATTAAGTAAGATAAATTAGTTAAATATTCAGAGTATTGGTACCGCTCTGGCCCTGCTGATTAAGGAATTATATCTGCATTATATCTTTTGAGGATTTCCTTATTTCTTAAAAGAACACTTTCTCAGTATCATACCGACATTTTTGTCCAAACAAGTTTGATAAAGGTCTATGTTAATACTTGAGATAGCAAAAAAAAAAAAAAACATTAAAAAGAAGAGTCGAAGAACAAGCTCTTTAGTTCTGTTAGACATCCTCTTGATACAAGAAGCTGAAAAAACTCAGCCGCCGATGTGTCAAGAGGCACTTTATAGCAATCCTGAGCAGCTAAATGCAACGCTGGAAGCCAACTGTCACGAAAAGAATAAAAACGGTTAGACTTCAAAAAATTGGAAAAGCCAGGCTTAAACACAGAAAAAAGATCACCAAGGTGGTCGAGCAAGGTGGAGTTCTGAGAAGTGCGGGCGTGAAGGAGGGAAAAAAAAAGTCTACCTACACTCACACAATACAAAATGTTCAGTGGTGAAAATGAAAGGTTTCTTTTCGGCGAAAAAAAAAAAACCTCAAGAAAAAGTAGTAGAGATTTTTGATTTTTTTTTTTTTATGTGTACACACACACCTGGAGGCTGCCTTGTGTTATGCACCTCCCACTGCTGGGTAAATCGTAATGCCACTTGAGTAGACAGGGGGGTTAAACGCTTCCCTTCAGGACACCTCTGTGGCAGTTAGCACGGCATACGGGGGAGCATTACTCATACACTATCCCTACTCAGATTTGGCCTGCTGGTAAATGGATTTGCTTCTGGTCAAAAGACTCTCCGCCCTCAGCGTCTCCTCCCCTGCTTTCACCTGGGGGAAAAAAAAGGCCCTGTATTTTTTTTTTTTCTTTTTGGACGTTTTTGCTTTATAAATAACAGATGCAGATGATTCATACAGGATTTAAGCTCCGGCGCTTCTCCACCATTATTCAACACGACTGCGGGGACTTTAGGTAACACTGATTCCTAAATTCATAGGTGTGAAGTCATTTGTTAAGCCGGTCTCTTGTTTGAAGGTAAAAAGTGGGAGACGAAGCCATATTTCTCCATCAACATTTACCCATTTCCCACTTCCCGAACCACAGAGCATGATTTTAAAAGTGTTCCCCCCCTGCATTTGTCACTAGTGGGCTAAAAAATGTTCCATTTGCCACTTTATCTGCGGGTCATTAAATACATGAGGCGGAGATGATCAACAGCTTGAGCCTCTCCCTTCTTTTCCTGCCTGGCACCACCGTCTTCCGTCGTTTATTTACTGGCGCGAAGAACAAGGCCACTTAAGAGCCCCAGCGAAGGCTCACTCTTTCTTCCCCGAGTCTCTATTAATCTTTGGAGAGGCAGACGGATGATACAAGAACTGAACCCCCCCCCGCAACCAACCCCAAAGTAACACCACCTGCTGAAACTCCTGAAATGAATCATATAAGACACCCATTCTGATCTGTCATTGTCCCATACTGGCTGCAGAAATACACCATCTGAGGACCCAGTGGGGGACTTGTGTGGGGACATGTGATACGGCTAGGGAGTACCGTGGGGGAGCGGGTTTGGAGGTGGGGGGGGGGGGGGGGGGGGTGCCGCTACACCACAACACATGTTTTATTCTCTGTGCTATGCAAGGGACAAGTTTACTGCTGAGTTCTGAAACCAGACCGCAAAGCAATCTGCTCCCTTTCTCCCAGCTTCCACAATGGCTTCTTGAAAGAGAAGACGGAGAGAATTGACCTGTAACTATTTTTCAATTTCTGTACCATTCCACATCAGACACCGGGTGTAACAGTCACCGCTAACGCCCCTTTTTTTGTGCCATCGTCGGGTTTCTTTCAGAGGTTTCTTTTTTTTTTAAGCACGTTCTCAAAAGGCTGCCGATAAATTATTCACCTTATAACTCAAGATGACTGTTTAAAAAAAAATTAAAAAAATAAGCCCAAACAAACTCCATTTATGCTAAATTCTCTTTCATTGTGAGAGACTCTTAAAAAAAGTATTCATCCATGCAGAGCAGACTCTGCGTTCCTGTGATAAAGTTAAAAATAAAGGATGTTCATTTGTTAATTTAGTGACATGTATGTTTTTTGGGGCAAGTGAAATTCTGTTTTAACTCTAAAACTAACCTCTACAGAAAGATAATATGGCAATTGCAATTTTTTTTTTGGGAGCAAAAGAGCTAATACCACAGCCAGACATGAAATGAGCAGTAAGCTGAAGACAATGAGGACGAGGATTATGGAGAACCCAGCTGGGGGGAATTGTCTCATTCTATATTTTCAGTAAAGCATGCTATTTACATAAGGATTACTTTAAACTATTGGAGAAAACACTCCCAGAATCTCTCAACTCACAGTTGGAAATATTATTTTTCTTCTCTCCATCAGAGTCAGAAAAAAAGAAGAAGAAAAAAAAAAAAGAAAGAAAAACCAATTGAAATTCTGAACAAATGCTCAGAGGTGAACCAACTCAGTGTATCACAGTAGTCTATTATTTTTTTTCTGACCTTTAAATTGAACTTTTCAACCAACGTCTGTGCCTCGGATAAACATTCTGACACTTAAATTCTTGCAACAAGCAGAATAAAGAGTGTAGCACATAACAAGGTGTCACAATCATTAAAACAACTCATATGAGGTCACAGCTCCATCAGTGGCACCACGTCCTTGGAGTAAATTAAAACTCTGCTTGTAGCTAGTGTATTGATGTATCTTGAAGCATTTAAAAGGGAAATTATTCCCTAAAACTTTCATGATAAACTGTAAAAAATTACCACTAAAAAAAAGGGTCAAACGGCTGACTTGACCGCCATCATTTTTTAAGATGAATTCTAGGATATTTTACATATATTTTGCATTTAATGGCATATTTTGAAGGGAAAATGATGCCTACAAAAAAGCTCAAGGCATTCATCACAACAGTTGTTTCCATTCAAGAGTGACCAGATTAAAAAAACATCCAAAGAGGCTCATAGTCTGGTAACGGCTAATAATAAAATTAAATAGAACACATAAAACAACACCTTTATGAGTTGTGAACTAAAGAAATAAAAAAAAGTTGATTTCAAAGTGTAAAATGTGTCAAGTTACGTGTTACATAAAAGGAGTGAAATGTGGACTTGTAATACATTTTTCATGCTGCAGTAACTCAGAAAATATAAAGCTACTCTTGTTTGAAGTGCTTTTGTTGGAAAAGTTGTTTCAAAGAAGTAAGACTTCCCAACTCAAATCAAAGATACGTTTGTTCAAGTGTCTGTACACTGTATAATGTACAGTGTCTGTCTGGTCGGCCCACTGATGGTAAAATAAATATGATTTTACTTCAAATTAAAGCCATATAGTTGTGCAACTATAAGGTTTTCCCTTCCTTTATTACATCCTCTTGTTGCCGTGGTGTAATCACACTAAAGTTCATGTCTTTTCCTGTCATGAGAGCCTTTTTAACAAGCTCATCCCTGAGGTTACTTGCCACTTGGACGACCGAATAGATAAATAAATAACCGCCCGTGGAAGCCAAACTGTTGTAAACAAACATGCAACTTTGACTCCGAAGACAAACAAACGGAACGCTTTGACATTTTCCCGGAGAGGCTGCACACACACACACACACAGGTGCCTCCCTCAAACAGGTAATGAGACAGCAAACAGCTTTCATGATCCAAATAATTAAAGAGTTTGCCGGCTGCTTACCTGCCGTTGAAAGGGTTGTCTCCTGGAATCACGTGACTGCCGCTGGGGCCCATCAGGAAGCTGACGTGTTCGTAAAAGTTCCTGGACGAGGGCTGGGCGGCTGCACTCTGGCCCTGGTTGGCGGCCGCCGTGGGGTCAGTGGAGCCACGACAGTAGGTCTGACCCTGGCAGGCCATTTGAGAGCAGCAGTCCGGATCCATACAGTCTATGAGCCCATCTGGTAAGCAAGTGGGGGGGGGGGAGACAGGCAGGACAGGAGAGAAAAAAAAGGCTCTGTTGACCCGGATAGTTTAGGGGTTTGACAGTGAAAACATGAAGATCTCCGTGACTGCGCTAAGCCGCCGTGAACTCAGGTGACTTCCAACTTCCAACTGAAGCTCATTAAAGGAGCTAGCATCTTGCATAGACTCGCAGTAAATATTTCAAAAGGGCCTCACACGAACCTCAAAAGTTCCGGGGCATATACAAAACGTTACAACTTTAATACTAAAAGAGGCTGTGGTTAATAAATAATAAAAAAAATACAGAAATACAGACATCTTAGTTCTTCCCAATGATAACTATGGAAAGTACCTCATTCTCTGTCACCTGTACGACCAAAAACGCTACATTTCGCAGGGTGCTGACCAGAAAAGAAACCGGGGATGGAAAATACTATTTGGTCGACCTCTTCGATCAGTTACGAATGGAAAAATACGGAAGTTGCACACCATCCAATGCATCATCCCGTTTTAAGCGTCTGGCTTCGGAAGGTGCACTGATGCCGAAATTTAATTTAAAGAAAAGTAAAAAAAAAAAGAAATAATAAATTCTCTGACATTTAGGAGGACGTGTAAAAAAGAGTGGAGCTGGTCCAGGTTCAATCGGGCTCTCCCAGTCTTCTCAACCCTTGAAAGAGCTAATTCCAGGGGAATAATGCACTCAGAAAACATTATCTGCTACTCAAAGTAACAGTTCTCAATGCATGCCAAGTTCTATCCATTTTTTATCAAAATCTGTTGGATTTCTTTCTACTGCAGAGCAGCTAAATGTGTCTGGGGGTTGTTTGCTTGTGGAGGGTGTGGAGCGCCACCCACGCATCAACAAGCGTTCAGCCTGAACGTTATCTCCGGTCGGATGAACAGACAGAGTTGTCCGGCTTACTGATGATCGTGGTTGTGGCAAAAAAAGGGAAGAAAGGTCACGGGAAGACAATGGCATTCAGCAGCTTTTTCAATTGGCTCAGAAAAGACGAGTCGATCTGGATGACATAATTGCCTCCGGCAGGGGAAACTGTAATTTTTGAGAAGGGAATTCAAGGTGGATTTAGGCCCTTTCTTTTAAGCAAAATCCTCATTAGTGGCGAAACCGAAATGTGACACGATAGACACGGCACAGTGCCCGTGATAGAAATACCATTTAGATTACCTTAAGTCATCGTGTTTGGTTATTTGCCGTTGGCAGCTCAGAGTTTGTGTGGCGGTCTGCACCTTTTCACCAAAGGTTTCATACTTCCTGAACTGTGAGAGGAAACCGGTGTGTGTCTTTTTGTACACGCACACGCACGCTAACGCTTTAGGCCCTCAGGCTCCCTGACCAGGCCGACGGGCAGTTCATCAGAAATCCAGCTCTGGGAATATTAATATGTCACCTCAACCTCTCCTCCAGGATGATCAACTGCTGATTTTAAAGATTATAATCTGCTCTCCTGCTACATCTACACATTTAGCCTTCTGAACAAAACAAATGATCGGTTTTGTTTTAGTCTGTTTGTAGCATTTGGTGCATTAGACGTTCCACGTTCCGAGAGGAAATCTGAGCTGGGGTTTTGCCTCTAGGTCCTACCTCCCTCGTTATCCTTTCCATCGGAGCAGAGCGTTTCGGTGGCGACGTCGCAACCGAGCCCTCTCCATCCCGACTGGCAGACGCAGTGCCAGACGTTCTGATCCAGGACACACCTCCCGTTGTTGTTGCAGAGCCCGGGGCAGCCGTCTGTCAACACATCACACACGGGTCGGAAAAACGGCCCAGCAAATAAGAGATCAGCAGGAGAGGAAAGAAGGAGGTAGAGGACTAGAGGGAAGGGGTAGAGAGAGGGGAGGAGGAGGGCAGAGGAGGAACAAAAATATGATAGGAGACAGTACAGAACAATACACCTCTGACAGGACTCGGGATGGGGGGGGAGGTTGTGAGGGGTTACAGTCGTTTCACATGAGTTTTAGGAGCATGTGCAACTATCGTGAGAAGTGAAATGTGTGGGGAGAAAACCGGGTAGTTTACCTTAAGTTCATATAGCAATGAGAAAAAAACAGTGTAAATGCATGCTACGTTATGTTCTTATTGAGGTTTGCGCCTTTTTTAGGAGTTTATAGATTCAGTGGGAGTTTAAATGACTTTTTTTTTCCTATAATTTCACAAATCCGCTCGTTGATTTTTCACATATCGCTGTCCTTGTAAAAATGACGGAAAAAAAGAAAAACCCACAGCCATTTTTGGATTCACGATTTAAATAAGAAGAGCAAAAATAACATTTACAAGTCTGAAAACCCCCTCACTCGGAAGTTCATTGGGGTTTTTTTTTGCCCGAAAATAATCAAAGGAGGAAAGGCCCACTGCAGATGTTAGAAACACTCATGTGAAGTAACGGCAACATCAAAGGGAAAAGGAAGTATATATGTAAATCGGGGGGGAGAGGGAGGGAGAAGAAGAGGACGGATCAAGAGCCTCCACATTTACAGAAAAACAGTGCACTTGCTGCCAGATAGCATTCCTTCTAATGGAGGGTGAAGACAGGGAGCCGAAACATGACTAAACCACACCAGTTTTGGGGCGTTTAATCTGGCAGACACAGGGAGTTACGACAGTGGTGGAGGGGGGGGGGGGAAAAAAAAAAACCGGGGGGGCGGGGGGGGGGAGGGGTAGACGGGGGGGAGGGGAGGGGGGGGGTCGGGGGTGGGGGGGGGGGGGGGGGGGGGGGGGGGAGCGGGATCACAGCAGAAACATTATGATCGACTCGGACATAAAACAGGTGTATATACGCCGTGCTAGGAGAGACAGAGAGCAAGGGGGGGGGATTGCTCGTGACAATCTCCCTCATGAGGGTAGTGGTTCAATTTACCTTTATATCCTATCTTGACTGCTCCTATTACACAACCGAGGAAAGGGAAACATTTGGAAAAGAAAATTACTTATCTCTGCGGTGGCAGTGAGCTAAGACCGGCAAACACATTTACTTAGTGCAAATTGCAGAAACTGGAAACGGTGTCTGGAAACACATCTGTCTGCCTATGTGTTCTACACATCTAGAAGAGAAGATTTGCAGATTGTTTTCCCTGATAGTATTATCCTCACCACCTGTTAACTTCCGCTCAGACTTTCAACCCGACATCTGTGCAGGTAAATCACAGAGTTGACGGTGTTTGAGCCGAACAGTTAACACTGAGCATGAGTGATAGGATTTTACTACATTGCTTGAAGGAAAGGAAAGCTGCAAACCCATCCATTTATTTATTTATTTATTTCTTTAGCAGAGTTCAGTTTTAAGCTAAAGAAGGATGTTCAGCTGGATAAAAAAACACCAAAAAAAACAACATCTAGCTTGAAGGAAATATTTTTTTCATGCAAAGCGTTTTTTTTTTACCTGATACTCTGGAATCCAGGGCTACACATGTAAGCCAAGAGGGTGTTGGAAAGAGACAGAGAAGTAGGCAGACAGGCATACAGACATAGAATAGAGAAGAGAATGAATATAAGTAGGAGTTAGGCAAAGGATTGCAAATAGAAAGAAACATGAGTAATATCTATTTGAGAGAAGACAAACAAGAGAATCTGCATATTTAGAAGAGCTGCTTCATAGTTTTATCAGCAGTGAAGGCATACATCCAGTATTTGACAGACTTAGAGTGTGGCTGTTAATTAAAAACATTTTGTGATTAATCGGAATTATAGACATCTCCACAGTCAAAATCACATTTTTTTTTACTTCTGTAACACCACCTTGGATGGTGATTATGCTTATGTCTATAGAAGCAACATAAATCAATTCAGCAACTTGTGCTTAGTAAAATATTCATTGTTAACACTCCCCATCTGCTTTGCTTTGCCAAAACAAGAGCGGCTTACACAGAGAGAAAAAGAACACACTGTTTTCTTGATATCTCTGTGTTGTAGCAGTCTTTGTTTTCCAGACCATATGAGTCAGTTTCATCTGGGCCAGTATCAAAACATTTCACTGTGTGCTTGTCAGCGTGCATAAAGGCTCAGCCTCATTCGAACGTGAATGCGTCACAAAGATGAATACTGCGCTTCAGATTTTTGTTTTTTCGTCCTTTTTGTCATCTCTACTTTAGTGATTAGAAACAGCAGCATGCCAATGACCTAGCGGTGCAATAACACAAATCAAAAACACCTTAGCAGTATAAACTGCAGGGGCTGGAAAAGCTTCGACAATAGTGTAAGCCTTGCATACAAAACAGGATCTAGATGCCTGCGACAAAAGAATGACCACGGAAGTGCTCCATTCAAGCTCTGACCATGTAATGTGATTAAAAGGTGCTTTGTGCGAGCGGCAGTTATTCGGGGTTTGACAGACAAAATAAGCTCCTGGCTCCTTAAGAAAAGGTAGTGCACAGCCTATTCATGGCTCCTGCAACCGTGGCATGAAGTTGCTTTCTTGATGGGAGCCGAGAACAGGAAAGGAAAGAAAGAGAAAAATGGATGATGTGCAGGCGGCCTGGAGGAGGGGAAGATTAATAAGATCAGGAATGTGACCTCTCCAAGTCCCCCCACTGCAATCTCTTCTCCCCCTCAGAGATGGATTTGAGCTGGAGACAGAGGATTGCTTATGAGAGAACTTGTAAATACATAATTAGGGTTCAAGAGTTTCGAGAGCCGGATCTTTTTTTTTTTCACGGGGAATGTGTTGTCATCGAGAGGCTGGAAACAACACTCGGGGGAATGGTGTCTGACGCGGTGTGTGGAGGTTTGACTTCAGGAACTCTGACAGAGGGTGAGGTGTCGAGGAAGTACGAGTCAAAGGTGGAAAGGAAAGTGGCATCTCAGAACTCATTATGCTCATTAATGCCTGGTGAATCACTTCCATTTCAGAGGGAAAATATATTCAAAAGAGGCCTAACCGCGGATCTTTGACTCCCTTAATACCTGCCCTTGACTCACTAATACAGCAGAGTCATTTGAGCGGTCTAAAAGGTGGAATTTATAAATTGTTTATGTAAACCGTCAAGTTAATCTGTTTCTTTTTCTTTTCTTTTTTTTTAAGAAACACACTGTGAAGAGAAAAGAAAGGATAAGTGACCAACTGCTGAACAAAAAGGTACATTTAAAATAAAAATATTTTCTCTAATAGAGATTATTTTAATCCTGATTAAAAGGTAGGGAAATGCAATGCTGATTTACTCTATTTTCTGTTTACAATTGGAAAAGCACTACACAGATTGTCATGTTAAGGTGGCCAAAAGTATTTATGTTTTACTCAATTAATGCTAAGAACATGAGCAAAGGCAACTGGACTAAAGAAAGAAGACAAGTCCATCTTTAATCAGGCTCTGAGGAGTACAAAGACCTGGATAACTGAGGATCTAAAACCAACATACTAACGCAGTGGGTAGGTTCTCATTCCTTCAACAACCATCTTGGAAGACTCATGCTGTGCTCAGGAAATAGATTTTTCAGAACCCGAAGTTAAAATAATGGTTTTCCTAACATAGACACTGAGGCCGAGGTGAAACGGCTAAAATTAGGTCAACAACTATCCAAAGTGTCATTAAAGAGTGGGACTTCATCATTGAAGAATACGTGTGGTTGGAGAAAATTGATTGACTGAGATTGGAGCCCACTTCAATAAAAAAAGGGGGAAATCATCATCAAATCATGCTGTGGAGCATGCAGATTTGACCATGGAACAATAGAAAAAAGGTCATGTGGTCTGATGAGTCGACGCGCTTCCTGTTTACCAGGAACGGGTGCATCCGTGGGAGAAGATTGGCAGAATAAATCTTAGACGCAGGAGAGTTCCAACAGCTCAAGCTTTTGAAGGGAGCCTCAAGATCTGAGCTGACCTAACTTGGAGACATTCAGCTCCAGAAATTCCAGTATTTACCCCAAAAAAGGAGGTCAACTGCCCGCCTCAACATACTAAGGCCAAATTCTTTATTAGCTCTGTTTTTCCTGCTCTAATGATATGGACATAGCAATGTCTTGCTGAAATGATAATGCTACTCTGGACAAAATGAAAGATGCAGCATGCATAAACTTACTGAAATGATGCTACTACAAATCTGGGCCATAAACTAAAGGGGTAAATGAGCAACAATGCATTTATGGGAGTCTCTCTTCCGGGGTGCAAAATTTAGAGGAGGGGAATATTCAAATGAATCAAGCGGAGCGATTCATGGTGCATAATTCACTGCTGACTGTGCCATTATTTTTTTCCTAAAATTTGAGCTCGATAGTTGTCGTGCAGACGATGCAGAAGTAAGGTTGTTAGATTAAAACATTTTTCCTGACTATTGATACTTAAAACTATATTCAATTATTCCACTCCATTGTTCTGAACTATGATAAATAGATGGATACAATAAAAATAGAGAAATAAAACAGTTTAAAATCTGAATGTTGGTAAGATGAATATGAACATCTTCAGGAGAGTTTATAAAGGAGAGACAACTAAATAAAAAGCCTTTTAACCAGTCGTAACTAGTTAAGTGGTTTAATTGTGTCCCTGGTGAACTACTGATTCCTCATTATAAATATATGTTTTGTTTTAGAGTCAATACTAAGTCATTACGTCTCCGGTAGACTTTGTCCATTATGAGTTGGATCCTTATTCAAACAAAAAAGTGAAATGGAAGAAGATAAAATGCTTTGGTTCCTGCGTAAATACTTGATGATCGTGGTCCTTGATGAAGCACTTTGCTGGGCTCCATGCTTGAAATGAGGAATTCCAAAATGAAAAAGCCTTTTTATGAACCCTGACAGGTACAAAACTGAAAAACGTTCCAAATAAATTCCAAGTATCAAGAGAAATGTATTTGTATCTAGTCATTTGAGCCTCTGTGGTCAGGAAATCTCACTTAAAATATTGGTAAATAAACATATTTTTTTCTACTGGATTGCTTTTGGAGTGCTTTTTTATAATATATCAATCAGACATTTGTAAATCCGTGAAAAAGCTGTGAGTAATTTCTGATCTGCAACTGCACATTGATTTAGTGAATCGCTCAAAAATACACTTTGAATAAACCTTTTTGTTTACAAAAACTCATAAGTAGTTTTCAATAGACATCAAGTTCTTTCAAATAGCTACAACACATATCGCATAACACGTTTGAGGACCAAAATATCTCCAAAGGGGACAAAAACTGCCCCTCTCCACCCATAAAAAACTAAACAAACTAGGATGTTCACAAAGCCAGTTATCAAAAAAGGATTGGAAGCTTCTGACGCCAAAGGCCGTGTACTATGAACATGCTCCGTGGAAGAAGAGGAAAGATGAGGAGTAGGTGGTGTGCATTACATCATTTGACAGTTTATAAAATGCAAAAACTGGCTGGGTTTTGGGATGTTAGAGCGCAAAAACACAGCGCAAACTATCCAGAAATGAGATTTAATACACTCGTTTGCAGTTAGAAGCATCTACATCAGAGAAATCTGACCAGATCTTGATGCAGCAATTTTTGGTTCTGTGCTTCTTGAAAACTCACCGGGGAAGAAGCCCGAGGAAAACTTTATCTCTGCTTTACACTGAAAACATCCCCATCGTCATGACGACTTGGCCGTAGCCGTTAAGAAGAGTGTAGGCTGCACCGGAGTATATCATCATATGATGGCTGAGGCCCTCGCTGACATTCACACTCCAACATTGCCCTTTTAGGCCTGCCAATAAATGAATTTCCTCTGTAGTTCCTGCCCCCCCGTGTACAGTAGGTGTGGCCGCACTGTGTGTGTGTGTGTGTGTGTGTCACCGTGGCTCACCGATGGTGCAGTGTTCACCAGTCCAGCCCTGGTGGCAGTCACACTTGCCCTCTCGGCACACGCCGTGGTCGATGCAGCGCGGGTGACAGTCCCTCTGACCGCACCCCGGTCCAGCCCAGCCCTCCTCGCAGTGACACGCGCCGCTAACGCACGCGCCGTGGGGGCCGCAGTCCACCGCACACACCTCTGCAGCAACACGGGAAAGAAAAAAAAAAAAAAAAAAGCCGGGGGGGCATCGCGTCTTCTTTGAGAGAAGGGGGGTTTTTTTTTTTTTTTTTTTTTTTCTGCAGTGGTGTATTTTTGTTATTCTGTACGGATGCATCTGTCAGCACAGAAAAAAAAAACACTCTGATGTTTGCGGCGGAGAAGCGTTCGCTCTCGTGGTTAAAGTGGGCCAATAAGTTTAACTGTAAACAAGAGTTCTTTTTTTGACGCTTTTTCCGAAAAAAAACAAACTCTGCTGCAATAAATTCTGACATTGCAGCTGAAACATTTGGCGGTTCTCAAACAATTATTGGGACACGTTAATGTTTAAGATGCAATTTTTTCCATAGAAAATAGCAAGCATTTACAGTTTTTGGTATTTGGGTTTCAATGAAATTGGCTGTGTACACCTTGTGTCATGTTTTCAGGTTGCAATACAAAGCTTAAATGAATCTATAGAAGCTTGGAAGAAATGGATAGTCCAATCAAGTTTTATTTTCCCGCCACTTAGTAATAATACAACATGGTTAGCGAGCTGCAGAGATAGCATATAACTCTTCATCTAAAGTGTGCGATATTAATCTTGATACTGTTATTACTTTTTGGGTTCGGCCAATAATGCAATCTCTTCCCTTTGCAGAGTTTGACATTTAATTTAAGAATCGTTTTGCACAATGCAACTTCCAAAAAAGTGCACTACAATGTGACAAACTAGGCACGTCGGTAGCAAACAGAACATTCAGAAGAATCATATTCTGTATTCATGATTGCAGTCGGATACAATCTGACTCAGCTTGCAGCTTTTGAGGCTAAAATGTATTCGGCAGCAAATTCTGGCAGGCCTAAATTATCTTATCAACAAACCGCTGCAATCAATGTAACAACCACACTTTTTGCCATCTGAAATAACGTAAGTGTTTATCACATAGATTAAGTATTTGTCTAAATAATTACCCTGGAATAATAGAATAAAAACACTTCAAGCCAACACATAAACAAGCAAAAGTTCATTACTGTCACTTTTGTTTGTGCGGCTACTTTAAGTCTTTGTTGTCAGTTTTATAGACTTCTTTATTTGATCCTGTTTTAATAGTCTGGTTGCTCTGAAATAAAACAAAACTCATCTTCACACAAAAAGCCTGGAATTATGCAGCACTGCAATCATATTGGTCATGAAAACCTTCAAAATAACAACTTCTGCAGATCCCGTCGCCCCATTTGCATCGGGACTTGGCAGTCTGAGGAAAGACTTGCGGACTTAATTGGGTTTTTATGTCTCAACTCAGAGATATTGGATCAACGTGGTTCCTTAAAATACGAAGCATCACAAACAGCAAAGCAGCCGTTATATATCCGTGCTATCTCGAGAAAACTCAAATGACTGAATTCTGGGGGGCTAAAGCTAATGCTCAACAAGCTGTGGCTGTTTTTGTGGGAGTGTGAGGAATGTTGATTTGGAGGAACCATGAGCTTCTGACAAATCTTTTGGAACAGAGAGGCACAAAGCTTTACTGATGTGACTCTGTCTTAAGGGAAGATTTGCAAGTACGGCTCAAATTTTGAGGGATGAGATGCCCCAGGAAATGTGGATATAAATATACGTATTCAAATATATATATTATCCACAGCAGAACTGTTTGTGACCTTTTGAGAACTTGATACAGCCCAAAGGAGAAGCTAATTAGTCAACATTAGTCCACAGCTACAGATGTATAAAGTCACGGGTCATTCTCTTTTCATGATTTTGTTTTTCAAGCGGATCTATCCCAACCGCTTTGCCCTTACTCATCTCCTTTTGCTGTGGCTTTTTTAACCCTCTTTCTGTTCCACCCTGTGAATAGAGTTTTCTCTTCGATTGAAGGACCTTGGATGGTTCTGATTAAGCTGAGCAGACACTGTAGAATATTAAGCATGCCTCTGGAGGGGAGTCATTCAATTCCAAAGGAATACCTCCTTCCCATAGAATCTATGCAATCAATTTTTCATTAGTGAAAAAAGTGTTTATCTGCCTTTAACATGCCCCTGACTTGAGCTGGATTGGGGTTGTGGGTGGTCGATCCGTGCTAGGCTCTTGTTAATTAAAGTTTATTTAATTGAAGAAGTACTGCAGCATTAATTACGAAGGAATCCTCCACCCATTCAGATGGGTAAACTCACCAACTTTTTGGACTGCTCTAAGGCCAACCGAGTCAGTTCTGCTATTGACGAGCCTGAGATGTCTCGCTGCGTGACAGGATTGTGTCTGACATTCCAAAAGCTCCGAAAGAATAGCAAATGACTTCTCTTTAAAAAAAGAGAAACCACAGAAAATGAATTGAGACACAAAAGCGGAAAAAAAAAATCCCTGTTCGCACAAACACTATCATCCTATCAACCAAACTGGCTACATGCTGCTTCAAAAGATCTACAAACGCAACTATAAACTCAAACATATTATCCAGCTGCCTTTTGTGCCTCAATTTCCAGCAGAAGTTCAGTAGAAAAAAAAATATATATATATTTAACACCCCCTTTGTACTGACGGAAACAAACTGAAACTTCTGGTTTTAATTGTTTGTCTCAGTATGTGTTCCTCTTGGGGTGCAACACTCGGAGAATGAGTCTACTCGGAAAAGAAAAACAGCGCATAAATCACTTGAATCTCAGGCAGAGATAGCAGATGGGAGGGGCCAGCCTTTGAACTAACATGACACCTACCTGTGTCGAAAGGCAAAGCCTCGAAACACACCGCTGGTGACAAATGAAGAGGCTCACTTGCAACAGATGGGAAACACAGAATTGCCTATTTTTTTTTTTTCTCTACAGAGCCAAATGCTGCAACCATACACAATTCAAGTTTGCGGAAAAAATGTTTTTGAGCAAATCTATTTACACTCCAAATCACATGTAAACACACAAAAACATATGCTCAGTTACACGAATATAACACAAAAAAGCTGTGTAGTTAGCATATGCTGTTTAAGCAATTAGCATGTGATCCATGGGATGATAACCCAACGTTTAGAGCATGATCACGCTCACATTTTGAATGATTTACTCCAAATCAAGTTGAAGCATGTTTATTTTGAGTGTACTTTTGATCAAATTGTAAGAAATTTAAATTAAATTTAAATTCTAAGCAGCTTGTAAGTCTCAAACTGCTTTTTAACAATCCCAAAACACATGAACCGAGTGTGGCTTGTAGTCCATTCTGTCTTAAGTTCTTTTGTTTTTTCTGACAATTCTTCAAGCATGAGTGAATTGTGGCTATCAGATGTCAACATTTCTCTTCTAAGACCCAAAAAATGCCTTTGGGTTTGTTTCCTTTGACTGGTTCAGATTACTTTCACACTAATAGTTAATAGTTTTGTTCTCCACTAGAAAGAAGAATGTTGCGCAATGCAATTTTAAAAATACGTTTAGCAGTCCTAAATGCACTGTACACACAGCCCCATCCACATAACAAATGTGTTCATCTCGCACTGTAAATGTGCTCTGAAGATACATATGACTTTTCTCTATGTGATCCTGCAGTAATGCTCGTAAAGCACAACACCGACAGTATTTTAACATTGTAAATGTTCATATCAGGCCCCCATTCATCATCACTGGTGCAGCCTCAGACCGTGAATCAGTGAGACATCACAAATTAATAATTTTGTGTCTCAAATGCTCACCTATGGGAGAAAGCTGCAACATAAAAAGATTTATGATTGATTCAGAGATTTATTTCCAAATTGTGGCACATTAATTTCAGAAAATAATTTGTTATTCACGTTCATTTAATTATATTTCAAAGCCAGAGATGATGGATTACTCCAGACTGTGATATGTTGTTAATCGTTAAAAATGAAACTATACATCAAATTCATTTCCCTCGTAATTTCTTGCGTATTTGTGTGTCCAAGTTAAACAATTATCCCACAACTTTCTTAATGATGCGTCTCAAATGCAGACTCACTGCACTTCATGAAAGATGGTGAATTTCACCTTACAGACAGCTACAAAATGTGCACACTTGTGCTGTTTGGCCACCTGGAGTCTGGCACGGCAAGAGGCAAGTTTGTTTAGAGTGAACACACTGAAATGTGCCAATTACTTGTTAGCATAACTGAAACTTTACCCACAAAACAGTAAAAAAAAAAAAAAAAATTTGATACACCAAATCGAGCTGCATGGATTCCAGGCAACATCACTTCAACGACATAAAACAGGGATGGATAAAAGCGGGAGAGCAGTTTAATGCCGTGAAGCTTCGTGTTTCCTTTAATTATGTCGAGGAAAAAGAACAGGATTTAAAAATGACCAACTTGATGTCTCCGGCAAACACATCACGAGAGTTAAAAGGCGCCCAAACTTTCATTTTTCAATTAAAAAAACTAAAACTTAATTAAAGCTGGCACTCTTGATAAATCTTAAAGTCGGTCAACAGAAAAAGTACGCGGCAATTCAGACGAGAACACGTTTTTTCACGAGGCTAAACATCACCTGCTGGAACTTCAGCTTCTCGGGTTTTTGAATTACTGCTTTCTTTGAATGAGCCTGCAAATTTAATTTCTCCTGACCATAGATAAGCAATTTAAAGATGGCATCTTGGGTTTTTTAGGAGAGCGATACCCAATTTCTGTGCATTTATTACAGTGGCCAAACTATTAATGGGGAAACTAATAGCAGATTTATCCACAAAAAGTCAAACATATACAGTGGGGGAAATAAGTATTTGACCCCTTGCTGATTTTGACGGTTTGCCCACTTACAAAGAATGCAACGATCTATAGCTTTAATCATATGTACATTCTAACAGTGAAAGACAGAATCCCAAAGAAAATTCCAGAAAATCACATCATACGAATTTATAAAAATTGATAACCATCTGATGAGGAAAAATAGGCATTCTTTGTAAGTGGGCAAACCTGCAAAATCAGCAAGGGGTCAAATACTTATTTTCCCCCACTGTAGGTTAGATAGATTTAGGTGATGGAGAAAAAAGAAAAAAGGGAAGTGCTTTCTGACCTATAGAGCAGTCGGCTCCTGTCCAGTTGGCCTCACAGACGCAGGTTCCTGAGTCGGTGTTGAAAGCTCCATGGCTGGAGCACTGCTCCGGGCAGGTGCTCTTCAGAATCTCGCAGCTGATCCCTCCCCAGCCCGGGTTACAGTGGCACTCACCGTGATGACAGGCTCCGTGACCGGAGCACGCCGGGTCCACACAGTCCACTGAGAATGACAGGAAAAGTCAGTTTACTCTCAAACCTACCTATTTACCCTGGACACTTTAAATGCCCCGGCTTCCAGGAGTCCGTTTTTAGAGTGGCTCGAGCACACAGGTCCTGAATCATAGCTGGTGAGCCAAAGCAAAGCATTTTGAGGCTTTAGCAGCTGTGGTCTTTTTTTTTTTTTTAGTTCAGCGTGCGCCTCTATAGTATATTATACAGTACTTCTAACATAGAGACAGCATAATTATGCGCCATTATAGGCACTAAGAAACAAAGGACAATTAGTGTCTAGACTCATCTAATCAATTACAATTAACAATTTTCTGCTCAACCTACTGATCTAGGTTAATAATTGGCAATTATGACCAACATAATAAACCCATTACTAACTAGGGAGAATAAAAAAAACAAAATTTTTTGCACTTCCACCAGAGTTGGTTGCTCTGTGGATGTGTTTATCAAATCTACTTGGGGTATTTGAAAGGATCTTAAAACCTATTTTTCTGTAAGCAAAAGAGCTACAAATGCAAATGTTTGCTTTTTTTTTTCTTTTTTTTTTTCTCCTATGCTTCTTTATTCCAAAGAAGACAACAACATATTCATTAAGCCAACTCAATAGCTTTCTTCATGTAAGGTCAACAACTCCCACATGTAAATCTGAGCTGATAATTGCCTTTTATCTGCAGAAGGGATCGATAAAGTTAAATGCAATGGAGTGAAGGAGGTGGAGGGGTAGGGGGGGGAGGTTGACAAGGAAGACAAAGGAGCCCTTTCTTGGTAAATTGAGAAACAGGTGCCATGTGCTGATCGATTTGAACAGGCGTCGTCATCTGTGGAGCCCTCCAGTAGGCGACTGCATCAATGGGCCATGTGCAATCTGTTCAAGCTTGCACCCTGACGTGGTCTTAACACTAAGAGGGAGTTAATTTATACACACAATATCAATAACAACATTCAAAGCATTTTACGCTTGGCGAAGTCGAAAACACTGATTGTTTCAGCAGCTGAATGAGTCGATTCCCCCCCCGAGTGTCACAGAAATTTGTTACATCCACCTGCCCTGAATTCAAGAGGAAGGATTTTTTTTTTTTTTCTGGATTACCTTGATCACAGTTTACTCCTTTGTGGCCGGCGTTGCACACGCAGTTTCCCGCCACGCACAGCCCGTGGCCTCCACACTGGGGATCGATGCACTGGGAGGTGGGAACATCACATTCGGTCCCCTTCCAGCCGCTGTAGCACTGGCAGCGCCCCCTGGTGTACTGGCCATTACCGCTGCACAGAACGGGACAGGCAGCTGAGGAGATATTAGATCACCCAAAATATAATCACAATTCCACTTTGGCGAACAATAAGAAAATGCTTAATCGCTTTAATGTGTTTATTTTTCCTCATAGTGTTATTTCTTGAAGCCACCCCCTGTTATATTCTGTATAAAAAAATCTAATCGAATCGCAGTTTCCTTCAGATTTCACGTTCAATCGAGCAGGGTGCAAACCTGCCTCACTGTTGAGTGTCAAACAAGCCACGGGGCAGGCTTTTTTCCTAGGACTGTCATTAGGTAAACAAGGTAAAACAGGGTCTAAAAATTAGACACTCCAGGCTGACCTTTTACATGGGCGGACAGCCAAATGACACATTTTAGGAAACATAAAATCCCCACAAATCATATCAGATCAGTTTTTTTACAATAAAAGCTTTCTGTAAAGCCAAACAAAAAAAGAGCACACACACGCAAAAATCACAAACAAGCAGCACAAATATTAGCTCATGAAAACACAACAGATGTGCAGTTAAAGGAGGAAACCAACCGATTTCATATTTTTACTTTTAAACATGGAGCTTTCCTCATAACTTGTAAGCTTTATGTATCATTAACACTGGAAAGAAGCTGTCTTACTCTATATGGAGTTGGATAGATGTTACTTTAACCCAGCACTTTGATTAGGACCCTCTTTTGAGAGAAGTTAAAAAACATGTCAAGTAATTTTTTTTTACACTTTGAAAGAACATCTTTTATAGTACATCACTGAGTTTTTACTGAGTTTGACCTTGAGTCTATCAATATCTTTTAAAATGTCTTCGAGGGTTTTAAAAAAAAGTGGATGAAATGTGTGCATCGCACTACACTTGAGAGGAAAAAAAATGGCCCACTGCAGATCATAAAGGGCTAAAGCCCTGTGATGAACCGGGGATCTGTCTAGGGTGTGATCGCTCACATCCTTTGCCATCTGGGATGTGTAGCATCTCACTAATGAAGTACACCCTGGAATTAGTTCAATAAGTGGAATTGGACCATTCAGCCCCACCCACGTCCAAGTCAGCCATCTTGTCGCATAAGACACCGCTCCCATGTCCGAGATGTTGTCTCACCAGTAAAAATCAAACAGGAAGAAGAGCAATAAGTCTGAACCCCTACACAGTTTGCAGTGTGTGTGAGATTAACCTGATTTTATCTCTGTCTTTTTCATTTCTGGAAGACCTCGCTGAACAAAAATATATAGTGTGGAGATATGTTGCAATTCTCATTACAAAACCATAATCAATGTCTTTTTATTACCTAAAGCAAGGAACAAGTTGAATGTGGACGTATAGGATGTTTGACTCAGACTTATTTAAGCTTCATAAACAAAATAATTCAGAACTGTACAAAGACTGTGGCTAAACGCAACATCTGAATTTACTAACTGTTCAGGGCATTCGGTTTGAGCCTTGAAAAAGACAATGAAATCCAAATAGTCTCAAAGGAAACTATGATATTTATGGTTGGAAATTTGCTTCTCACAGCCTTACATACTGTGTATGCTGAAGTAAACTAATATTGGCCCACATGATTTGTCACTCAAGCTCCAGAGATAGAAATAGATTTTTTTTTCTCCTTCTGAGCAAAATGTATATATTGAACAAAATCCAGTGTCCATAATTGGTCCGTGTGTGGCTGGAGAAAATCTAAAAACTTGGGCAGTAAATAAAAGATAGAAAAACCGTGTGCATTCCTGGCTGAGCAAGAGATAGAAACACTTTCTGAAAAATTGGCTGAACTGGGTCAATCTAATGCTTATCGGTTCAATTTCCCATCAACATGACATTGAATTGATAAGCCTGAAATGAGCCTTTAAGATAATCACAAAACTTGAGTAATTACCTCTGGAGCAGTATGGTCCGATGAATCCGGGGAAACAGTGGCAGGATCCCGCCACACACTCTCCATTCCCGTAGCAGTTGTGTGTGCACTCGGTCACAGATTCTGTGTGAACAATAATTACCGTGTTATTATTGATAACCCATCGGATGGCCATGTTAGAGCAGGTTTTTATGTCAATGTTTGACAACAGCAACGTTTGAGACACTGGGACACGTTGCCCCAATTATTCTTTTTTTTTTTACTTCTAGTATGTGAAAGCATCCTTATCAGCAGAGCTTATATCAGACATGCCATACATTTACAGCTGTTTGTCCATGTCCCAATAAGGTCTAAGCCTCCATAACAGCATGTTGCAGGCTGACTGTTCCCGTCTAAGCCATGTTAAGAAAAAAGCCACACAGGCATTTTAAATTAGACCAAATAATTCCATTTTCTTGACACATTCTCCTTCCCTCCTGTCTCCTCTTCTGCTTCAGCACCATCCCAGCCCCTTGAATGACTGATCATGCCCACACAAGCCATGCAATCTCTTGAGTGTTTACAACTCAAATCCTCTCTGAGTTGAATTTAATCTGACATATCCTACAGACAGATTTTGTGTTCTTTCAACAGACCACCGCTCATAAATCGTACCCTCAGAAGACCCGCATCCTCATTTTGATCAGTGTTAAGAGGGCCCGCTTTTATCTTATTGCTCTTGCTTGTATTGGATGTTCATTGAGCCTAGTGTCAGATCCGAGCAATTTTGGCCTCACACATCGATACCTTCATATTCGTAGGGCCGGATCAATGGAACTCCCCGAAGGAAATAAAAAAAAAGTTACCCCAACCTTAGTGTTTTCCGAGCTTAAAACCTACAAGGAAATTTCACAGACTTCAGAACACGGAGGAGGTTGTTAGGAGGGAAAGATCAATGGTGTGTATTGTGCCAGATACAATAATCCACTACCCTGGAATGAAAAATCTAAATCATTGCGCAAAGTAGAAAAACAAACAAATAAATAAATGAGTAGAAATAAGTCACTTACGGACAGACTTTCAAACACTACCCAGGCGCAGCTGTTTCAGGAAATTAAACATTTCCAAACATGTCATTACATATCATTCCAATCACAGATGTGTATATCCTCGTACCCTGGACGATGGTGTTGAACGAGACGGCCTCCAGGCCTCTCCCGTCGTTGTAGAAGGCGAAGTGCCACACCCCTGAGTCCAGGTACTGGATGAACCCGGCCTGGTGGACGGCGACCGGGTGGTCAAGCCTCGCCCTCGCCTCCGGTTCCCCCAGAGCCCGGTGCTCTTTGGCAATGAGCCGGCTGCCGTCCAGCAGCTCCACAAAGTCGTACTGCAAAACACAGACACCACACCGGCAGATGCTAGAGATTGTTATTTCAATGACGGCCTAATCAAATCAGACAGCAAAGTGGCAGGAGGCGCGGCGTTTTGCTTTGTATGCGGCTCGCGATAGCCGCTCTGACAGGAGCTACGAGCAAAGTTTTAACACAAGAAAACAGCCAGAAGTGGTTTGTATACACAGCAAATATTCAAGTATCATAAATGTTGATTTTTCACTGGCAGTTATTTGAAGTGGATAGCTGTTGTCTGGAGAGGTGTTTGTGCACTGATTGAACTGATATGGCTCTGAGGCAAACAAAAAATATAGTGTGAACTCAGATGGGAGTGTTTATTACAGTCTGTTAAAGTGTAATTTCTTTTTTCATCTATGTTCATCATCCAAATAGCAACCAGTATATAGATATTTATATATATATATATATATATATATATATATATATATGTATATATATATAGATCCTTGAAGATAGCATTAACACAATATACAACATATATGAGCATTTCATCAGTTTCATTTTTTTCAAACAAACATTGATTTACAGGGTAAACAAGAACCAAGGAGTTATTCCTGCGATGAGCAAAGAGGCGCATCTGCTCTCAGCGCACCTGCTGAACACCTGAACCTCATTTTGACTGGAGCTGGAAAAGAACAGAGAGCCGCGGCAGAAAAAAAAACAGTGTAACGCATCCAGCGCAAACAATCCCCAAACAGGCTCCGGTGCTGCGGGGGAGCGCAGCAGATGAAGACGGCAGATCCCCCGGCTTAAGCAGTTGTTAGCTACACAGATGTACTCAGTCTGTGGTGAATGCTCAGGCCCAGGAAAAAGGTCTGTGGGCCGCGTAAGAGTGTGATGCATACAGATTGGCCCTGTAGCTGTAGCTTTAGCTGTTTCTTTTTTCTTTTTTTTTTAAAGAGGCTCCTTTCACATGCAGGGATGAGGCTGTTTGTCATCAGCTTTGATGCAACATGGATTTTGAGTGACACACAGCTAAAGATTTCAAATTCGGTGCAACGTTATCAGGAGATATACATTTAAGAATAGATCACACAATGAGTAAAGCAGCGAAGGCGCATTTTAAAGTGAACTACATTCACTTTAAAAAGTCCCACTCATTTCTTTTTGACCTTTTGGTGGTCAGACTTTGATGAATAGACCTTCTTAAATTCACAGCCATGTGGAACACAATGTGCCTCCACTAGGTTGAAGGATAGGGGCAAACACTGCATTAAAACCAGATTTAAAGCAATCAGGATTGTGACCCAAGTAACAAAGTCAACATTCAGATTTCAGCTCTTTTGAGTTAAAAGGAGGGGGGGGGGGTGGGTAGATATTAACCTGGCGGAAGTTGACTTCTTTGTGTTGTTGACTTGGGGGGGAAGTAATAAAACGGTTCATCCCAGAAGCCCTAAACCTCTCGCCAAGTGCATACATCTAGATTAGCTGGTGTGAAAGCCTCCCCAACTCATTTCAATCTGACAATACCACTGAATAAAAGTCAGGAGACCAAGCGTGGAGAGACTACTGGATTCTCTGTGGATAAAGGAGGAATGCTTAGAGCCTGTAAATTCCTCCGCCTTTAGATTGAGTGGACTTGAGTATTGTGCGATTGCATGCAAACCTTGTAAAAAAAAAAAAAAAGAGTTTGTTTCTTTCAACTAGTCTGGTTTGTATCTTCACAGACAAACGCTCAATAGCAGATGGAGGAAGTCTATATTTGAAGAAGGTGGAAAGGTTGTTGCACTTAAATGTTGTCTTGTCTTCCAAGCAGTGAATACGACTAACAGTCAATATCTCTCATTGGGGTCTTTCATGCTCAGTTAAGTAAATGCATTGATTTGTGCCCCCAGAACCTGAGCAGAATGTAATTTAGAAGTAGGTACAATGGACACAATTTCCAGTATTGACAAGCCAGAGTGTCTGCACAACAATAACTAGAAACAGAAAAGTAGTATCTTGTTAATTAGTACCCTTTGGACTTTGATTTTATGGGGTTACCATGTTTTTGTTTTTGTCTTTGGAAGTGCAATCCAGCTCAGCAAGTGTTACTTACATTGGACTTTGTTCCATCAAAGTGTGGCCGTAACTGTCTGCACTTGAGTGAAGCCTATCTTTACAAAGAGAAAATGTCGAAAAGGTGAGGCTAAGAGCTTTTTGCGTCAAGTGTGGTGGAAAATAACCATTGTCTGAGTGCTTTCATCACCATCAGCACACATCGGGCATTTAGATGCCCAAAAAAGTCATTTAAAAGACATCTAAGACGTTTTGGAGAGAGCTCAGTCTGAATAAAGAGGAAATTTCTCGAATATTAGAGACACCCACACACAAAGCAATTTAGTGGAGAGAGCACATGACTACTGGGTAAGTTATTCCAGATGCACAGAAGCCTCACTGTCAAATTGATAACTAAACCGATAAAGACAAATCGACAACATATAAACATTTTTTAAACATTTCTTGTAGAAAAGTCGGGAATGGTGTAACATATAAAGCAAAGAGGAATCCAATACTTTCATAATAGAGTAACTGAATATCCAAACGCAGCAGTTTGAGGATTTCAAAATCTAAAATAAACAACATCACTTCAGAAATCTCACATGGGACAAGACCAAAAACCGTACTGAAGGGTGAACATGTTTGGGCCTTGAGGCAGTTCTATTTTCGAAACAGACAGAATACTGTGGTGAAAATCATTGACACGCTCCTTAAAACCACTTTTATTGATCACAGTTTGTTTCTGCATCGAGACACTGTATTCTGACTCTCTTTCACTCTCTCCCAATGCTTTTACACACACACACACACAGACATATATATATAGACTTACGGTTTCCAAAATAATTACATAGCAGCCAAGTTATCAGAGCACAGTTCAAATACCAACATCCCCAATGGCATGGAGGTACATTAGTGGACATAGCTTGGGTATCACACATATCTGGAAAGGCAACCTCTCTGCTAATCATCCCTCATGATCTTCAGAGCAACTTTACTGTGAAGTTGTAGAGCGAAAACCCAGAAAGTCCGAGACATTCTGAGGCAACTTTTTTCATTTGGAGAGCATTGCTGGTGTTATTATAGCCGAATTCACTACAGATGTCCCATGACGATGATTTGGGAAAAGCTTAAATGGACCCTGGACCTTGTGGCCCTTTTCAGCCACAATTCATTCAGTCTGACAAGATTAGCAGAAAATAAAGAAAATAAGAGCATTTTTACCTGGGATCTGGCTGGTGCATTGTATGCAGCTATCTTTTCCTTAGTCCCATGGTTTATTTATTAGCATACAACATCTTTTAGTATTTTTTACCTCTCATTCTATGTTTTATTTTTCATGTTTTCCTGTCTGCACTGTGCTTCTTCTGTTGTTCTTCCACAGACAGCCTTGAGGAACATAGTTCTTTTTTTCACTATATACTGAATGTATGGCTGGAATGAATATAAAAATCCACATGACGTCAAAGCGCACTTGTTCATCATTATAAAGAAAAAGATGAAAAATTATGAAAATGTGAGAAGCACCTACTTCTATTCAAACCTACATGTAGCAGGAATAAAAACCACAACTGCATTATCGGATTATGTTTTGAGAAGCTTGATGCTGTACAGTTTCTACTGGACGGATATGTTTACACATGTTTAAGAACTTTGGATTTCAATGAACAAAAAAATTGTCAGAATTCTTTTCTCGTGTCATTTAAATGCTATCTCATATCAAAGCATATTCGGGTATTGCAACAACAGGGCTTGGAAGAAAGAGCCCAGGTGGTAAAGTGTCTTAGTTTCAGTCAATAGGTGTCACCTACTAAAAGCAAAAACATAGCCGAGGAGAATTCAAACACCTGAGCTGTCAGTAGGAAACAAACAGGACATTTCACTTTCACAACCATGATAGCTATTCCTCACTCATTGCCAAATTGATTGAGAGCTGGAAAATGGTTCTTTCTTTTATCTTATCCTCATTTCTCAACATGATCTTTGAACTCACATCAGCACTGTAATGACTTACCTGAGTGTGGGATGGTGCGAGACCCTTTCGTCCGTAGACTCCAATCAGAGCGTTCTTCTGGACCGAAATGTTGAACTTGAGGAAGCGTGGCTGCTCCATGCTGAGCTGAGAGCGCCAGAACACCCCGGGGGGGACGCTCTGCGCCACCCTCTTCCCGATGTCGACCTGCCCGGTATCAATGGAGTTGTTCTCGGGGTGGAGCACACTGGTCCTTCCTAAAAGACAGAAACACAAGTCTATGCCCTGACCATATGCAAGTGGATTCAGTACAAACACAGGAGAGGTTGGAGTGATATATAACACTCACGCCTGATGTGTAGTCTTAGTTTTGTATCTTCTGCATTCAGGGCAATCTTATTTCCTTCATTCAAGCAAGGTCGTAACTATAAGACTGTTATATATTCTCTAAATAAACTGTGACCAGGCATGACAGGATTAAAAAAAAAAAACACTTTGTCATGCGCTGCTTGCAAAAAAAAGGAGGGCCAGATCTAATTGTAGTTTTATGGGACTCTAACAGGCCGAATCCCCCCATGATCACTTTGGTCCTCGTGGTTCATAAAGTGAGACTTCATACCAGATAGTGTGTAAATGGAATCTGTCGGACACACTTAGAGCTACCTTGCCGGAGCAATAACAGCAAATCAAAACAATTTGCTGAATGATGTCCTTCAACAGTGTCCTCACCGTGCCGATGTTTTTTTTTGGGGTTGTAATACGGTTCCCTGCATCGGGAAAAACCGTGGCGCATGGCATCGTGTCTTTACCACGGCGAATGTCATTGTGAAGAGGAGAAATCTATAAAGTCTTTAAAGTCTGCGCCAACCAGAGCAATGCAAACAGCCCTTTCCTTTTCTCTGCTCCTCCTCCTCACGAGCATTGTTGCACGCGCACACGTGTGGACACATGTGCGTATATCTGTGTGTGACAGACCCCCTTTATTTGCATGCCTCACTGCTGGGTTTTGTAATAAGGCCATTGCCTGTCACTTCAGTTTCAGTCAAAGAGGGCCATGGAAGCCAAGTTTACCTCTGGGGAGAATAATAGCTGGCTATTGATTGCCTTTAAACAGTCCAAAACCTGCCTCATGCTATCTTAATTAGCAGTACTTATGAGGATTTAAATCTAGCCGAGTTTAAACAATTGAGCTTTTGCTTGGCCTCCTCAACTCAATTAATTCTTCCGTGGCCGTGCATGTTAAACGCTGCACTGTGCTTAGAGATTCATTTGGTGACTTTTGCAGCAAAGGTGAGCGGAGATGGCCCGCTTGTTGATGAATACAACGGGCCAAGATTATGATTAGTGAGTACAAAGCTGTCTGGAGTCAGTCAATTGATTTTCAAAGGTTGAAAGATGCTTATAAATTGTCCTGGCTGTACATTGAGCTGAACATGGAGGCCAAATGTTCTACTTTTACTTTTACAATTTATCTTTCTTAGGGTTTAAACTTAATTTACAGTTTGATGCTTTGGACATCCTTTAAACTATAAAGACTGGGCTAAGGGAGTTAGTAGAGGCATATCCTTTTCAGACTGCAAATAAGGATTCTTTGCTCTATTATCTAAAGCATGAAAAGCTGCTGAATCATCTCTGGTAGGATGACACGGTTTCCAAGACTCGGTAAAATGTTTGTTAGAAAACACAGGTGAATTTCACAGTAAAGCCACGCCGAAGGTGACTTACTGAAATTCTATTAGTTTGTATGTGCTGTGTCCACTGTATAGCAAAGATACTGGAACCCAGGATGGTCAACCTAAAGAGGGGCTCCATCACAGGTCACAGAGGTCTTCACAGTCAACTTGTTGAATTTTGGATTAAATAGTGGATAGCTTTGTTCATAAGAGTTATTTTTTTCTCACTCCATTTCTTTTATATATTTAGCTTTCAAATGTGGGTGTTATTTTGCTTTTACTGACTTTTACCAATCCTTCTTTAAGGGTCCAAGGTGGCAAAAAACTATAAACACCTCTTTCTCTGCAGCTGTGCAATGTTCTTCCATGTTTAAAGAAAAATTATTTTAGAGGCTATGAAAACACTTCTTATTTCTTTATATATTTGACTGGTAAGTTCTGTTGAATAAAAAAATATATCTGTAGTCTAACTGATAGACACGGAGAAACTGACTGTCTCTTCTGTGTCATTGAACACTGGGCCAATAAACAACTTATCCCTTCCACGGCAGAGGGACAGAATTATGCTGACTCAAGCCAAACTGTACAATTCAAACCTCCATACATGGTAGGTCATGAAAAGGCTGAGTTTCCATTATTCCTGCAGGCCCATGGTTCTGCTTAACATTATGCCTACAACAATGGTAGCTCCGAGGAAACTTTTTTTTTTCAGAAACAGAGCAATTTCTTAAATGGCATCATTTCTTTTGGATATTTGTGCTTTTTTTGTTTTGCCACAGAAAATGCAAACAAACTGCAGAGTTAATTTTTGGCCACTGTTTGATATCAAACGACCTCCTTTTTCTTTTCAGAGTGCACAGCTCAGAGTAGAAGACAGAATTGTTTTCCCAGAAATTTCCAATAAAATTTAGCAAATTATTGTTGTAAAAACCCTGTTTTGTGTAGTCAGATGATGTATTTGCTCAATTATGCTATTAATTTGCATTTAATTTCTGTGATACATTCATATTTTTAAGTCCTAGTTCTTGTGCTAACATAGGCAGTATATTAATTCAAAAACCAAGCAAAGCTGTTTTCATCTTCATTTTTCACTGCTTCTGTTGCCAGACAACAAAATGAGCTTGAAACTGTAACTCCAAAGTGGGCCATTAAGAATAAGTATTAAGCTAAGGGTAAAGTCATCGCATTTTGAGACCACTTTGCTTTCAAATTATTGACAATTTCATAAATAGTTTTATATGACAGAATGGCAATCTTCATAAGTAAAGAAAAGCCCTGCTGCAGTGATTGTTTTCACTATATTCATATGTGCATGGCCAGTGATCTTTCTGAAAGAGAATAAGAAATTATAGAAGATCTGGAATTTTTCTTCCACAGACCATAACCACATGAACTAACAGAATTTTTCATGTGCTTTTGTTCTTGTCTGCTGCTTACTGAGCACATAGGAGGTATGAAGTGGTGCATTTGCATTGGGGGAGAGACGCTGCACCATTAGTCCTAAAAACGTCCAAGTTTTTCTGAAATCAAGTACTAAATTACCCAAATTAGCAGGACTGCGGAAAATCAGCAATGCAATCGTTAGCAGCTGGAAGAAGATCAATTCTTATCATAGTTAAGGAAAAAACAAACAAACAAACAAACAGTTCATTTCAGATTGCTTTGTCGTCTGCTGCTGTAACCGAAAGTGTGAAGAAGTGTGAATCATCCCTAAATAGCGACACTATTTCAATCAGCAAGAGCAGACAAAACAAAAGACCTTGATGCATTTGTAACAACTCTGTTGGCAAGCAGTAGGCAAGGCAAAAAGGATCTTACATGATATTAAAATAATTTGGAACATAACAATAAATGTGGTAATAATAGTAAGCTGTTGGGAGATTCTGGTATTTCTCAGTTTTCCATGGGCCTCTGCTCGAAGTTTTGAAATTACATACGAGTTTAAATATGTTCTTGGTAACCAATTTTTCAGGAATTTTTCAGTTTTCTTTTCCTATACAAAAAGTGACGGAAAAAAATTGCATCCCTTTCAAGTTGCGATGCAGAAAACGTTGATTGGTAAGATAAATAGTCGGACAATCATAAGAAATTCAATCTCAGCATTAAAAATGAATCAACTTTAGTCACCGTGCATTAGATAACAATATAATTTCCTCACCATCGGCAGCCAAAGCTGTCACTACGCTGGACTGCGTGGGCCCGGTTTTCCCTATTCCTCCGTTTTCAAAAGCTGGCTGGTTGTCCAATTCTTGGAGCTGCCAATTGAGGCCGAAAAGGTGCATTGCTGTTAAACACACACACACACACACACACACAAGAGAAGACTGTGTGGGTTTGTAAGAAAGTCATTAACAAATAAGCAAACAGTTATGGAAGAACAATGAAACCACTTTTTGCACAGAGGACCTGTGGGATTGCACAGTGGCCACATTCAGCATAAAAAACAGTCATTTATCTGCACATACAGTATGTTTAACTTCACATTTAGATTTAGGGTCTGCCCCGGTATATGGATAACCTTTGTGCACAGACACCGGCCGGACAAAAGCCATTTCGATCAATACCGTGGCATGTTTCCCTCGGGAACACTGTTCATTAAGGTTGGAAACTGTCAGCTTACAGGCAGCCACTGCTTCAAAGAGAGCAGCGGGCTGACTTTCTATTTTGACACAAAGCTTCCACTTCAGACACACAGACAAGTTACTCTGGGAAAGTCTTAAACTCCCCCCAAGTCTAATAAAAGGAGATGTGGCTATACGTGTGTGAAAGAGTGAGATGGAAGAGGAGGCATAAAGTAAGAGACTTTTTCAAAAAAGCCAGTGTATTGAGAGAGACACTAGCAGCAGGAGCTGGAAGTGAGAGGGTGAGACGCCGCAGCACTCCTCTAGTTCTCTTACATAACTAAACCGTGTCTGGCTTTCATTCAAACAACCTGCTTTTATTGTCACAGAATTGGATGCAATCAAACTGTGCTCTTGTTGTTTTCGGGAAGCCGAGGTGTTTCTGTGAGCGCAGCGAGAGGGCCAATCTCCTTCAAAGTCACTAGACAGGGAACATGCTGAGGAAGCATCTTGATTTCCGACCATTTGATCTGCGGGAGGAACTTTTCTCCAACACCCGTCACTGTGAAGATAGATATCGACTGCGGCAAATAACTTGAGAGGTGGATTTGGGGCCAGAGAGAATATCAAATGTGAAGGAGACCCAAAGTGAGATGGGAAACTAGCATGACCAGTGTGTCAATAGATACTTTGTTAAGAAACAGGGTGTCTGTTTGCCTTTTGAAAAGTCTCCTGATGAAAATACTTGGCACCGGTTAAGTGAGACTCCACATTGCTCTCGTCCTTGTAAGATCAAATAAACAGATGCGGCGTAGCCTTGAATTTCAGATAATTCCCTCACATAAAGTAGGCTTGGGTAACAATGTTTGGGTATCCAGCACACTCAGTCAAAATTATACTCAGCATCTATTTTTTGCTGCCTTTGACACAAAAAAAACAACACCACCAGCAGAAGAAACAGATTATGATTGCTTCATGTATAGTTTTAACAACTGTGACTTCCTCTGTAGGCACCACCAACCGTAAAAACCTGTGGGATGTGAGCACATTCAGAACCATATGGTACGGCGGCATATCTGGGACTGTTTAGACCTTGTGTGCCTGTCTGTGGGCTTGTGTTGCGCTGTCTCTCGATGGAGAGAAATGTTCAAAAGTTTAGGCAGTCAAAACAAGTCACAAAGCTTTAGGCTGGGTGCCATCCAAGAAGTACGGGACACTTGGGAAAATATGTGGTCGTGTCTACCAGAGTACTTATGGGTGGTTGTGTAAAGTCCTAGCACATATCTGTCTTTTATTTTTATCTTTTTTGGTCAGTAAGTATCAGAGTTACAACCGGTATTCATAACACTCCTGCATTCCCCTTAAATGTTCATCAAATACAGATTTTCTCCCGTTTATATATACAAATTTATCTGAAAAAAATCAACACAAATTAAGCTCTATTACACTGATATTTAGTTCTTTTACAAAGATGTTAGTTGGTATTGCTAAAAAGGGGCTTTTAAAGATGATTCTATTGCTGTACTCTGGAAAGAAGATTGACAGCAAAAAATTACAGCAGGTCATGGCATTACTTAAGCAATAAAATGTGACACAAAGACTCAAAAATACATCTGTTTGATGCCATAACAAACATCTGTCTCAAAGCTGAGTGGTGGAAAACAGGACGTACTTTATCAAAGGAGATGCTGAATGACAGATCGTGCATACTCTATCTTTTTTTTACATCAGAAATAAGAGGCATTGATCAAAAATGGTGGCAGAAAAATGTAACAGCCATTTGCTGCAGATCTTTTTATATTGTAACTTTCTTTTTCAAAATTTTCTTTGAACTTTTAAACAGATTTCTTTCAGCGGACACATCAATTTAGTTAAAATTGCTATCTAAAAGCAGTTTCAATGGTGTCATCTGTTGTAAAGTTTAAGCATGCCAGAAGGAAAATGAGCTTGCAAATCCCCCAATGAGAACCTGTATCCTGACTAGTTGTAGAGAGAATGCTGCATATACGACCAACCAAAGATAAATGGAGAACATAAGAATGAAATTTTAACATTTCTTCCCTTTGTTGTCATGTGGAAGTGTGATATTAAAGAAATAAAACTGACAAGCTAAGAACACTGACAATGCAACACATATTTAACAGCAAGAAGGCAGTTTTCCGAGTTGACTCAAACGCCTCTTTACCTGTCTTTCTTAAGGCTGACAAAGAATGAGGGCAGCCTTAAGTACAAAGAATGAATTATATGCTTTTGAAAAAATGCTGTGAGCTTGGATATGTGACTTGAAAGGAGTATCTGTTATATCTAGGCACCCCAGATGGGAAACTGTTGGGTTTTAGTTTCTATTAATGGTCCATTATGCAGCTATAACCTGTGCCTCCTGTCAAAGTTGACGTCATGTGGCTGAAACAAACATTTCAGCCTCATCCCTGCTCATACTACACTCCAACTTCCGTTTGTCCCTCAACTGATTTATTTATTCCGTTTAGTGAATTAATGGCAAAACCTTGTCTTCATGCGGCTTTTACAAGCGCATCATAACACCAAGTGAGAGGATATGTCATTGCCCATTTAAAAGACCCTTCCAAAGAAAAAAAAAGAAAGTAAGAAGTGAAATGCTGACGTATATACATCTTATAATGGCTACACAAGACAAAGAAAAATCAAAATCAAAGTGAGGTGGGCTCAGACATGGAGGGTTGGTAAGATACTGTGTTTTGGGAAGTCTGTCGACCATTTATCAGTTATATGAAATATTGACAACTTTGACATTTGAACTGTTGGACAGCAAATACAAAAAAAAAAAAGATTTTTTTCTTTTACTGAATGGTGTGGTGGTTGGTCTGAGAATAGAAAAACAACCAACATTTGTCAGAGAAGAAACACTGTTCAGATTCAGCAAGAGAGGTGGGAGTCAGAGTCGGGGAGAGAACCTCAAATGACAGCACAAGGGACAGGATCACACCGGATGATGATAAAACTACTGAAGCAACCCTCCCTCTCTGCCGACACACACACACACACACACACACACACACAAACACACAGGCGCGTGCGCACACAACTGAGGCTGAAATGGAAATGAAATATCCGCCCATGGGAGCACCTGACTGGTTGACAAGCTAACAGACCGACACTGCCTTCCCTTGGGCCAGGCAGCCAGGATGACTAAAAATGAATTTGACAACATCTAACCTAAAGAAATGTAAGAAATAAAGGAAGCTTGACTAAAGCGTCTTTGTCTGAAAAAACACTTTTGCTGGGCTTGCTCCTGATTCTCGTCCCTACATCGTTTAACGTGATAAGTGCGGAGGCTCTCGGCTCTACACTTCTGTCCCGTTGTATCACAACCTTTCCACCGGAGAGGAAATTGCATGTGATGGTGGTCTCTTGTGTGTCGGAGGAACCACGGAGCCACAGAGAGCTGTCCCCTCCCCTTCACAGCTCTCACCGCACCGGGGTCTAAATCCCCACTTACCTCATCAACAAATTGCTTTGAGGTGAATAGCCCCTCAATTTACGAATTTGCATAAGTTATTTTTTCGCAGCCCAGGCCAGTTCAATTAATATTTATGGGCCATGAGCAATTCTCTTCCTGGGCAAGAAACTTGGAAAAGCAGTGCTCTAATCGCCAATGTCAAAATTTTGCCCCGTGGAACATCCACACTTACCATGAAGGGGAGGTTGTATTTGTAAGTTCACAACACTCTCATTTAAGCTCTGACATCCGCAAGAGCTTTCACGTACAGAAGCACAAACACGCCTGCACCGTAAAATGTAACATGGCCCCGAGAAAGCCCTCCCGGCAGTTCTCAGAGCTAATCCCCACATCTCGGTGTTGTGGTTGTGTTGCCAACAGACAAACAGAGCATTTGGCTGGCTGGATATAAGAGGTCAAATAAATACAAATATTCATCTGAGCAGCCCAGGGTATAAGGAAGGAAAACTGTATGAAACTTTAGGATTTATAAAATAGGTGACGTTATGCCAATAGACAGAAAAAAGTGAAAAACAAGAATTGTCCAGTTAACAGAGAGAAAAATTGGCCCATCTGGAGTATCAGAGTGCCAACAACAACTGGGAGCTCAATCGCCATAAAATATTGAGATGAACACTTTTTTTTTTTTTACTCTGGAAAATACCTTTCCACAAAGCTCCCCAGGGAATTCCTGGAAATAAGTTGCAAAGCTCAAAGCTCACTTCCCACATTTCTCCAGGAGGGTGTTTCCATCAGCTTCTAATCAGAACACCAACCAGCGTAGGACTTGTCTTATGAGTGTGTGGGTGTTTCCTTCCTTAATTTGGGGGAAATTCAAATTCGATTAACAGTAGAAGCAGTCTCTCTGCACACTTAGCTTCACACATGTGTCAGAGGCATCTTAAGTGTCATCACTTTTACCAACTCGACTGAAAAAGATTAGTTTAAAAAACTGGAAGAAGGCAAAAGGAGTATAAGGAAACAATGCACGCTTTATGTAAAGATTATACTAAGTAATGCATTCTCTAAATGTGTCTGATATTTAAAGGCTAATGTTAGGTGAGCAAAGAGATGAGGAATCTTATCAGGCACGGTCAGAAACTCACTGCGTTTCGACTTATTTTAGCCGTGACATTTTGAGCTTTTCCCAAAAAAAAAAAAAAAAAAAACTCCAAATGGTGTTTCTGCCATCCAGTCAGAGCATCAAAGCTGGCCTCCTTTCTGATTGGCCTCCCTCTACCCGAACAATCGCTGAAATCCTTCCAATCAGGCCGGTTTGCATAGCTGGAACCACAAAGACTCACCTCAGCAGGTTTGCTCCGCGTGTATTGCAGGGGGATGCAATTTTTTGTGACTTTTCTGCAAGTGAGGACTTAAGTTGAATGAATTTAGATGGGGGAAAAAAACGGAAAACAGTAGAGTAAAATGCTGTCATAAACCTCCAACACAAGCCAATTTGGCTACAGATGCAGCTGTGCCTTTATTTATCCGTGAGCTTGTCTTTGTAGTAATGAAACCGTGAGAGGTGACAGTTGAGGAGTATTAAAGTACAAGTGCACGGTGCCGCTATTTAAGCCATTGCACCTGGCAGGTGAGTTGGCGGCGGATGAAAGAGAGGGGAAGTTGTAGAAACACTCTTAGAAAACCCGAGGGCTGCATCTCTTTAATGCTTTCACACACCCGTGAACCCTCACAGAAAGAAGACGCAGGCACCTGCTGGAATCGGGCCAAATAGCACGAAAACCCCAAATCTGTGACAGGTTTTTACAATAATACCAGCCAGTGACTGTCGAGATGAAAACGCTCCAAATGAATCCAATATGCTAGGAAACGTTGGTGACAACTGCCGAACAAATGACTTCTCTCCCAGATAAACCGGGCAGATCGTTTAGAAAATTTCAAGCTCATCAGAAGCAAACAAAAATAGCAGCCGATTCTCACACAAGGGCAACATATACATACACACAGAAGCATACTAATATACGATGTGAGCTCATGAACCACAACAAGTAGCGGAAGCAGTTAAGTCAATAAAGGGATTATGAATATTGATACTGATGTAGCACATTTATGACCTCTCCTCCAGGAGAGCACTACCCTCTCTGTTCAGCAATAAAGCACAGGTTATAGGATCTCCCCAACATCGGCATATTTCTCTTTATACAACTCTGTCACATTTTTCTCTGCCCCCAAGCTGGCTGAATACTTATATATCCGCTCAGGCAGAAAGGCTCAGTGTAAGGATTAAGGGCTTGGATGACAAGGGAGGGCAGCGGGAAAGATGAATCTGTAAAGGGTTTATTGCTGTGGTCAAGATTCGAAAGGTTAGCGAGAAGTCAGCTCTGACATATGCAATAAAAACAAAATTAAACAAACAAGAAACATGGACAGGGCTTCTTGCGGAAGGGGAACTGAGGGGATGAGTATATTATCCTTTGGGCTGAGATAAAAGCATTTCCTGTTTGACAGAGTAAGCGCGCTTTGGCTGTAGTACTACAAAGGCTTCGCAGACCGCGGCCTTCTTTACATTTCAAGTGCCCGACGAGCCTTTCCTCTTCAATTTTTATTCAGCCTCCGAACTAGTGTTCCCGTTCTAATGTCGGCGATGCATCATTTCTGATTTTTTCTTTTCTTTTTTTTTTTGTTGTAACAGAAACCCCAGCAGACATAAATGAGCTGATGATATGAAATCAGAAGTACAGGAATGATGCTTCCCGTCCAAGGGAGAAGCCTTCCTGGAAACGCCGCTGATGCCACGTCTGCACTTGACTGACTGAAGGCTGAATCTGATAGACCAAAATCACATTAGGACATCTGCATGAGCTGCACAAAGGGAAAAGGTGGAGGAAGAGGAATGCCACCTCCATCCTCCTCAGGCAGCCTGTCACTCATTTGTTTGATTCCACCTGAGGACAATTATCTAACACAGAGGCAGATCATTTCCACCTCCTAAAGGGGAAGAAACGTACTGGTTCGGGTACAAAAATATAGGTGTCATGGATCCAGGTGACGGGTAAAATAGCACCGCAACTGCTCACCAGCTTAGAGCTACAGTTAATCACAACTGAGTAAATAGGCATCGTTTATTTATTTGTTTGAATTCACACAGGCAGGAACAGTCCATCTTAATGGGATATGAGCTGCAAGTTTTAATTAAAAAACATTTCCGAAAAGAAGATTTTGCACTTTAAATAGCTATTCCCGAGAATGGCGGGTCGACTTTTTGGTTTGAATCCTCAAAACCCGCCTCGGATATCTGGCAATTGGAGCGGGCTGCTAATAACATTTTTATCAGGTGAATTACTTCCAAACATAAACACGGACCGAGCTTTGTGCAGCGAGTCCCACTGTGAAAAGATGAGAAGGGAAACTTCTTACGCTGCAGCTGTAGCGTGGCGGTTTTGAAAGACAGTTGGAGATGACAGGTTAGTAGGAGCTTGGCCCTGGATTGTTTGAGGGTAATGTGTCTTCAACCGAAAACATGAAGAATTGTTGGGGGAAAATGGGTGGTAAAAATGAGATAATAGGGCAGTGGTGTGAGTCTGACTGAGACAGAGTGAGAGAGAGAGAGAGAGATATGAACAGTCCCTTGAGATAATTAGAAATACTGACCAAGTCTTTTGATTGATATGCTCTTTTAACTGCTGCTTATCATTTGAAAGCAGCAGATCTGTGGGAAAAAAAAAAATCCTAATCGGCTAAATGGTGAAGCTGATCTGAGACTCACCTATGCAGTAGGTGAGGATGATGGACAGCACCACTGCTATGCCGACAGCGATCAGCGCAGTGCATTTCCAGGAACAATGTTTGGGCGACTTCTTAAACTTGAAAGCTCCCCTGGAAAGGCTGTTTCTAGGCAAAGGGCGAGCAGGCGTGGAGTAGACGGTCCCCGTTGCCATAGTGTAACCAGGGGCTGCAGCGCCAAAGAACGGTGTCGTCCCCGTGCCCGTTTTAAATAGAAAATGCCTGTAGAAAAAGAAAGAAAGAGATATTTAACACTGTTATTCCATTATGTATCATGAATTAAGAAAGCGACTACAACATCTTATTTAGCTGTGATGTAGACTCATTTTACTGATCGTGTTTTCAAGTGGCACAGAGTAGCTCTATGTTCTCTCAATCCTAATAAAATTCAAATCCCCCCTAAATAAAAAACAAAATAAACCCCCGTAAAATAATCACCCAGGTCAAACACAGCTTACACCACTGTAACTGTCAAGTGCATCACACCACAGGAGAAACTCTGCTCATTATGATATCCAATATTATCCTGACATTGGAAGAGGTTACAAAAAAGCAGCTCATAAAACACAATCATCTCACTATTGCCCTTTTACAACCAAGCCTTTGCTAATAGCCCATTATACCTGGGGTAATTAACAGGGTTTAATCAAATGCACTACGGAGTGATCGTCTTATTAACTTTTAAACCCCACGTGAAAAGCTCTTAAGTAAATGAATTAAGCCTAGTTGCCACTCTTGCCACTACTTAGAGATTAATACCCAAATGCCTTCAGGCTAATGTGGACAGCCGGGGAAATTGGACAGACTGACCACGCACTGCACATGTTATTTCAGTCCTCACAAAATGTCACTGCTGTTCCATTTCGTGATTTTTAAAAAGAGTCAGAAACAAAGGCAAATTATACAACGTCTTCCTAAGATTAAATTAAACTTAAGTCATCAACTCTAATTCCTCACCATTTGGTGGTACAGTAAAACCTTGAGTAAAATAAGTATTTGTTGACAATACAAAAAATAAATCAAACTTTTTGTATTTGTTTAAGGTTACAAATTACAAAGATAATGCAAAATAGAACTTCAAAGTAATTTTAATATTCAGGGAAGGTTGCTCTGCTTGAACACTTCACATGCACCCTTGCACACAACATTACACTTGAAGGTACCTGCCCAGCTCTACAACAGAGATGCCCATTCAACTGGAACATTTTGGGTTAAGTGGCTTAAAAGTGCCACTCAAACTCTCCAGAAGGTGAGGTCAAGGTATTTCTGACAACCGCTGAAAAAACACAAACCCAACCTCGGTCGTCTAGAAGCGAAATACACCAGTAAAAAAACGTTGATTCTGCTTGTTTTGTAATGATTTTAATGAGAACAAATTGTGCATATGATCACACAGGGGTTAGATTTCAGAGGCGAGATATGGTGCCTACATCTTGTACTCTGTTCCCTTAAATGTTTCACACAAGCCTTTACACAAGATGTTTTTAATGTGCTGCGTGGAGCCCGTGAGGAGAGGTTTCCACAGTAACCGCAAAGTCAAATACACAAATAACTGATAAACCAGTGTTTGCTCATCAATTATTTGTGCAACATCTGTGAAGTCTCCATGTAAGTTTTGTAAAGCCTGTGATTTTCGAGTAAAACGTAGAAGTACTGAAAACCGAGTGGAAAATCTCTGTGAAAAAAATACTTACTCATACGATTCTCGCTGGTTTGATAATAGTAACAGCGAGCCATCCTGTTTCAGGAATGCTTAAACTCTTCATCTTTTCCCCCGCAAAAAACTCCACCGTGACACATTGCTGTTTAGACAAAACATGCCCGTCGTGATGAGTGAAGGAAAAGATATTTAGTTAGATATTTCCGACTGCTTTTGCACATCCGACAGAGTAAATCAGAAGTGTTTGTCATAAAAACACTGCTCATTCGGTGCCGCCAGTGATATTTCAAGTGCTCCGCGTCTCCTGTGAAGACATCTCTGCGGTACAAAACCTCCTCTGATCAATTCTCGACTGAAAGAACAAATGTCAGATTTGGATCGTCTGGCTCCTCGACGCGGCGACTGACACGTGCCGTGGTGATCAGACAGGGATTCCGTTTAAAGGTTACCGCACCTCACCGCCGGAATGACAATGCACCGGGGCCTCTGAAACCGGGGACGGATCAGATTCTCCGGCCTGGAACGGTGTGTGCCGCAGAGGCAGACTCAGACTCAGATTCAGATTCAGAAATACGCAGTTCGCTATGAATTGAGGTCAAAACTTTTTCTCGACGCATCCAGACGCGCGGGCAAATAGACACCGCTATCTGGGGAGTTAAGAGTAAGTAGATGCAATCTGATGAGGTAGACAGAAAAAAAAGGATGTGCACGTGTGTGCTGGCAAAGTTGTGTTTTTCTATTTGAGGAAGGTGAATACCTATTGCAAGTTAGGGAGATTATCTGGAAAAAAAAAAAAAGCATCGCCTGTAAACAAATGCAGGGGAAATCTATGTGGACTCTTATTTAAGCCATGCTATGAATATATTATGTTCTCGTGGCCTTCACGTCAAAGGTAGAAAAACGCAAAAAAACACCACCAGCATATTTGTATCGCAACACTAATGCTGTCAAACTACACGTGACGCTCTGAAAAACCGGGGAACTTATTATGCTGATGACTATTGGACAAATAAGTGAAGAAACTGAATATTTAAACAAAAAAAACATTGCTCATTTTCCTTCACTCACGGAACAATTCAGCCACGTACTTGCATGCAGAGTTACCGTGAACCAAACCAGTGCACGTGGATGATTGGAAATCTGTTGCGAGCCCACTTTTAATAAACCTTTTTTTTTTTTTTCCTGTTTGATGAAGTGGGGGAATCTAAAAAATGTCAGCGTCTGTGTGTCTTGGAGTCACTGAAACAAATTCTTACCAAGGATATTAAATACACTTGGCATTTAGAGTAGTTGCTGATGCTGATGGCTTTCATGTTACCCCCCCTACGCCCCCCCTCCCCCACGCCCCATTTTGTCTTTTAAAAAGCAAACTGATAGAGTGTAAAGATGATTTGCTGTTGGACATGATTAACAAACGGCCGACCGGTGTAAATGTCTGCCGCTATAGACACTGGATGACCGGCTTGTAATTGATTACAGCCAGTGTGATGCAACAAGGCCCATTACTATGCTAATCCAGCCAATGGTGTGTTGTGAGTGCGGGAGAGGGAGACGGAGAGGAGACAATCAAGAGAGTGTCAGAGCGAGAGGGGATTGAGAGCAAACGAATGCGTGTGTGTGTGTGTCGGGGAGATTGTCGGGCGTGTTGGCGTGCACGCTTGTCTGTCCGCGTGTGACACAAAAAAGAAGCCCGGTCCTCTCTGCGCTCACTACACCGCTTGTCATCATGATGACATTTTGAAAACATGCTCAGAGAGGACAAAAGACTAAACAGCGAGTGGGTGGATGTGTCCGGGGCTAAGCTCCAGCTGTTAGGGCGAGAGAGAGAGAGAGCACGCAAGAAAACAATGAGCATGGACATACCCCCGGAATAAGTAATCTGCCCGTTAGCTTTAGCATTTCAAGGTGAGAGCTGGCATAATCAGGCCGTTTTAAATAGTTTCAAAAGAAGAGAAAAAAATTAAAATATGACCACAGATGTGGTCTCGACATTGCAGTGACTTGTTTTCACACTTTCCGTGATGCTGTTGTGATCTCCCCATTAGAGCACCACCTGCCCTGTCGGCAGGGAGTCTGCTAGCAGGTGCTATTCCCGTGCAGATCGCATCCCACAATGCGAAATGCGTTTCAGTGTCATCCCGCCCAAAGACATCAGCGTGGTGCCATCTTGAGTCGCTCCAACCGGGTTGCTCAGATTGTTTGCACATGGGGTTTATCATGTTTAAGAAGTCTGATTGTATTTGACAGAGGAAAAAAGCTCAGCCCTTTTGTACATAACGTGCAACGGTTTTAGGACCGTTCCTGTGGAAATCACATTCGTTTAATTCTGTTACAGTAAGGGTGGATGCATCTCCCTGCAAGATGGTGAGATCTGTGATATGAGACGAATCTTGATGAATAACTGTATTATCCCTGACTGTTTATCGAGAACAAAACACATCTGGAAAATATGCCAGCAGAATTAAAAGTCTATATATGACATCAAAAGGAAAATATGCCAGTATTCTGACTAAACAAATGCAATCCTTTTGCAATCTCTGGCAAAAAAAAAAGAGATGTTGGCAAAATAAATCAAAAAGGCATCACAAGAGAAAAAGAAAATCCATCCTGAGGATTACTACTTTGCCAGTACCGCCGTTTAATTGGCAGGTAACCAGCAAACAGTGCAAGCTTCTATCTCTTCCACAGGGCTAGTTGGCTGTTATCTCACACATGACTAATCAGTCCTGGTGCAATCATGACAAAGCGGCTGGTGCACACAGAAAAACAGAAACAAAAAGGAGTGCATCACCCCCAAGATGTGGAGCGTGACTGACTCATGCCTTATTTACATGCGCATGCCTCACAAACATGCCACACGCACACAAACACCAAATCCTACTTGAATTACTGCTCCCATTCTTTCTCGCCCTTGAGAACAATTCTTACACGTTTTCCATCAGGAAAATGTACTGTCTTTGGGACACTGAGACGCATGATGATGTTAGAGCTGAAACATAATTTCATTTCGCTGAAAGACTCCCTCGACGGATGAATCCAAAGAGGATTGACAGTACGTACTTATAAAAAGAAACATGGATCGAGGAAGGTCTTGAAAAAAGTGAGGTTTTGAAATATCATAAGTCCTGCATTTGGAGCGTTGTGCAGAAATAGTCGAGGTGGGCTGGAAAAGCGTCCATATTTGAGAAGCAGAAGCTTACCTTATCTTATTCACCAGAGCACACACGCTATACAACTCACATGTGTAGAGAGAAAAAAAAGTCCAAAATACAAATTTACCTCCCCCCTCCTCCGATTTAACCTATTTAAAACAAAGGATTAAGTACTGCTCAGGAATAATCACCTCATATGTGCACTGGTCTCGTGAGAGTGACGCATGGCATTTCATTATCAAATTTAATTCAATGGAATATTTCTAATTGAAAATATCATGGAAAAAAAAGAACCTGATTCAGTCAAGTCAAGAGTTAGTGAGGAAAATAAGCAGGGTTTATTAAAAGAACTCCATAGCTTCAAGATATGCCTTCTCAACACTTAAGAACAGCAACGGCTAGCAAAATCATGCTTTTTTTGCCAACTAATTTAACTCCTTAGTCTGAGTGGACTCAACATGAAGCAAAACAAAAGCCAAAGTGGAATAATTCCATAGCATTATAAAGGTTTATACTGGCTTATACTTACTTAATTTTGTCTCTATGAAAACTTAGCTGAAATACAAGTTTGTATTTGTTTTGGTTTGGCTTTTTTTCGTGTTCGTGTGTGTCGCGTTATCGTTCTCGACTGTGAGAGCCAAAGAGCCCCGAATCAAACCCGGTTCCAAATCAGCTTTGGCGGAATTATCACAGTGGGATCAGTGACATTTTTCAATGATCAGCAGTTACAGAGAGCGGCACTTCACTCGTTTCAAAGAAACTCCGAAAGCCGGTTGATACCAAGTCAAATTAGCACACTGGCGCTTTGAAGGCCAACACTTCTATGGGACGTTACACGCGCGTATTTCACTCCTGCTAATTGCTGGAAAAAGTGGTTAAGGCTGTCAGACGAGCGCTTTATTGTCTAAGAGGTCACCATATCACAGGAAACATGCCAAACAAGATCATAATATTGTGATTTATTCTCGGGACTGTTTTAATCAAATGCCTCGCGCTGAATAATTTACTGTCTGTCACATATGACCGGCTCTGCCGCGCTGCATGAGAAATAAAGTCCGTGTCACCGTTGAGGACCCAAATGAGATTCACATCCCTGTGGTACCTGAGGCTATCTCCATCACACATATGCTGTGCCTGGACCTCGCTGCCCCCGAACCCCCCCGAGGGCGGCCTAATGAATACATTCCTGAGCTTCTGTTTATACTTCCCAACCCGGTGGTTTTCTTGACATCTGTAATTATGCTCTGAACTGGGTCTTCCCTTTTTGGCCCCGTCGGTTCGCAGCGGCTCTCCGTTCCCCACCCACTGACACACACACACTTGATTTAGAGTCCACTGTGGGGATGCGGATGCATGCCTGGGCTGATGATGGGTGTGTACATATTGTTTTGTCGATAGAGCGAAGACAGCTCAAGGTTAGTATTCAATCACCGCATCTCACTCGGAAAGGGGAAATTGTCACTGCACATCCCGGCTGATTCAGATCACGCCAGAGGTTGTTGTTTCATGCTGTTACTGACAGAATTCAAAGTTTATATTCATCGAACCCTCAGAGTTGATACAATGTGTCAGGGAAATACTGGACCGGGATACATGATTCTACCTGAGTCCATTCCTCAGTCAGAGTGCGATGTTCCACGCTTTATTAGCCGAGATTTTTTTGCGCTTGCTGATTAAGAAAGAGGTTACTGATGTTTCGGAGGAAAACTTGGCAGAGGCTCCACGACTGAGGAGTATCTTGCACAGCAAATTTTGTCATAACACAAAATCCGCTTAGCAAAGTTTCTTGTTAAGTTATAGCCTCTTTCATTTTCACTGGCAAGCTCTCTGATAGTCACACAACCCTCTCTAATCATGAACTCTCCCTCTCACCATGGGCCTGTCTTATGTCAAGTAATCAGCCTTTAAGTGTAGGTGATTACAAAAAAGCAGAAAATCAGGGAAGTCTGTGGCCATTAATCAAACTCAGCTGGAGCCACATTATGTCATGCCCAATTTGAGATGTAATAGTCTAACTTGTTGAGGGGTGGTCCTTAAAATTGGCTTAAAAATAAGGCATACTTAAATTTTTTAAATCATTGAGTTATCATTTTATTAACCCATTCTGTTAGGAGTGACACTAAAACACTAATAGAATCCTCTCCATAGATGGCTGTTAATTTTTCAGTTTAGTCGGTTTAATTCCCACTGTGTTTCTGAGCTCATTTGCAGGAAATATCCTCAGCAGATTCGGCAATCCCAAAAGAACCGCATGCCAAAAAATGACTAAATGATATCGGAAAAGTATTGTAGCACTGTGAAATTTCTTATTTAAATTCTTTTTTGTTGCCATGTGCTACACCAACAAAGCAGACAGTGGCTCTTCAATGGATATGAAACCCGTTACCATCATGTAAAATATCTCAGATGATAATTTGGTCCACAATGGTGTGCTTTTCAACCCCCTGATTATTCTGCTGACATTCAGCTGCTCATAGGGATAAATTGCTACTCATTGAAAAGCTTTTCTCCCATTCTAAAGTGCACGAGCATGATACTTTTAAAGAAAATGATTGGCCACAGTCATGCATTACTGATTTGTTGATAACCAATAACCCGGCTCTGTTGCAACGAACAGACACTCTGAACATGCCTCCGAATCAGGGAGAGCGAGTAAAAACAAGTAAACCGTACCACATAACACTGCTAATAAAGCAGACAATCTGTTGTAAAAAGACGTTTACATCCCAGACAATGAGTGACGTCATCCACAACTTCAAATAGTCTTCTGAAAAGCTCAATTCGTTTTCATTTTCGGGTTTTACCACCTCAGCACATTTGTGGATGTTGTTGTTTTAACAACAAAGATAAGGAGGAATAAATCTTGATCGAATGGTTGAAAACCCAACCTTTCAAATCATGTGAAGCATGTGTACACTGACAATAGTTTAAATATTTATATCTTTATGAGAGGTACTAAAGCTCTATGAAGTAGGTTAATTGGGTCACCAGTGACCTAATGGATGAAAAGAGGTTAAAACTGGCCTGAAAATAAGCCATCCATAAATACTTCAAATCCTCAAGTGAATTATTATTTCATTACTCTCTCATATGTGAAAGAGTAACACTAAAACATTAATAAAAGCATCTACATAGAATCAGTAATGTCCTATACCGATCATATAAATGTAATTTTTAACATTTTTTGTTTTAATTCCCAATATCTAACATAACCAAACTTATTCAAATATGGGACTTTTGGCTTGAACAGTATAGAGAAATCATGACTTCCAGGGTGAAGAATACAATCCCCTATAAATCTTCACTGTGGGTTTTAGAAATATGGGCCTCAGAAAACACACTAAACATATCAGAGGATTGATGAGACAGTGGAAACAGATTTAAGGCGTACACTTGTAAATCAGAGAAACCTGGTCATAAAGAGTTGCTGATTTAAATGTTTTTTACATTAAAAAAAATGCAACAGTTTGTAGAATATGTCTTGTTTAGTTTATTTGTATTTGTATTTCTGCTTTCTGATTGAATGAATATGAGTCTGGACCTGGAATTGTGAGTCTTTGCGGGTGACTCACCTGCTCTCGAGGGCCACATTGCTGCCCAGGACCCAGCTGTCCTGCAGCTGGACACATTCCGCCGTACTTTGCAAGTCGGCCGCCAGGCCGCCTGTGGGGGGTGGACTGGGGCTCCTCTGATTGGCCAGCGAGCTGCGGCTCAGCGAGGTGATGGACGGGTGCTGCTTGTGCGGAGGCGGGGCCGGTGGGAGAGGGGGCGGGGCCTGTTGGCTAGACAGATGGTCACCTGGAGGTGAACAGGAAGACACGAAGCAGTTTATTAGTTTAAGAATACTTAATGTTGCAGCAAAGGAACTGGTAAAAAAAAAGTTATTTGTTTATGCTGACTAAATTCCAGCCAGACTGAGAAAGTGCGATGAAACAGCAGATGGGTAGGAAGCATCTGCCTTATAAGCAAGATATGACAGCATACAGCCACTTAACAGGCTCGGAGAAGTAAATACAACCAAGAGCAAGACATAAAAATGAAATGCAACCACTGCGAAAAAAGGGGAAGAGAAGAGCCGCTTTTATTGCAATACACATAATAATTGTCACCAAACACCACACAACGGACAGTTGGGTTCTCTTAAACAGAAGGTCACTTAAAGAGGCAGATGTTCCTTTATGGGCGCTTAACGCAATGTTTCACGTTTGATTACAGCCAGAGAAGACTCTCAAATAACTAATGACCAGAACATCCATTAGAGCTCTGAGAGAACAGGTTTTCCAATTTCACACAAAGCTGTGTAATTGGCCTCCAGAATGGCATGTGGTGATTATCTATCCATCTTCCCTGTTTAAAAGGTAAAAACCCACAGTGCTGACAATTCTGATTTGCTCCAATGAGCCCCAAATGGGTATCATCTTTCTCGCCTTACAGAGGCTCGGAGAATATCGAGAAAAGCTCGGAGCGGTGTCTGTCGGGAGCGTCTGTTGTTTTTGCTTTTGACAGCGTGAATTTTCATAAAGCCTTAAGGAATTTATAGTTTGAGCGTATATATACTGCCCGGAGGTCAGCGCATGATTTAACCTTTGTTTTCACGTCCATGTGTACAAAGATCAAAATCTGCTCGATGCGACTGGGTGCACACACACACACACGAAACCCAGTGAAAGGACGCGGGGCCGGTGTTGTGAATAGGGTCCATTAATGTCGACGCGGTTTGTGTCCTTGCGAGCGCGCTTTCACTTTTCAGTGTTCTCTTCTACATACAACAAGCTGCTCAAATGAGCGGCTTGGATCCGCACGGCTCAGAGGAAATATGAATGCCATTCAGAGAGAGGCAATCATTTCCATGGCTTTGAGGGAAAAACCTTCAGGCAACTGCACAGGCCGCCTATTAGTACAAGGAAAAGGCTTTTCTATCACGTTCAATAAAGGAATACATAAATAAATACACCAAAATCGAATATAAAAAAATGACAAAAAATGTTTATAAAGAATAAAGCTGCTCTCTGTGAGTCATTGACAAGGATACTGGTCTTTGGAATAAAGATTAATCAACATGGTTTGATAATAAAGTTTAGTGGATCTGTTTCATCTGCAGAAAGACAAATGGGCAGGTGGGTAGATGGCAAACAGACAGAATAAGGAGCAATAATAATCCACAGTGCCGGTGCAGAGGGCCAATCTAGGATTAATTACTTCCTGACTGCAATTACGAAGCAACAGCATGTGGCCAAAAAAGCAGAATCGTCAGAAGCAGATGAAGGTGTTGCTTTATATTTTTGATTTCTTTTTTTTTTTTTGGGTGGTTTGTGATTAGAGTTTTATCAAACCCAATCAAACAAGATCCCCTCATCACCCCACGCCATCGTGTTCAAAGCCAGTTCTGATTTCTAAATTAGGCATGAATTACCAAACATCAGTTGCAGCACTGGCATTTGGAAAGTGGAAGAGTGCAATGACTTAGTGATAACTAGTACAAGACATCCACTCGCTTCTTGGGAGCGAGACTGTGAGCCCTATTAGAAAAGTGCTTAGTGGGCTGATGGAGAGCTAGTTTATCTACCAGCATTGGCTGGTTTTACTTTACCTCTGGGCCTTCTTTCGCTGTACGACCCTGCTGCAGCCATGGGCTCCACTTCACTTTCCAACAGCAGCTTCTTTCATATCATCATTTTGCACTAATATAACAGTGAGACATCAGTGGATGGGGAAGGGAAACATGTCTGGGAGGATCATACTGCTTCAAAATTCTGAAAATTGTCTTGCAGCGAGGCATGTAGAATGTTTGACATCTAGAGAGGGTTATTGTTAGAAGCAAGCTAAGAGCTCCTTCCTGTTAAAATACAATTAAATCGGTTTCTTTTGTGTAACATACAAAAAATCCTTCGATGTTCTATTATTTCTGTCTTTGTCTTCAGCAGATGAGCTAAGAAGTACCTGAAAACAACACTCTTTTCTATTATAAATAACAAATAAAGATACATGACAGTTATTGAACAACTCTGTATCCATTTATCTTTGCGTCTACATATTGATCCGAGGATCTTGACTGCCCTTATTTGGATATCCCGAGGCCCCGAGAGTTAGAAAATGCAGCACAGGGCTACTTCAAATCCTCAGCGATCTGCAGTCTGCAGTGTCGGTGTGTTATTGTTGATGGGAATAGAGAGTGAACGTTTTTTAGCATCATCTGAGAGCGTCACACAATTGAGATGTTTGAAGGTATGCCTGAACTGTAACACCAAATGAACGGATTTGTGGGCGAGAACACAGAACAACAAACTGAATCCACCAATTTACATTGACGGAGTAGAACCAGCTTTACCTTATTAACACTTTTTGCACTTTTTGTCTCTTTCTTTGGAGCAATAATAGCCAGAATCAATGTTTTTTTCACAGATAGTTGAGGTGCCACTTTATGAAAAAAGTGTGAATCTAAAAAAAGGCATGTCATAACTCATGCTTAACTTAGGCATCGTATACTTAAACTTAATTTTGGAGCTGGTTTAGGCAAGTGAACATCCTCTACTACAACCTCTGACCGAGTATAAATGTGAAAAAAACAGGATGTTAAAGGGTTAGCAACTGATTTTTAAAAAATGTTCTTTTTGTTGTCTATTAGCCTACAAAGCTCCCCGTATGCCTCTGAGATTTAATCGAACGCTAAGTTTAGCCCTTTTAAGTATTTAGATCTGATATATGAGTTCCGGAGAACTTTGAAACATTAATTATGCAAAGATATTTCTCAATAAGGAGGTTATATCATCCACTTAATCTTTGTGCAGTCCAGATCAAATGTTGAATGCTGTTTCAAAAGATACTTCGGATGTTAATATTTAAAGTCGCAGCAGTCCCATTTTTACAGAGCACACTTCGATACTTCATCTTTTAAATTCGGTTATTCTATGAAAGGTTTGAGTGCATGGTGGTTATTTTTTAAAGTATGGGTCACAACACCATGTATTTCCTTCACGTACTCAATTTCCCTGCACGCAGAAGGTGTCAGTGTCTGTGAGTGATGGGAGGCGCCATGGTTTCTGGCCCCCAATTTGAGGTGTAGGTTTGAATCCAATTTCTGACAGTTTTACACTCAGGACAGGGTCCAACTACGATGGGGGAAAAAAAAAAAGTGATAACCTTAGTACGATTCCAGGTAACTCAAAGGGGAAAATAAGGTACCAGCCATGCTCATTCTCTGTGTACTTAACTGCAAAAGCTGGAGGTCTGAAAATCATGATTAAATATGAGTTTTTGATCTGGAAGTTTCACTGGCAAGGAAACAGGGTGTTTGCCTGTGCTTTTTACATAATATGCAAAGAAGACTAATAATGCAAAGTGAAAATACAAGCCTTGAAGAGAGCAAGGCATTGTCTTCCATTAAGACTGAGAAAACTAAGCTGGCCTTTAATGTGCAAAATCAGTGAAAATGAATTTATGTGTTTATGCAACCTTGCTATGAAATCAGATCAAGAGGAATGCCGCCTTTGCATAATTCCACAACATCAACTTGTCATCATCTCCATCAGCAACGCTGTTTAAAAGGACCTTAGTGATTAATATTACATGCCAGTGCTGAAATGACAGATTCATTCCCGTGTTAATGATGCTTGCACAACCTATTAAATGTAGCCTTATGAAGCCTCTGCATTTCTTCATAAGCGCTACCTCCATATCAGTGTTGTTTTAATTCATTTTAATGATCTGATTTTGGACTTTTCATCACAGCTTTTGCACATAAAAGCACAGGTTTCAGCTAGTTAGCCAAAAAATATATCATTACGAAAGCTGCAATACCACAGCTGTATAACAGACCAAATATACATGAAAATATAAAAAGACTTGGGGTAGTCCATTAATTGTAGACAAATGCGTAAACAGCCTCTCAAAGTACAATATTTCCTGAAAATGTTGTTGCCATTCCCAGAGCTGGGAAGTTTAAAGCAATTAGACGTTTAGTTCTTGTAAAAAAAAATCTTTTTTTGATGAGCAGATTGACAAGCCTTGAATACTGCCCATAATGTTCCAACATGGAGTCAGAGCACAATTAAAAGCCGTTTTGCACTCACTAAAGCTTGGCAAGCTCTGTGAAAGTCTTTTCATATTCATTGTGTAAGTACTGCAAAAGGTCTTGTGCCATTTTACTCTCCATTAAGAGACTGATGCAACTGCTAATGGAATTGAAAGGGCATTTGCTTTGACTAGCTTACCCTTCACCAATAGGAAAATTACTGTATGTGTACATCACAAAAATTCAATCATAACTGATCAGAGAAAGTAAAAGAAGCCATTGCTCTTGAAATACAAATTAGAATATTTTGAAGTTTATATTTAAAAAATAATTCAAGAAAAAAAAATCTAGTATCCTCAATTCAAGAAGCTTTTTCTTAAACAGTGTTTCTGGAGTTGAGAGACTTCTGTCCAAATCCCTCTTGGATTAAATGCTAAATGAAAAGAGGATAAATGCCATAGTAAAACATGACATTTGAAACAGAAAGGCTGTTTGTATTTGTCCAATCATTGAATTCATTCTCATCGGCGACTAGATTTAGTTTCTACCTCTGCACAGACTTGTTGAAGGTGGGAACGGTGTTATTTAGTTGAAAGAGCTTCTCACCGAGAAGCCCGGAAGGTGGAGGTGGTGCTGTACCCAGTGGAATATGGGACCATTAGAACAACCTTGCCCTAGGTGAGTTTTGGGGATTTATTCTGCAAAGAGAGTTAGCAATTTTCAGGGACTTGGGGGGGGCAAAAAAAAAAAGAAAAGAAAAAGAAGACGCTGCGTGAATTCCATCATATTTCCTGCCAGAGAAGAATCCTCACAGCTCCCACAGCCCTACCCACACTTCTTCTGACTTTCTATGTG